TACTAACCCACAATAGAAAACGTGCAAAGTGCAAGCTAACGTTCGAATCTCTTGACTCACTTCTACGTCACGAAAAGCGCACGATGTTTTCGAGTGAATCGAACAAACGTGCAAAGGCGTGAGCTAACATGCTCGAAAGCAAAAGTATAAATATACTCATCGCTACCTCCAGGAAAAAGCTTCAAGTAAATTTTGCAAACATGAGCATCAGAGAACAACATGACCTTTGGCGGTCGAGACAAATCGGAGAATACAGTTGGTCCCGGGATCGACTGCTTTGGGGATGTATGAAGTATTGATGTATCGCTAGCTGCATTTTGCTTGGGTTTCTTCTGGTTGGAAAGTATTTATATGTGATTAGAAAAGAAGATAGGATGACAGCAAGGAAAGCATTGACAACAATCAATCTAGTAAAAAACGACAGCAAGAAATCGAGCTGTGTAGTCCACCTACATCATGTTAAAGGCAGAAAGCTTGGGCGACGATAATTCCTTGGGACACACGTAGTACCGGGCAAGAACGAAGAGCCACGACAGCAGCTCCCCCTCTGGTCAATTCTCCATTTCGTTTGTTCTATTGCAGATGATTGAGGGTTGGAAGTGTAGTCTATATAGATATTTTGCTCGCGAGGAGCAAAGGAAGAGAGAGTAGTTCGCAGATTCACTTGAGGTGTGGTGTCGATCTGGCTCTGTGGGCTCTGTGGAGTGAAGATTCGTGCTTCTTTGGGAAGGGTATTGGCAGAAGAGGAGGTGAATCGTTTCGGCGAAGAATCTTGAATAAGGTCGAGCGCTTGCAGAACTTCGACGTTGATGTCTGCGGTGGGACGAGACGCTTCTTGAGCTCTGAGTACTATCCATGAGAATTGAAAGGACGATATTGAAGTGAGTGAAGTACCGTGAGCAAAAGATCACAATTCTGTGCACCTCGCGTTGGGTCTGCTTACTTGCAGAACTGCTCGTAAACACTCATCCAAACCAGCATTAGAAGCAAGCCGAAGAGAAACTTCGAGGCAGTAATCTCTCTTCTCCCCTACCAAGCCTCATCTCCGAAAGCATCGAAACGAAATGCGCTCACGTTTCAAGAAGATGATGACAAGAAATTGGCTTTGTAAAGGTCGTCCATACAATAAAAGCCAAGTACAAAACAAAAGGTAAACAAATTTCAGATTTGAAATTATCTCTTGCAAGCAATAACCTAATAAACCTCTGAAGCACCGGCCTCGAACCCATAACAATATGCTCGCTGCACCGACAACCCAAGCCAACTAAACAACACGGCATGCCGTGCCTCTTAGCATTCATTTTGACTCCTGCCCATCTGACACTTACATGCACTTCCCATGCACCGAATCTTCAACATCCCTCACTCTCACCCCTCCCTCTCCAAGATTTTCTGTCCTCCCATCCCTCCCGGAAAACCCAAAAAACCAAAATTTCCGCCTCACCCGCGCCCACCTACTGTATCCCCGGTTCGTGAAACATTCAAACGACTCCACCCGCCCCTCTCAATATCACGCCTCCCCTCACCATAAATGAGCAGCCAACAAACACCACGTGAGGAGCAGGGGAGGAAATATATTACTCTGCATGTGTATCGTCGTTTTTAATATTGGGGTAACATACAGTAATGAATGAAGTTCTTCCTTAGTACGAAGTAAGTGTACAGGAGTGCGGAAGGATTGCGCCGGTGGTTGAGTTCGCGCGATAATGATGGATGGATGGATGGCACTATTTTAGGGTGAGAGAGATCTGGGTACGCTACCGTTCGTTCCCGCGTGCGATTGCGATTTGTGGTGGTTACATCGGTCGTATCTTTGTGTAGTCAGCAGCAGCGGGCTTGCTTGATTCAAATCTGGAGACGAGAGAAGGGAGCCGAGACAAGACAAGACAAGATGAACGAACGAACGAACGAAGAAATGAAAGAAAGTTGAGACTCTAGAGTTGGGTATCAAACGAAGGGAAGGGAGGAAGGTCGGACGATGAAGGTTGATCGTCGGATCGGAGAATTATTGTATTGGGGAGTGGAGTGGAGTTTGAGGTGCGAGACGGACGGGCTGTTTTGTGGTGGGTTGTGGTTGTGGTTGTGGGTGGAGGCGGCGTGGTTCCCATGTGGTTGGGAGGCACTTGTGTTAATGCCTCTACTATAGTAATCACTACTCATATATCAATTCTCAACCCAACAGCGCAAACAAAACAAAAGAAAGAGAGGAACATTCATGTTTGTTCAAACACCTTGCTTGGAGCATTCCAACTTCGAACAGAATTTTTGGATTTGGATATTTTCACCATCCAAACCCCCCGAATCATTGGTCGGGCCCACGGTCTCGGATCCTGGTCTCGGCTGCAAGCGAACTCAAAGTGAAACACGGAATGACCTGAGAGACCCCAGACCGTGCGTGCGTGCGTGCGTGCGTGCGTGCGTGCGCCCACTGAATGAATAATCGTGTGCGGTGCGGTGCGGTGCGGTGCGGTGCTGTGCCGGACGAGAAGGATTGGAGGCATGATGACTGATTGCAACGTGGGACCTTTATCTTGGATGATGACGGTGATGATGGAGGAGGAGAGGAGGAGGAAAGGAGGAAGAGGAAGAGGATGTTATATCTATTTACACATTCCAGTCGGGGAGGGAGAAGGAAAGCCACCGACCACACTGCTGTTTCGACTCAGCTGGGAGCCATGTGGCTGGGGAGGCCTGAGTGGTGGGCGAAAAATAGGTCACAGCGGAGAAGGATCCGAGGGACAGTACTCACTACAGTCCTCACTAAAAGCAGCCGGGAGATTTGGGGGTGGGTTTTGAGGGGATATGACAGCCACTGGCGCTGCTTTAGTGAGGGACGAGAGACACTCTGGTAAAAGCTCCGATGATGGTTCAGATTTCGTCGTCGCCGGCATTTCAGCAGTGGAGGGACATCGTCTTACTGGTTGCCACCATTGAATCTTCTACTTCCACTCTTCTTCAGCACTGCGCTCACTGGCTACACACACCTCTGCAACCCCTGTGGCTGACTTTAGACCTGCCACGGACCAACTTCTCAGGTCTCTGAATCAACGACGATGGTGTGTTTCTGCTGCGTTGGTGTCCGGTCCAGCCCCACTGTGGTCATGGTGCAGGAGGCCCATGTTGCAGTTTACCACCAGGGTCAGGATCTGGTTCCAGTCCAGTTCCCGCTGCCCGACCCAAATCGAGTCCAGCTTGCGGGACCAGAAAGTGAGGCCAGTGAAGCCACTGAAGGTCTCCTTCTCCTTCTCTCCCTCATGGATGTTTGCATGTCCGTGAGAGGGTCGGGGTCCTCCCAGCAATACGAACCCTCCCCTTCCCATCCACCATCCGGGTGCAGGGCCTCAACAGGATTGATTGCCCTCCGTTGTTATTCGATGAACCGGATTTGCAGCGAACTTACTCACCGCTGCATGTCCAATCAATAGAGAGATCGGCTCATTTCCTGCTCCCTGGACTCTGCTCATCCTCTTGCTAGCAGCACTTGCACTGCCCGTGATCGATGATGATCAGATCTCGCAACGATTCTCTTTCAACGTCGACGCCGTTCTCTTCTCCCCCCGTCGCACATCCAGATCTTTTCTCTTCCCGTCACGACAACTCTTCGTCGTCTTTTCTTCGGTTTGCCCATTTGCGGACGACGTAGCAGGAGAGAAGAGACGAGAGTTCTGTTTGAAAGAGGCACCCGGATGTCCCCATTTTGATCTGATCGATCTTGCGCTTCACACTTGCTTGATCGTCCGAGAGCTCGACGCTCCCCAACTTCCTATCCCGTCCCATTAGACGGCCTTCTGAAACGACAACGACGAACGGCTTTCGTCCTCGATTCCATTCCAAGGTCGCTTGTTCACCTGGCACTTCCTCTTCCCTTTTCCCTCGGCGCAGCTTCGAGAGCTCTTTCCGTCTGCCATCCCGTACCAGACATTGCGTTCGTCCTCGCGACTCCCAGGACGCAGCGACGGACATTTAATTCCCACGTTTGACGACGTTGGACATTGGTACATCATCTGGTGTGTGGTTTGGTGGTACAGAGACAACCAGTGGTGGGGGGTTCCCGGAAACGGTGTGGTTTGCGCATGAGAGATTTCCGCAGGCTCTCGAAACACTAGATGTAACGACCCTTCTTTTTTTTCAGTCATCGCTGCAATGGGACTGTGAAGTATTCCAGGAGAACAGAGAGAAGGGGAAAGGGACACTCAATCGGATCAGCCTGCCGACCAAGCTCGCCTCAGGGTCTCCATCGAACGCAGCCCGTCCCAATTGACCATTCAGTGGGCAGTCCTGCTGTCTGGGTTTCGTACCTGGTGTACCTCGTTCGCCTCTTCTCTACGTACTCACTCACTCACGTTCTCCTGTCATGAGCGGGCCCTCAGATCTCGACCGACTTCTCTTTGTGTTCGCTGTGCTGTTCACTGCATTTGGATGAGAGGTTGTGCTTCGGTTGCTAATCGAGTTCTGGCAGGATTCAGAGTGTTGGGGGAGTACCATCACCAACTTCAGTCAACCGTCACCGCGGCCCGTTTCGATTCAGTATTGTGATCGCATCCTGCGATGCGACGTCGTCAAATCTTGATTCGATTCAACTCTTCAATATAGGCTCAATCTTTGTCTACTCTTTTCGGATCCTAGCGACCGACCACGCTCTTTAGCAGCTCCTATTCTGACATCGAAGTTCGACCACTTCCTGATCTCTCTCTCTTTTTTTTTTCTTGACAGATTCTTGTACCATTTTGGAACCAACCGGACCATCACACACAAATCCAACACCCATCTCACTTTACTGGCCGATATTTTCGTATCAGGAAGACTCAGGAGCCATTTCGTTTGAACGACTTACGGCTGTTCGCATATAGTAATCCCTTGTCAGACGGCTTCATGCATATGCAAACACGATAAAGCAAAGGATCCGAGTCATTGGTCACGAGGAGGGAACTTCTCGAAACCCCTTATCTTTCTTGGGGACTGGCGACCCCGATATTCAATTTTCAATTCACGTTGTTCCAATGAGTCAACAGCAATGGCCTGCGCCAACCAGGTCGCCTGGTGGAGGAGGTTCGGTGAGAAGAGCCAGAGAGATGGCCGAAGCCGGGCTCACACCACAGATGCCTTCACAAATACCACGCGCTCCGCCTCAGAGACCTTATGATCAATCGAGAGTGGCTCCCAATGCGCCAACACCTCGAATGCGACCTCCAATGCCCCCAGCGTTGGTCTCGACAAAAAGTGGTCAAGGCCCAATTGGGGTTGCGATATCACGACCAACCCAGGTTCCACAATGGCCGCTGGCGGCGACCATTGAAGGGGGACCAGATCCCCAGTATCAACCTCCTCCGGGTCGAGGTGTGCCACCACAACGACCGCCACGACCCAGCCACGTACCGTCTATGCTTGATGCTTCACGATTACAAGATCCTACGCCTTCCTTTCAGTACATACCACAACAAGGACAGAACAGAGGGTACGAGGAGGATGATGTTATCTCACCGATTGTTGCTTCTCCCATGACACAGTCATCCCGACCTTCGACGTTATCATCTGTTGGATCAATTCCCGATTTTCCTGTACCAATGCCGAATTCTGGTCCACCCCGAAGGAGTGCCAACCTCGGACCTCCGCCGTCATCACGACGTGGCGCATCATCATATTACTCGCAGGCTTCGTTTGTGTCACCAATCCCAGAAGAGAGTCCCCGAACGGTCCCTTCGCATCAATCTTATGCGTCGAGTGCTGCGATGCCAACGAGTTGGGGATCGGATTCGCCACGATATGATGAGGATGATTATGAGGACGAGGAGGTGTATGATGGAGACAGTCCAGACTTCAGGAGGGTGGAGAGAGGATTCGGTTCCCCAATCGAGGAGGGTCGTGAATCGAGGGAGTCGAATGGGGATGATAGTGACGATCGAGGATTAATACGAAGCGCGAGTTTTGGACGACGCGCAAAACCTTCGATGATAACGACCAGGAGTTCAGACAAAGTTGAGCCAGCGGTGCGACCGCAAGTAGTGCCTCAGCAAATGTCGAAACTAGAGAAGATGGGAGTTATCGCAGGTGTAGGAGGTCCGACAACAGGTCTTGTAGCTTCAAAGAATGGCGAGAATGGACAACGGGAGACGGTGTGGCCCATCATTGGAAATGTCAACTCACCGCTCGCCACGGGAACCGGTTTTATAGACAAGTCGTCTACGTCGTCGGAAGAGACCGTGCCAACGATTGCGAGAGCTGTAACGACAAACGAAGCTGCTCCTGCATATGTTGCTAACCGTTCGGATCCCAAGGCCGCCGAGATGCTTGGAGCTTATAATGCGGCGAGTGCACTGCAACCTGGACCATCGCCCACTCGAACACCTAGTCCTGGCTTCAGCAGATTGTCTGCGATTCGAAGACCGCCTCGTCTGGACATGGATGCTGTTCGTGATGCGGAGGCGAGAGGAAGTTTGACGAGTTTACCGGATCTGATCAGACGAGCAACGAGGTTAGCAGCAATGATGGATCGAGGGAAGAGGCCAGCGAGTCGAATGGCATTGAACGATTGGCCAAGTGACAATGACCTGGCCAAAGACAAGGAAATCGGCTGTAAGTATTGATATCCTCTCTCTTGATGTTGTCGCTAACTGTCAAAGTATCTGAGGACGAGAAGCACAAATCTGGTCTCTCGGGTATGCTGGCCGCTTTCCCACCACCCGGTGTCGCAACCCCCGTCCGAGGTGGAACTCCCGTTCGCCCAGTATCATCATGGCCCTCACCCTACGACCCATCAGCAGGCGTAGGCCAAGATTCAGGAAGATCGAAGAAGAAGCGTCGCTGCTGCGGCTTACCGTGCTGGGGATTTCTAATCGTGCTCCTAATCCTCCTAATAATCATCGCCGCAGCCGTGGTCGTCCCCCTCGAACTCCTCGTCTTCCATAAACCCAAATCGACGTCCGCCGCAACGGCTACGACCTCCGCTCTCCAGCAATGCGAAGCGAATACCGCGACGGCGTGCAAGAATGGCGGCACCTCAGTCATCGATGATGGGTCCTGCGCTTGTATTTGTACGAACGGCTTCACGGGCACCACTTGCACGACCGCCAATGCGACAGGCTGTACGACAACCTCGCTCTCCGGCTCGAATCTCACAAACGTCACACTAGGCGACGCCATAACACGCCTCATTTCCGACGCTCAATCTAATTTCTCCATCCCGTTGTCGGAAAGCACCATCATCGCACGTTTCAATAACGCAAATCTGACCTGCGCGTCGGAGAATGCGTTGGTGACGTTCCAGGGCTCGGCGATGAGGAGGAGAGGTGATACGACGAGTAGTGCGGCGTGGTCGATTGCTACTTCTGATGGGATTATCTACGATTCTTCGTCATCTTATTACCACCCTTCTTCTACCTCCTCACCTTCTTCCTCCTCTACCACCACCACATCTTCCTCCGCGTCGACAACGACCACGAACCCAACAGATGTGTTCAACATCACCACCACGGTCCTCGATTTCTCCAGAGTGGCGGTCCTGTATATCCTCCAGCAGGAACAACTCAACGCAGCGATAACCGCCCAATCAGCGCTCCAGAAATTCTTCGAGGTGCAAGCCTTTACTAATATGGCAGCTCGAAACATCAGTTTGGGGAACGGGAATGTGGTTGATTTGATTAGTCTTACGGTGAACGTGGGTAATGGGACCGTGGGCGGGATGGGGAATTCGAGCTCGAGCTCGAGTACAGGGAGTAAGAAGAGGTGGGAAGGGAGGGAGGAGGCGCAGTTACCGAGGCGGAGGATCGAGCTTTATGGGGGGTTGTAGGTGAGGGAGGGGATGGAGGGAGGGGATTTGTATATATTCTGGTTTGAGTTTTGGTGGTGGGGGATATACCTTGTGTCTTTTCTTTTGAGCGGTGGTGAGGAGAGGGAGGAAGGGAGGGAGGGGTAATTGATGGATTGATTGCTCTGTGAGCGTTTGAAAAGAGTGTTTTATACCTTTGTGCGGATTGGGTTGTTAGACACATTGTTATGTCCTGAGAGTTGGGAAGGAGGCGGAAGAAGGGGGAGATTTGTATCATAATCCTACCCTACCTTATTTCAAGAAGGGAAGGGGAGGAAAGCATTGCATGCATCATCGGCGCCGGAGGAGATAAGTCTAATGAATTGATTTACGGCTTTATTTTCCCTTTTAATCCCTATTTTTTTTTCTTTTGTTCTTTTTTTTTTCTACTTATTGTTTTTAATTAATTTTGTTATTGACCTCCGTTTTATTGCTAATTTTTGGTTTATTACCAATTTCTATTTCATTACTAACTTTCGTTTTTATTGCTAACTTCCGTTTTATTACTGACTTTCTTTTTATTACTAACTTTCGTTTTTATTGCTAACTTCCGTTTTATTACTGACTTTCTTTTTATTACTAATTTTTGTTTTATTACTAACTTCCGTTTTATTACCAATTTCTATTTTTATTACTAACCTCTATTTTCTCACTAACCTCCATCTTTTATCGCCAACCTCCGTCTCATTACCATCTTTTACAACTATAATAGCACAAACGGGAACTACCGATGTCTTGGACAATTTCTCCGGGAAAAAAAAAAGGGAAGAAAACAACAGAAAGCAGGGTACACAAATCTCCTTTCCACAATCCACACATTGGTAGTTCACCACGCATGCATTTCCTGTGCTTTGCTTGCTTGTTGTGTTGGTTGGACGAAGGATGGGCGGAGCGGGGGTTTTGTGTCTCCGGGGACGATGGAGTGGGGGGTTTGGTTGCTGGGTTTGCGGAAGAGGAGGAGTTGAGAGGAGGGGTGGATCTGGGGAGAGTGAGGGTGAATTTGATTTGAAGCTGAGATCTCTTTCTCTTTATCTAGGTAGGTGTGCCGTAGAGTCCTCGCGTAATTCACTCGGCTTCGAAAATTTTCGCGCGAGACATGGAAAGAAAAGGGGGGGCGGGGAGGATATAAACACCTCCAACAAATCTGGGATTGCTCGTTAATGCTGTGGGAAACTATTCACGACAATGCTGTCCGTTGAAGTGTTTGCGGGGGTTCCTTTGCTTTGTTGAAGCGGAGTTTGTGGAAAGCTTATGGTCAGATATGGATATGTTGATCGAGTGTCGTGGGGGTTTATGCTGGCTGGGGAAGGGAGGGTTTGTTGTCAAGGGTGGTGGCTGTTGTCAATTTTCCTTCATTCATTTTCAGTAAAGCTCAAACAAAGGGGAAAATCCATTTCTTGGTCATAAAGAAAAACTAAGGTCAGAGAAGGAACCGGTTGAAACGCTACATCCGCATGGTGCGCCGAAGTACGATGAGAAGAATGATGTCCAGTTCCCTTGGTTGCAAATAAGACAAGGTGCTCAGGTGGGTGTTTTTATACACCTTAAGGAAGTGAGGAGGGTGGGGTTGGACTGTTACAGGGAGCAGAGTGAATGGGTGAATAACTTTGATGTGGGAAGAGGGTTGAGTTGAGATTCACTTTTTGAAAAATGGAGCAAGTAGCGTCATGAGTCATTCCTGTTCAAATCAGACAGAGCTGGGTCCCAGATTGCTATAAATAAGCCCACCATACTCCTCTATCTCAGTAACATGCAGACCAAAGACTTACGGAGAATACATGTGGAGAGGTTCCGCTGCGGAAAAGCTAAATTTGAGGCTTTATTATATATCTCAGATTCGAGCTTAGAATGCCAGGTTTTCGAAATATATGTTTTGCGGCAAGGGTTCCGCTTTACGCTCAAGTTAGTCGTCTTGTTGTCATCTCGAGCTCTATTGTCAATTCCTCCGGCTTACCCAACCTACACAATCTTGTACTGCACAGAATACAAATGATTTGAAGAAAATCTTACCTTAATCCATAGCTAGAAGGAGCAGTTCGGCACACACCACTATCTCGGGGCCATTTTCCAGCGGGTCTTTATCATTGTAGAAATACAGGAGTGGGGAGAGTAGGGGTTTATGTACTTGTTTCCAGAGGTGTAAAACAGGTTTTCTCTTGGTTCTGAGATTTCAGGCAACCTTGAAAGAGTGAATAACACGCAATCTCAGTATCTGTTCTTTCAAAAAGGGGAGTGAACCAACTCACCGCCGAGGAGACCAATCAGAAGTCCCTAAGCTGTTTTTCAGAGCACTTTTCAGTGCGGCCGCTGCCTACTGAGCGACTCATAGCCGTCAAGGCCAATCGGAAGCACGCGCTTTTAGAAAAGTGGTACATATCAAAATACTGCTCAGGTCACGATCTAAATCATCACCAGAAGAGAAGCGCGACAAATCACCAAGAACACCTATGGGCAGAGAGGATGGATTCCAAAAGTGCAGTAGGGATCATAGCATTATTGCGTTGAGATCTTCATGAACGAAGAGAATGGTGGGATACAAAATCTTCTCCTTGTAGAGTCTGCTGTTTTGTTGTCGTTCTGATTTCAGTTGTCATTCGTTTTCCCTTATAGTATGCCATGTTTCCAGACAGTGTTACTTATTCCGTTGTTAGATCAACTATTGTTGCCGTTCATCAGAAAAGCACTGATACGTAATGTTATGGTTGGTCGACAACAAACAAGGATAACTCTAGGATCATGACCAGGCATAGATCCTACTTATGCATCAAAGGAAGGTAAGTCAACCGGCTCCAACAGCTGTTCTCCTGAAGTTATTTCCTCTTGCTGTTGCAATCGTTGTTCGCGTTCTTCTTGTGGAGTCTTGTCCTCTTTGATGGAAGCGTTATTTATAGACGCGAAACTAAGTCTGAACAGAACAAGTTTCTAGCGGAATGAACTCTTAGCAGCTAAATTCTAATCGAAAGACCAATTCACTGTTTCTCTCGACAAAAACGCAGCGGCTAGTTCCAGTCGAAAGACGCGATTCATCATTCTCTCTCCACAAAGACATATGTGACTTTTGTAGCCACATCTTTAATTCACACGTGTTGGAGAACTGTTAAAATTTTTTCATAAACACTCACTACTGCTGCTCATTAGGAGAACAAGCACAAGAGTCGAAAGAAAGTGTTACCAAAGTCCAAGATTATTGGATTCAGAAGTCAGTTGCGCCCGGACAATCACTATTCTAAGAACAAGTAAGTCTCTGCTATCTGCACATCTCGTACTATAAGATTATATTTATAGTTTAGTACTTTCTACTCATTAAGAGCTCTTTGATAGATCTATCTACACCTGCACACCTGTTCAAAACAAGGTTTGATCTAAATGTGCTGAAATTTGAACACTCCTTTTGTGATCTAGACGACCGTTGTCAACTTTTTGTTTTCTCTATAGAATGTTCTATAAGCTAAAAGCTTCAGCGTCCAATGGGAAAGATTACACTATGTTAGAACAAACAGAGCCCGGCCACGAGCTCAAGAAACAATACACACGTACCTTTGCACGATAATGCCAAGTTAAGTTTAGTTTTATTAATTCTGAGTTAGACTATTCGAATAAATAGCTTATATTTATAGTTCGCCTCAGCTACGAGCTAGATAACGTTTGCTTTGTTCACTTGGAAAGCAGGATATATCAATTGCGTCATGAGAATTCACTGCGCTTCCACACAAAGGCTATTAAATTTTAGAGTTTACAAATTCACTGTATTTCCACAACAAGGCTGCTACGCTTTCGAAATGCTAGACTTTCGAATTTGTGACTTCACTATGTTTCCACGCGTGGGTCGCTAGATTTTCGAGTTTACCATGCGCTAGACAGCGTTCGCTATGTTCACCTAAGGCGTAGCCTTACTTGTGTTATGAACATTCACTTCATTACCATACGCGGCCACTATTTCCACACCCGAGTAAGTGGACTTACAAATTCACAGTAAGTTTTCGAAGTATATAAGAAAGCCGGAAGCTTTCTCGAAATAACAATATTGAAAGGAGCTTTGAAGGACATTGCAGAAAAGACGAATGACGAGACCAGGGGGAATTAAGCTTACCTAGGTACGTCACACCGGTTGCAAAACATGTTTTGATTCAAATTAATTTTAGAAGCGGGAGGAAGTGTACAAGTTTCAGTCTAATTTGTTATCATTGTAATGTTTGTTGTCAATTATTTACTTAAAAAAAGCGGTCTCAAATCATAATGAATAATGTGATCCACATATGTGCCAAAACTTGGTAAACTATGGAAATTTTGAATTCATATTTCGTAGATCATAGTTGCCTTTGAAAGTCTCGCAGGCTCCACTTCGTTTCTCACGGATGATCTCAAATTGTGCTCCCATGTACGGATGAACAGTTGTTTGAATACAAAGAAAAGGACCAGATCGCGTTTTTATATGGTTACTTTGAAGAGTGGGTTTTTTACTCAGCCCTATGCTTATCAAGCACAGATTCAAGATTCACTTGCCAGTGGTTTGATTGCAGGAATGTGACTCTCATTTCAGAAATTCGTTTTCTTTCTTTCTCTGAGAGTATAAAAAGCCTTCCAATACAACCCATGGCGCTAGGTCTATGCGATAAGACTGGTACTTCCTCCGAGCCTTCTGGAGAAGTCTGCCTGGACGGTATTCGTGTCCTTGGCATGACAAATGAGCCAAGGCCAGCAGTATCCTTTACTGTCGAATTCGCCCCTGCTGTCACTTTTCCTGAGGAGGCTTTGACACTGAGGTTAGCAACAAAGCTTTGAAATGGACATAACAGCACTGGTAGACGTGAATAGTCAATGTTTCGCCGTGATATCTTGAATACAACTTCGTTGCACGTTGACGTTTCTGCGATTTTAGCAATCTCTGGCAAGAGGATTCATACTTTCCTTAGAGGTTTCGTGGTTCATTTGCAGAGGACTTGATCTTAAGTTGTTACATCGGAATTGTTGATTACAAGGCTGACCAGCTTGTTACAAGGTAAGAGCATCAAAGTTTATGCGGTTTGGACAAGGTTTCGTCCGTTATTAGTTTGCAATCTGTTGTCACCATCACCAACCCAAAATCACCTGGAAATTGCTTATGGGTTTTGTCTTACTCAACAAATTGAAGCTACAGTCAATCTATACCTCAGAAGAGATTACTTTGGCACGCCAGAATGGTCTGTGTGTTTGCCTTTCAAGTGAGCTTTTTGGTAGATTACCGAAGGTCGAGTTGAGTTCACTTGTCATGTGTCTGCCTTTATCACTTGCGATGATCTTGTATCGAAACCCGAAACGGAGGACTGGACGGGGCGAGACTTGAGCCATAAAAATATACTTGAGTCAAATGTTGGTATATACGAAGCGGAATGCATTACACTAATCTCTCTGTCCTTAGGAGCCACCCTTAGACCCTCGTTACCCCTGGTCTGATTGGCCGAAATCACTCCACTCTTTTCCAACAATGATTAAAAGGTAACGCCCGCAACTCCTCGCTGACATCAAATCCCATCACGTATCTCTCTAATCCCACTGTCCGGCTCTCGTGAGACACATGAAGAATAACCGGAATGGGCTTTCCGCGATGGAGTATCGTGTCATCTGCCTCCCACATCTGTGGCTTGTCTCCCCCAGGCGGAGCCTCGATGGAGGAAACGGCTGAGCGACGCGGAGCGAAAGTAATCGTGATTGGTGTGGGTCGAGTGATATGAAGAACCTGATGCCAGATCTTCAGCCTTAGCTCGGCTGGAAGATGCGCGAAAGGGTGGAATGTTTCGCGTTGAGGTGGTGAGGATGAGTGTGGCGACGATGCAAGTTGTGATGCCATCTCAAGTGTTTTATGTTGTGTAGCTTCAAGGGTTGTAATGTATGTATAGATGCTGATGTTTGATGTCGAGAAGTCAAATGCCGTTAGAGACAAGTCTGCTACCCCGCTTAAGTGGGATCAGCACGTGACTTGAATCATCAAAATATAGATAGGGATTTAAGCATCTTCAAGACGATGTCGAGGTGAAAAGAGCAGTCGTAAACATCCCCAGTGCGAAATTGTAATGTCCAGTGCTTTGCAAGTCCGCTTGATCAGCCGTACACACGTTGGTGAGCAGTTCTCGCTTAATTAGTCCTCGGTACTTATGATAGGGGAGCGGATCTTTACGAACATGGGGACAAAAGTCCGTGCGTTCAGGGCATCAGAATCATGAATTTTATTAATTAATTAGCTGTAGACCAGCCACATCGCTTAATTAAGTCGTGTACCCAGAAGTCCTGCTGCTCAATAAGCCCATTGATCCATTCCTGAGGAATTTTGTCCCATTCTTCTAATACTGCTACAACCATTTGAACCTCAGTTGTTGGCTGCCTTAGGCGCCTATGGAGAGCTTGTTTTATTCTCCTCCAGCACTTCTCAATAGGATTCATATCAGGGCTAACTGCAGGATGGGGGAATAGAGTAATACCCATAGAAGTACGCCAAGTAGCACAAATATTGCTAGTAGTCTTGTGGCCGTGAGCAGAGTTGCCGTCTTCCATGAACTGAGGGGTCTTCCCAGGCCCCAAAACAGCCGCAAAAGCAGCTAAAAAATCCTGAATATAAGGCTTGAGTACTTGAGCAAGGTAATCAGTTTGTGTAAATGCCCCACTCTTCCCAGTTCCATGAATGTTGATCAATGGACTTTTGTATCCGTAGCCTACAGCACCAAAGAAGTGTACAGGAATAGTGCCACCTCTATGCATTTGGAATTGAATGCAGTCAGGATGACAGCGTTCCTTCTTATTCCTAATACACCTCTGCTTGCATTTCTTCCCTCCAACTTGAAATGTGACCTCATCTGAGTACAGTATCTGACTCCATTCCCAAATAGTCCAAAACATGTGTGCTATCCCCCACAGCCACCGCGCATTGGCTTGGGTCTTAGTGAGGTAGGGCTTTTGGCAGCAGATACAAGAGTAGTATCCAGCTTCTTTGCAGCGGCGTTTGAGGGTCTTGACAGAGCAAGAGAGTTGCAATTCATCGTGTATTTGGATCCAATTCAGCACTCTAGTTGCATGGTCGGTGCAAATATACTCAATAATATCTCTAACCTCCTGTTCATTGAGGGATTCTCTGGGTCTCCCTGTGCGTGTAGGGCGCGCTCTTTCAGGCACATCGTATAGTAGGATCTTCCTAACTGTGCTGTCTCCTAGGTGGTAGTAGCCCTGGAGCTGTTGCAGGCCTATTTTAGCGAATTTGAAGAGCCGGCGTATGCCCTCTTTGTGCTTGGTTCTGATCTCTGCACCTGGGAGACGTGGAGACATAGGTGGAGTGGTAAAAGGATCCATAATGGTGGAGTTGTTGATAGTTTAGTCCTAATGTGAAGAGTTTTAATTTCGAGGTTCTACAGCCTGAACGCACAGACTTTTGTCCCCATGTTCGTTAGTCAAGCCTACCTCTTGAGTTTTCAACAAGCAAAATTTGGTGACAGGAGCATTACGTTCAAAGGCAGGGCAAAAGTCCCGTGTCGCTTCATTGCTACAGGCGTTGTCTCCACCAACGCGGCTGTGTTTACCTCGCAAGATCAATGTCACCCAACGCGGGGTTGTCCGAAAACATATTTCCCTGCAGCATCATTATTGGAATACCAAGCTTCCGAGCAAGACAGTCCAATCGAGAGCCTCTGAACGACCAGCATTCTCCATCTTTCAGTCGCATCCTTTCATTCAAAGACAAGCATTCCACAGCTCGGACAGTCTTAGTAATTGTGCTCGTTGAGGCTGTAAAAGCTTATTCTCTGATATCCAATCGTCCGTATGCAACCCGGGACCAGAGCTATGCCAGAACAATCATTTTGCCTGAATCAAATCTGCAGACGGCGCATGTTCTCAAAACTTTACAAATTGTAGCTGCCACCGCTTTGTAAGCATCTATTTCCACAATACTGCTGCAGAAAGCCTGGTATTCCGCACGATGAGAATTATTGCATCAATGTTCCCCTGGTTGCCAGCACTCATCCGGGAGCGAGTGCGATGGAAATATGGAATGAGGTGCTTCAAATGAAGTTAATCTGTTCTAGTGCTGGCCCTAGATGTATATATTCAGATATGATCCATTTTGTTTAGTTCGGAGCGCCTCAGGACTTTTCTAATCATAATTTTGAGGCTTGGAAAAGTGGAGTTTCCTGCTCGACTTCAAGTTGCCAACTTTGCAGAAGACGTGATGTTCTTCCCATCTACCCTACTCCTATCGACCTTCGTCTGGGATTCTATCTCAGCTCAAGGAGTCAACTTCTCCTTTGAGAACATAACATTGAGCGATGCTGACGTTGAAAATGACCCGAGCATAGCCTTTGGTGACTTATCGAGCCCTTCAGCCATCCCTACATCGAATGGCTGCAAAGTCTTCCCCGGGGATAAGCAATGGCCAAGTTATGAGAAATGGAGGAACTTCAATCACAGCCTGGGTGGCGCTCTGATCAAAGGACTTCCTCCTGCTATTGTCTGTTATACTGGAACCTACAATACAGCGGAATGCGCGGCAGTGGTATCACAATATTTTAATGGATCGTTGATTACCGACAATCCTGTTAGAATTGAGAATGAATGGCTAGATGGAGATTCATGTCCAGCACAAGCCTACGACAATGTTCCAGGAGGGAACACAACCAATCCAACTTGCGATGTGGCAGCATATCCTGCATATGTCATCAATGTTACGACTGTCAAGCGTATGAACGATTTTTCCTTCTTTCTTGAAGTATGCAGGCTCACAACAGTTTTGCTTTGGAAGCAAGATACCAAGAGCAGCATTCGATATAGTGCTAACAGGATTCCAGAGATACAATTAGCAGTGAACTTTGCTCGAAATTCTGGGATTCGCCTTATCATCAAGTGAGCTTTTCTTTCCTTAGGTGATCTCAGTACGCTCTGAGGAACCGATCTGATGAAGGAGTTCTGATAACTTGCCACAGAAACACGGGTCATAATCTTCGCGGCCAGTCAGCAGGAGCAGGTTCTTTGAGTGTTTGGACACATCATTTGAAAGATTTTGATTTCTTGCCATCATTCTCCATTAGCAACTTTTCAAGTAGAGCAGCTAGAGTTGCCGTTGGTCTCCAGAGTTCCGATCTTGCAGCAGCTGCACTCGAGGCAAATGTCACCCTAGTGATACCAGGTGGCGTTACAGTTGGTGGCGTAGGTGGTTGGTTCATGGGCGGAGGCCATGGTTTTCACACTTCAAAATTGGGTCTTGGTGCGGACCAAGTTTTGTCTCTTAATTTGGTCACTGCAGATGGACACTTCATAGTCGCTGATCCAAACATTAATACGGACCTCTTCTGGGCGCTGCGAGGTGGCGGCGGGAGTAAGTGTTTTGCAATTTTCCCAAATTCATAAGGCTTACTTGAGACACTAGGTACTTGGGGAATTGTCACCTCGGTGATTGTGAAAGCCTACGATATATCAAATACCGCAGTTGTCTCCCATCCAATTACGGTCTCCAACGGCAACCTCACAGGGATCACTTCCACCACGAATGGGTCCTTCTGGGCGGCCATTCGCACATATCTTCAATTTGTCCCAAAAATATGCGATGCAGGAGGTGTCGGATTCAACTTCCTATACAATTACGGGGACGCATTATTGGAATTCACGGTGCTCTTGCTCATGCCAGGAATGACAGTCCCTCAAGCGGATGCCTTCGCTCAGCCTCTCTATCAAGCCTTCCAAGAAGAAGGCATAAACATCACGGACCCAAACGTTGTGTCAAAGCGATCAATGTTCTCAGCAGAGCCATCCTTGGTTAATTCAGCACCAATCGCATACCCATCTCGCGGTGCAGGAGCTATGAACTTGCGCCTCGCTAGCCGTCTCTTTCCACGAAAGAATTTGGAAGACCCAACTCTCCTCAATGCAACATTTAACGCGATCTATACCGCTGTGGTAGAGGGCGGCTATACACTCCACAGTGCAAATCACTGCCCCACTCTAGCAGTAGCCGGCTACCCAGATGATGCAGTGCTTCCTGCTTATCGTGAGACTGCAATGCACGCACAATTATGGGATGACGGATATGCAATTGGTCCCGTTAAGCTTCAGGCACAGAGGTATAAGCGCTTGGCTAGCTATTTCAAACTGTGGAAAGACGTAAGCCCAGGTGCGGGATCTTATATGGGCGAGGCTGACCCTGCGGAGTTGGACTGGCAGTCAGCTTTTTACGGGACTAATTATCCGCGTTTACTTTCCATCAAGAACAAGTGGGATCCGTGGGGCCTCTTCTGGGCAAAAACAGCGGTGGGAAGCGAGGGCTGGGAGGTATCAACACCGTTTCCGCGAAAAGTACCTACGCAAAATGTGAGTGACCCCTCCTTATTGCGTCTCAATTTATCCGATGAGATGCTTGCACATGTGCTTGATATTTGTGTGCTAAACAGATCAGGGACCACTTTGCAAGATTAATTCATTGTAGAGAGAACCGAAATGAGTCTCAAAGTAGTAGAAAACATTGGCTCTTGCTAGGCGAACATTATGCACCGGAGTAAAAAAAGAAAAATGCAGGCCATCTATATATCACCTCTTAGAGACTTATTATTCCCAAAGGAATTGCCTGTGTCTAACAGTTCAATAACGAGTTCTTCAGAGTGAATACAGCAAATACCCCATTATCGGATCCGATGTCTTCTTCCCAGTCCATGGTTTCTTCATCTCCGGGACGAGACTGATCATTCTCCATTCCACCAAACAGCTTTTTGATACTGTAGTTGCACCTTCCAGGTCCTCATCATACTGCATCACTCAACCAATGACCAAAGGGATTAGGTATGTAGCACATGTGAGATTGGAGTCACGTGGGGTAATGATTCTACAATCACCCAGGTATGACCAAATGTTGCTCTTTAGGCTTGCCCTTGAGCAAACAGACAATTCGCAGGTTCTAGAGCCAGGTCGCAGAGAGACAAGTCGACATGAGTTCCAGCGGAGATATGTCCTGTCATGCAGCTTCCACCCTTAGGAGCTGCAGCTAGCCGAACCGAGCGGGATCATGGCCCATGAAGCTCAGCTCCATCTACAACTCATTCTCAGCATCTCGGCGAAATGACTGCTCCGAACTTACAGGTCCGCAATGAAGAAGCACCATCTGAGGGAAGCTTCCACCAGACTGGGATCTTAGATGTCGGACATCATTCCGAGTCAAGTCGATCGCAAACCATAATCGAAGATCTCATTCAGGCGCAGGTAGCTGAGAAGTCTATCCATGACATCCTCGTTGATCTCGGTACCCCGTTTGTCTCTCTTGCGGTTCTCGAGGAAGGACGTATCACAGCAAAAATCATTGGACCGCCAAGTTCTTCGTCGAGCGATTCTACGTTGAATAATGACACCATCTTTCAGGCAGCTAGCATATCAAAGCCAATCACAGCCATGGCTGTCGTGAAGCTCTGCCAGGAGGGCAAACTTGATCTCGACAGCCCGATTTCCGAGTATCTTAGTCAAGATCAGATATTGTGGTTCTCAACCCCCAAAACTCTACCGTTGGCGTCGCAAATCACTCTCCGGCAACTACTTTCTCATACATCAGGTCTTTCATGTCACGGAGTCCCAGGCTACGCAACTATAGATGTCCCAACCGTTGAGCAAATCCTGCGAGGCGATGGACCAAGTAACAACGAACCTATAACAATGGCATTTGTCCCTGGTCAAGGATCCCATTACTCCGGTGGTGGTCTCACAGTGGTTCAGCTGATTCTTGAGGTCCGTCTCGGCAAGCCATTCTACGAACTCATGGATGAGCTTGTCCTCCGTCCTTTGGAGATGACTCGAAGCATATTCAAATTCCTCCCTGAGAGCGAGAAGAATTATGCTCCTGCCCACATGAACGGCATAATCAGATCGAATCCAGATCATCATAACTTCCCAGAACGCGCAGCGGCTGGATTGTGGACTACGCCCACGGATCTCCTGAAAGCCATACGAGCTATGCAGAAATCTCTGGATTCTGGTGGCTTTCTTGAGCGTAAGTGGGCACAAGAAATGCTGACGGAAGTGGAGAGGTTTGGTATAGGATGGAGAGCGAAGAAAGGAGAGGGTCAGTTTGGTCATTCTGGGAGCAATGATCCTGGGTATCTCTCCTTTGTCGGTGGATTTGCTGAACTGCCACACGGGGATGATGATAAGGTTGAAAAGAAGGCGTACCCAAAAGACTGTGGTAAGCCCTCTCACTTTGTGAAAGCAAGCTCCTTGCCTTTGTGTTGTTTCTCTGCTTTCGTGAGTCTCAAAGCTGTCTACTTCTTTCCACTGCATGCATGATACCAGAACCTTCTGATTCTGAACTTGTTGGTCTAGGTATTGGTGTCATGACGAGCTCCGTGCTCGGCATGGTGGTGATAGAGAAGATTGTCGCAGCAGTTGCCTACGTCAAGAACTGGCCAGCGATACCCGAACTCGAATCGGTACCTTTCATGGACCGCAAGAAAACGATCGATCAGAAAGCTAAAGAGTGGTGTGGAAAGTGGGGTCCCGGGGACTGGACATTGTTTGAAAATCATGGATTGTTTATCCAGGTTGGAAAGTTTCCACCGATGCCACTTGTTGCGGCAGCCTGTCCGCCGCAGCAGTATGATGAAGGGAGCTCGATTGATCTCGTGATAGATGGGTTGGAGATGATGCTCAGACTTGGTTGGAAGGAAAAAGCTAGGATCATTGAGGTATGGCAGGAGGGAGACATACGATCGCTTGAACGATTGGAGAAAGAGGACAAACAGTAGTTTTATAAAGCGGCAGCGGTTAACACTCTGTACCTATTTCAATTCGGCTTGTCATGGTACCGCCTTCTACAACATCTTCTCCACAACTCTACTTACAGTTTACCGAGCCTCCAAATACTTCCCAAAGCCCTCGGGGCCTTTCAAAGCATCCACCTCTTCGGGCATGACTCCCACCATGACCTCGGCTGATCCATCAGGTAATTTAGGATAGACGCAGTTGAATGCCTCACCAATGGTTCCTGGATACCTGAACCTGACCACCTTGCCGAATGCCTCTCCCCAGTCATCACTATACAGCGAGCTGCTTGTCCAATCCGTTCCCATTGCCACTGCAATGGTAGAGGTGCCAACCATGAAACCCCACCCTATCCAGGTTTCCTTCAGCTTTGTCATGTAGCTCGCCACGATCTCTGGGTTGACAGCTGTAATAGCACGACGCAGGGAGCTGGCAGCATATTGAAGGCCAGACGGCGAGAGAAGCTTTTCGAGGTCCAAATCCGCGGTCAATTGGTAGACAGCATTGCCGATATACGAAGTTGGCAAGTTGAGATGACGGCGGCAATCAGATGGCATGAATATTTTCGATGCTGTGGATAATGGGGTATCTCGTGCTGATCTTCGACTGCGGATCAGCATGACAGTACGCCATATAAGGGCACTGAGTGCATCGTGTGTTGATATCGGTGGAGCTTCTGGCCGAGTAGCGTCTGCTTTCAGCAGAGCCAGCCCTGCTGGAGGGATGCGCAAAATTATTGGGGTTTCTGGAGACGAAGCCTCAAAAGAACGAGTGGCTCGGTCTACTTCAGTCTCTGTAGTTGCTGGAGTAGACGATTCTATCCTGAAGGCGGGATGCTCTTCTATGTTGAAGGGCTTGTAGCTCGTGGTATCTCTGAGAAGACTTCGATCCAGACCCAACTTCCTCTGACCGCGAGGCTGATTCGTTGTGTTGGAATTTGGTGCAAGTCGAGTCTCCTCACTCAAGATCCTCATCAACTCATCCGTCCCAGACCCATCAGCCAGATGATGCGAGATCGTGAAGGAGATGATCGTACCACCTTCAATGGCAGTATACTGAGCCTTGCAAGCAGCCGATGGGCTCTCGGGACTTTGAGGAATGGGCATGAGCAACTCTTCGGGGAGATGAAGAGTTGAGAAGTTGCCAGCCTCGAGCTCCTCAAAAGAACGTATTTTCCCTCTTAGATCTCTAACAAGAAGCTCAATGCCTTTATCGGGAACGATCGTACGCCAATCTTCTTTGCCATGGCTGGCTTGATCCGGGGGTAGAGGTACGACCTTGCCACCTAAAATCGGGCATTGCGAGACAAGAGCTTGGAGACCAACTTTGAATGCGGCGAGCTGTGCATCTCGCTGCGCAGAGTCAGTGCAGCGGAAAATGAGGAGGCGGCAGCTGTAGTGTTCGAGATGGCGGCCGTCGAGCGGGGCCAGATCGACGTGAAAAGATGGACCTTCAATGAAGATGTTGTGATCGAAGGATAATGCAGCCATAGTAACGTGTGGTGTTACTTGAGGGAGTGCAAGATTTCCTTTGGTGGGGTCGTGAAGTTGCTGCTTTACGTGAAGCCTCGGCTCTTTTCTGATTAGTCACGTTCCTCCTAAGAAAAAGACTTCATCAAGATCGCTTTCTAGATAGGAATATAAACGGTTTCTCAAGAAATCTGATTCTCTTAAATATCGACCAAGATAGTCGAAGTCTTCACACGAGACTATGGCCTACATAAGCCACTTCACGTGATATGGAAACAAGAACCAACCGTTTTCCAGCTGTGGATGAGCATCGATGAGTCGATATGAGTGAGCGACCGCTTGACGCAGTAATGGCTAGAATTTTTAGTCAGTCTCCTTGCCGTATCCCGATCAGTAATACTAAGCACTGTCCTGTTCTTGGCAGTTTTGTATACTTACTGAGGTAATGCTGATGCATTGCCATAAGAAATTGTGTAACCGTGTGGAATATGATTCTCGCAAATCGCGCGAATTGTGCATGCGCTGAGTGCGCTGAACGCGCCAAACCTGCAAGGCAAGGGCGAGCTCCTGATATATACTCGTTCCATCAAAAGCAGATCCTGTTGCCTTCGCTGTGATTTGCAAGCAATATGAGGACTAGTGAAGAAGAACCATCCTGTGTCAACAGACCAACCTGGCAAGTGGAAAAAACCTTTAAGCTTGAGGTGGTAAAAGAGCAGCAAACATGATGGTATGGAGGGGCTCTTGTACAATTTTGGCCAAAACCTAATTATTTAAAGCTTTGCACCTTTGCATTTGCGGCTTTAAGGTATTAAGGTTTTGTAACTTTGTAGCATTGCATATTAGAGAAAAATTATAAGCTCTAGACTAATCAGAGAGCAGGGTTTCATTTTGCTATTGCCATCTGAGTAGTGATGTACAATCCTAAGTCCCAGCCCTCAATGTAGCTCAGTTCTTAGCTCTCAGGCTCCCTCGGTCCTGACAGCATCCTCATTCCCAGCCTCCCTGTCTCTCTCCCTACTCTCCCTCTCCCTACTCTCTCTCTCTCTACTCTCCCTCTCCCTACTCTCCCTACTCTCCCTACTCTCCCTACTCTCCCTACTCTCCCTACTCTCCCTCTCATTAGCCTCCCTAACCCTAGCCCTAACTACTATGACTTTTATGGCTTCTCTAAACCTGACCCTCCAAAGCTCTCAAGCCTATCCTAGCTTTGACAAAAACTTGTTCTTCCTTTTTAAAAAAAAAAAAAAATTCTTACAAAAATATCAAAATATTGAAGTTATTCGAGTTATTTTAATTATGTTATCGAATCGGGCTAAGCTCCCATTTTATGCCACAATGCTGCAAAGTTGCAAAACCTCAATACCCTAAAGCAGCAAATGCAAAGGTGCAAATTCTTAAATAATTAGGTTTTGGCCAAAATTGTACGAAAGCCCCGCCATAGATGGGAAGTGGTTTCACGGAGATGCTCTTCTACATTTGGGAGACCATCGGGACTGCGCTAGAAGATCAAAGTTAAGATCAAGACCAGGTTTGAATCATAGAGCCTAGTATGAAGATAATAGCAATTGCTGAAAATTATGCACAGAGCGATATATCGCAGTTAAATATTCCGAGACTACCTAGGTAGATGAACATGACGGAAAGCTCGGCCATTTTTCAGTGACCTCGCTTAGCTTCAGGGGCAGATTTGGGGTCATCCAGGGTCTCAGGTCTCCATTCGGTACCTGAAATTGCCACTCCGACTTCCTTACAGGGCCTGATATTACAGGGAATGTGTCTGCCAACAACACTTCTTGTGACCGACCTGTCTCACCTTGTGATCTCAACAAGCGTTGCGTACGCCCAACTCGTTAACAAAAATTAAGGATAATGAAGAAATCGGATTAATAGTACCTGGCATCTAAAATCCCAACTTCTACGCTAAGAAATATCCACAATTCAAACTCCCCAGTCGAATCAGAGATGCCTCCCAACTCCACAGTCATTCTCCCCCTATACATCTACCCCCTCCCCGGAGCCTGGGACCGTCTCCACACCGCGTACGCCTCTCATCCTTCCCCCAACCCCCAAAATCCGCTAACCTCCCTCCACAGAATATCCTCCAACCCCACCCTCCACTTCATAATAATCCTCAACCCGCACAACGGCCCCGGCGCCTGTCCCTTACCAGACGAGCGCTATTCAGAGGAAATCCCAAAACTCAACGCGCGCGCCAACGTCACGACTGTGGGGTACGTTCGCGTTGATTACTACAAGAGGAGCCTCAGTGATGTTTTCCGGGACGTGGAGAAGTACGCTGGATGGGTGAAAAGGGAGGGGCTCGGGATAGGAGGGATCTTTCTGGATGAGACGCCCAATTTGTGGGAGGTGGGGAAGGGGGACTATTTGGATGCTGTGGGGGAGTATGTTAAATCCTCGACGGGGTTGAAGGGAGAGCGATTGGTGAGAGAGATGCTTTCTTTTTTGTCTTTTGGTGGGTTTTTTGTTGACGTGATGGGATGGATAGGTTATTCATAATCCCGGGACTGTTCCTGATCCTGAGTTTGCGGATCCAGGGCCGGATATCACGACTGTTGTGGAAGAAGGTTTTGCGAGGTATAAATCGACCTTGCTGCAGGAAAGGCTCACGAAGCTGCTGCGTTACGATAGGAGTAGTTGTGTATATATGGTGCATTCGGTTCCGGAAAGAGAGCTTGAAAGTGTGGTACATGAGTTGCGGCATCGTGGGAAGTATCTGTTTGTTACAACTTTATCGTCGAATTACTACTGTAGTTTTGGGACGAGCTGGGAACGTTTTATCCAGGCCATGCAGCACCAGTAGGTAGGGCAGTCGTGCGTTAGAATACGAGAGAAAAATCATCTGGCGTCTTCAAGCTTTGCGAAATGGATCTCGTGAGTATCAGTGGTCACGGGCTCATTATTAAGTTAAGCCTCCGTCTCATAGCTCTAAGGCGATGTTTGGAATCTCAGAGATAGTGGGGCCGCGTGGAGTGGATCACTTGTGACATTCATGCTGCGGAAGTTGTTGTACAGTGATATCCTCGCTTGAGGAAAGTAAGCAGGGAAGGGGTGAAGATTGATGGATAGCATTTGGACTTGAATGGAATATCTCCGTAGAGAATGAGTAGTAACACAACAGTGAAGAGCAAACCAGATCAGCTAGATGTAAGAGGATGGCCGACTGAGTGAAGGATCTTCGAAAGCTTAACCTCCCAGAAAGGTCGTGTGGGTTGCATCTCAGTCAAGCGAGACAATCAAATACAACATGCACTGGGGGATGAACACAATAGACGATTCTCCAATTGCCTGAAAGTGGCATATCAAAGCATTTGTTCCATTGTCATCCTGATGTAACACCAGTGTGTCCATAAAGTCATCCACTCGGCCGTTAATTAACGCAAGGGACGCAATCCGTCAATTCGCTTGCCCATGTCAACGTATATCCCTCTCAACCTTGTCCAATCTTCAATCCAACTCTCGCATGTCCTTCGCTCCTTCCCCGACATAGGAAGCCGAACAGGTGGGATTGGTGTGCCATCCATGTACTCGTGTGCTTCAATCTCATTTCGACAAGCTTCTTGATTGTGATCTAGAAGTCGGAAGTGTCAGACTAGATGTCGAAGACCCGGAAAAGTGACAATGGCTGATTCGCCGGGGCGCAGTTGCGTCTTGTCTGGGGGACGTTTGAATCGAGGTCAACTTTGACTGTGCAAAGTGCTGAGAGCTCCTTCGTAGCAAGATCCACCGTGAATACACCCGCATCTGGTCTATGCGTCTTTATCTCCTTCCCATTCCCACTCAATTAATTACCCCTCACCAAGGTAGGTGAGGGGTTGGCCTATACAGGCAGGGTACGATCTCGCTCTTGCCTTTTCATGGCAACACTGATTAGAGACATTGCTCCAATAGCGAGGATGACGGCGCAAAGAGAGATCAGCACGATAGGCGTTGTTTGCAATCCCATCTTAAAGGTGGAATGACGAGCGAGACCTGAAGGTCGCTCGCTGTGATCAAACGAATGAATTACTTATGGAGGTAAGGATTAGAGGCAAACTGTCAGGTAGTGCCGAGGAGTAGACTTGAAATGTAGGAGCGTACAGTGTGTCTGTGAAGGGAAACCCTTCATATATGCAGGAAGTCGAGCTCCTGTGGGGGAGGGGAACAAGCCACTAGATAAAAGCCTTCCGGGCACCATTGCACGCGTCATCACGCCGTTATCCGAATGGGGAAAGGACAATGCATGATTTCTGCTTGGATGCCTGACATCCCGCCATTTCAGCTCCCATTTAGCAGAGTGTATCGCAAGGTGTGCCTGGCTTGGATGCGCCAATTCAAGACTCTGCGCGTCGTCCGTCGTGTCTGACGAAGATCAGCCTCGTGGACCCTGGTATCCGGAAGGAACGAGAACGCCCATATCCGGGCTTGGGATAGAAAGTGAGCAGTTGGGAATATGAAGGGATACGAGGAATAAGGTTTCTGCCAAGAAAGGCAGCCAAGTGAGCTGCAAGGCTGACAACAATCGGTACCTAATCATAACTCGTAAGGATAGAAGACATGAAAATAATGAAAACTGATATGATATTGGAAGAGGCATCTTGGAACATCATTGAAGCTATGAGGGATTTGTTTATCGATTGATCAACGATCCGCCAGTGATCCACAAAAGCCGTCGTGAAAAGCTTGGTATCGATTTGTGGGGTCACTGAAGCCCGTGCCACAGCCCTGCCTCACTGTTGTCGGCTCTCTCGGCTCAGGGTCCTTTCCGTAAGCCCCCTGACCGCAAAGAAAAAGGGGTAAAACAGTAAAACAAGAGCACCAGTTGTTACCCAAAGGCATGCGAAAGGGTATTATTTCGCCCAGCCAGAATCCAATTGTTTTTCTATCTTCATTACTTTGAGCTTCCTTATTGCACCGACTTTCTGACTTGTCAATTGATAGTCATCCACTTTATTTTCAATGCATTTAGAGCTAGGGAGACAAGTCCAAACTCTTCGTTCCACTACAACGAGGTGTGAACTATCAGATCTCGTACTTTATACTCTTGAGCAAAGTTCGAGAGAGGATACTATTCTTCTATCGAGAATAGAGTTCGCACCGAAACATTGTTCTAGTACCGGCTACCAATGCCGAACGGCTGTCTGGCACTAAGTCATCACTTGACGTAATTTCACGAATAACTTCCCACTTCGTATGACACGTTCTGCCTGTCCAAATTTCTTGCAGAGCATGTCATCATATAAAAGAAAATCAAAATGACCACATCAGAAGAGCCGTCTTACATTCTTCGCCATAACAAAACAGCCACAGAGAGCGAAAGGCGAGAACAAGTTATATCCTTGAAGAATCTTATTAATTATACTTGCTCATGAATTCTCCAGGCTTGATCAGCAGCATCACTTCATTTCAAGTTTCACTCCTGGCTTCGTATCTCCCGCCATTCCGCGGGCAAAGCTGGTAAACATTGCAGACATAGCTACTGGCACAGGGTAAGTCCTCCTTTCCGAATTCCGAACACAAAACAAAGATACTCATTCATCATCAGAATCTGGCTGCGGGAACTCTCATCCACTTTATCCCATGATCAACCGAACGATAGAGCAGCTCCAAGTTATACAGGATTCGATATCTCCTCGTCTTTCTTCCCCACGGATCTCGGACCCGACTTCAAATTCGTCCAGCATGACATCCTGCAACCGTTCCCAAAAGAGTACCACGGAAACTATGACTTGGTACACTTGCGTCTTCTAGTCGGAGCAGTCTTAGAAAAGCAACTCCCGATCGCACTGCGAAATGTCATTGAACTCCTCGGTCAGTAAGCACGTCCTGAACTTGAGTTGAGATTCAAGAAACTGAACTTCACACAGTACCTGGCGGCTATCTCCAATGGGACGAGTGGCACTTCATCAAAATGCGTTTCGATCCCGACCGCCCTGAAATTCGAAAAATTCATACCTCCATCCATGCCCTTGGCAGGAAAGTCGGCTTCTGTCAAAATATACCCGACTTCTTGACCGAGCTTTTCAATAAAGATGAAATGGGTTTCACGGAATTTAAAAGAGAAATGTATTGGAGTCTTGAGACTATGACCAGCGATGCGGGAAGGGATGACCAGAAGACAAGAGACTTGACGAGAGTGTGGTGGTTGGAAAGCGTAAGGGCTCTTGTTCCTGTACTCGAGGGTAAGAATCCTAATAGGAGTGTACGAAGTCCGGAGGAAGTTGAAGAGATTTTGAAGAGAGAGGAGAGTTATGTTAAGGACTGGTATGCTGAAGGTGGAATTCTTAGTGTGCCTCTAGTCAGTATTCTGGGTAGGAAGGCGTTGTGAAGTCGCGAGGCGTCTGAGAAGGTGGCAAGTAGCAAAAACGTTACCAAAGTCGAGAACTGAGAGTTCGGGGATGCTTCGTAGAGGATGTTTCGTCGTCAAGTATTTCAGTTGAAATCGAATGGCTCTGACTGCAGACCGAACGCGTGATGGCATATCCTCACCTTCGAGGTCGTCATCTTTTCAACTTCGACATTTTGCTTTTTCTCTCTAGCAATCACCACAGGTCATTCCAAAGCTTCGTAACTTACTGTGCAATCAGTTTTCACCTCTAGTAGACGTATTGATCGCCAGTCTGGTCAATTTCGAAAAATTCTTCGAGAGAAAACAGGCTAAGCGAGGCCGGATTACCGCGAGGCTGCATTTTCTTTGCTTTCGTCGCCAAAGACGCGTTGTCCTCCAAGAAAATATCTGCACCGTGTATCCTCACACAGATGGAGTGTCTTCGACGAGTCTTTCGAGTGCTGTCCTTGAGCCATGATTATCCAGATCCGGTAAAGTTGAACCATGAGCTTCCCAGGCTGAATGCCCTCGAGTTCTCGCTGCTGGAGAAACTCCCTTCCGAGCTGGTGGTACAGATCATCAGCTATCTACCTCCTGAGTCGGCATCCATGTTCGCTATAAGCTGCCGTCCTTTCTACTACATGCCGAGGAAGCAGGTTCTGGAGCCATTGCAGTATGGAAATGGCATCACCATGGTTGTCGACCACCAGCGCATGATTATCGAGATCAGCAGCATCAAAGGCGCGACACCAGCCGCGAGAATCCATGGGACGACCTTGAGTTTGCTTTTAAAGGACTTCCCATTTAGCACTGTATGCCATCTATGTGGCAAGCTTCATTCATTGGCCTCCCCTGAGCCCATCTGCCCTTCACCACAATACCCAAGACCTTGGCGGCAATGTTTAGTACTCGATGAAATTCGCAAAGTCTAGATATACATCACTCCAGACTTCAGCACGACTATATTTCGGATCTTGATGCAGAGCTTTCATCTAGGTTACATCGATGGCGCGATTGCGCTCTCTCGAAGCATCTCTCCTGGAGTTCGACATTTCAGAAACAATAAGCAACACTATACGAGGCAATTGTAGAGCGAATTTCGAATTGTGGATGGTTCCTTGACGTATCGAGAGCAGAGGAGGTTCGTGGATAGGGACAAGTGTTTCGAGTTCTACGACGCTGAAGAATTGATCCTGTGTCTACACCAAGTTCTTCGAACCAAAGAAGAATTATAAGTCCAGCATCGTCAAGGCTTATTATCTTGCATAAGATGCCTGACTGATATCAGAGCCGACGTCAAATACTACGCTACGAGGGAAGAAGTGAAAGCAATCTTCGTCACAAGGTGGCTTGACCTAGGTCAAGGCCGGGATCCGAGCGACCACAAGTGGCTGAGACATCTGAAACTACATCCATCAGAGACTGCGGACTTGCCGACTCCATCGAAGAGGCAGAGAGGTTCGGTGTGCAAGATGTTTGAAAAGATGGGTTACAGGAAATGGCAATTCGACTCGTTCATCACATACCAGGACGAAAAGGCGCTCATCACCCCTCCGTAGCGTCGCTCCTAGCATGAACGGGGACTTCAATGGTATGATTATGTGCATTTTCAGCCTTGTTGGAGAACTGTGTTGGTTGGGCACCATCTGTTAAGTGGTGCACGGAGCGGGCTGAAGAAAGGAGTGGAAAGAGGCGATAGATGGAATGCAGGCGAGATCTAAGTAAGCGAAGGAGTTTGCGACAAACATGGATGTTGCTGGCAGATGTGGATATTGTCGTTGTGTATTAGAAAGTCTGAATGCTCAAGAGAAGCGAAGTAGCAATGTAAAATATTGGAGATGAAGAACTAGTCGATTACACAACTACTGTACCTAGGTAGGTGTATTCATGCTGGCCATACTCGTCGCGAGACTACTCGTGTTGCTACTTGGACACCACATCAGTATCTCAAGGGCTTTTATCAATGGCACATTGAAGTCTAGGAGATTCGAGGGGTTGGACTCGTTGCACCCAGTGGGAACTTCTACTAAGCAGCCTGAGAAACCCCGTTGAGCACCCGCCAATGTCTGGCTTCTTGGCTTTACAATGAGAATGAATTGAATGGATTCACTAAAGTTTGGATTGACCACTAGCTTCACGCTAGATCAACACAATAGCTAGAGTCGCTTCCAGGAAGCTTTTGCAACGGTCTAGCTTCCAGTCTTTATTGTATCTATCATCTCCCCGACTTCTCCTCCATCTTCTAGACAAACAACTTCGCAAAACGCAAAATAGCACAATTGAGAGATTCAACTACACTGCCTTCCTGGTGTCCTCTTCACGAGCGCACATTTGATAGCACACCCGTGATACGAGCGCGAAGGGTGGCGCAAGTCGCAGGTAATCCTTGGCTTCGCAACCATTGACAACGCCATCATTTCCCGCTCCCAACCAACAGCGTCATTTCAACAGCTCGTTACCACACGCACTATTTCTCCGCCTTCGATTACCAAGATGGAGAACGCCAGTGAATCAGCTCGTAAGAGAACTGCGGAGTCGGCCTGTCTCGATGAGCGCGACGATCCGCAGAAGAGATTCGGACTGCCCAGTATGGTCAGCCAGCCTCTTACGTACGAGCAATTACAAACTGAATTAGCGGGACTTCGAGTCGAGCTCAATCTCTCGAGAGAACATGTAGCTACTGAGAACGAAAAGTTCAACCAGGCCAACATATCACGGGACGAAGTTCAGAAGAAGCACGATCACCTATCTTCCGAATACCAAAAGCTGGAGAAGAACTTCGCTCTTGCCGAGGGTGCACGAAGCGAACTTGAGGAAAATTGGCGCAAGTTGAACAAGCACGTTCGGGTTGATCAAATCAAGTATAAGGAGCTCTTTGATCATTACACCAAGAAGAAGCAGGAATGGAAGAGCGGTCAGGGCGAACAGGCCAAGTATAGAGAGCTCTTGGACCATTACACGAAGAAGAAACGTGAATGGGAAGAGAAGCTCGCAAAGAAGAATCGTGAATTGACACTTTCCGCAGAGAGAAAGTCTAGGGATGACAACGCTTCACTGTTGATGAAGGTTATGGCGCTGGAGAAGGACCTTGAGAACGAGAAGAAGAACAATGCCCAGGTAAGCCTTATCACTTTCCTGTTTCTGTGACCTCCCAGCCCTTTCAAAGTCCCAACACACAAAATTCCGCACACCGCTATCGTATGCACCTACTGAGTGTTGTGGAACCCATGCTGATCTAAAGACACTCTAGTATACTGCCATAGCTCACGGCATGTCCGACCTAGATGACCAACGACGAAAGATCCGAGACGACGCCCACCAGCTCACTAGACGCGAGATGACCCTCAGCGTACGCGAGAACAAGCTCAACGTTATGAAAGGTCAATTTGCAGTTGATCTTAACAAGGCAAAGGAGTCTATCATTGCAAAGAAGAAGCAGGTCAATGCAGAAAAGGAGGACGCCATGAACGAAATCCGTGTGTTGAAATGGGAGAGAGACCAAGCCAGACGGGAAAGAGACGTGGCCATCAAGATGGCTCAGACCAACATGGTCGTGGAATCTAGTACTACAGACGAGGGCGCAGTCAACTCGCAACTGAACCTTCAAGTTGGAATGGAGGGTTTGGAGCGATTGAACATTTGAAACTCGAGCAACATTGGAAGAACGGAGTGGTCGAAGGGGGTAATTTTTGGACTGTCTCAAGGTCCTTTGATCGGTCTCTGAAAGATAAACCTCTATCTCAAAAGAGGCATATGAAGCGACTGGTTGTTGGCGGACATTAGGCGTAGGGAAGTGAGACTGATTTTCTTTTCTTTGCGGCGATCAGATAGGGTCATGGGCTACATGCCTTGAGCAGAAGAATCAATGAAGGAATGAATCTATCACACAATAGCGTTGTTGCGAGACAAATCTTGACAGTAACCATGTCGTGAAGATCGGGTGTGCTTTGATACACTGCTGGATATATGAAACAAGATTCTCCCAGATTGGAGGTGTCAGGGTATCGTATTTGAGAAGAGAAGGATGATTTATTCTTCTATGGAAGGAGCGTCGCTATAATAGCAGGCGCGCTAACTACGTACTAAACTACATCATGTGACTCTGCTATGCTACCGTGATAGGAGGGACAATAAGAGTGCGCCGAGCCCTGGTGTTTGCTGAAGTAGAAAAGACACTCAGCCATCAGAGATATGATCTGCCACGCAGTTTATACTACACCGGAATTATGGCTGAGGTTTTAAAGATTATTTGGGAGGATGGAGTGGACATCATCCGGTACACTTGCATGGAGCTGGCCAGATGACTAGGACATGAACAACCTGTTACGAGTGAACGAGGGCCTCAGCAGTCGGTTCGCTGACGAATTCATATTTCCAGCGCTGAGCCCGGAGAATTGTCTTCGTCTCCCGGAAACAGAGCTCAAGAAAAAATCTATCATCTGTCCTTCGCTGAGTACACTTTCAACCCATCAAACCTTGCTGGAGTCAGCCATTCCTCTCCCATTTTCCTCATTCAATGTTTCACGCCTCAATACTTGGGTGATTTTTTGCATTCAGGAAAAAGAACGAAGCTGACAGATCAATGGAATTTAGGTTTACGACATTTGGAACCCAGTACGGGCTACAGACTGTAAATCGGACGACACAGCGACAAACATACAAGAAAGTTTCTTCAACTTTGTAGAATTCTATCAAACAAGAAAGTCTCCGAATGGGGGCGTCTGTTCGAATGAATTTATGCATGAGTAGACTTGGGGAAATGTAATTTTGATGAAATGAGACCTTCTCCACCTACGCGACTGGAGCCAAGCAGAGAGGATTATCTCGTTTTCCGTTGTGAATTCGACTCTTGCACTACAATGTGGATGGATTAAGAGGTTGATTCTCCAATTTGCCTACTTTGTGACTATGTGCGGTCTGCAACCACAACTCCTCATTGTGGCTCAAGATGAATTGCAGTACGAGCTCTTTCCAGTCGGAAGCCTAGACTGATCTATCGATGCATGAATATCACTAGACATTCTTCATGCATGCCTGTGGTGGTGGTGAGTGGTGGTACTCGAACCGAAGGTCTGCACTTCCTTTCGGATCCCGGACCGAATCCGTTCCCATTGCCAACGATCGTCAGATTCCACTACTGAACAATCAAGATAACGATTTGATGCTGGAAGTGGGGATAGATAGCGGACAGAACCTCAAGGCTCTTCTGGAACACAGCTCAGCCTTGTCTTGCTTGTAAGGAAATAATATCCTCAGAGTACACCAAGCCACTGCAACCTGCGCACGTCGTCAAAATGGTCTCCTCGATCGCACAACCCCCTGATAAGTCAGTTGACTTACTCATCGGCTCCCTAAGGAAATCAGCAAATTCAAAAGAACATCTCGAGACAGCAATTCGCGACAAAGAGCTTGTTCCACTGTGGAACACTGGGGATCCGCCAGCAGCACCCGAACCACATACGAAGCATATTCCAGCGGTCTGGCGATATGAAGACACGAAAAGCCTTCTCCTTCGCGCAGCTGAACTTGTTGACGCAAAAGAGGCAGAGCGTCGTACAAATCTTTGCCAGTTTCTCCATCTCGCTTTCTGCTTCTCCATGTCCCTATTCCTGCAGCCGGTGAACATAACCACAGGGCACAGATGTGTCCCGACCTCGACTACATTTGCTGAGTTTGCCCTGGGTCCTAAAATCTTCCTTTGCAAGACTTCGCAGATGTGGAGTATTGAGAATCCACTTGCCAACGAGCATCAGTTGGAATCAGGGCTAGCTGAATAGGGTCGTATTTCGTATGGTATATGATTGTCGGAGCCTGGATTGAATCCCATCATTTCCCTCGCTCTCGATCGGCAGACTCTTGAGAAGGTTCGCGTAAAAGGATTTCCATCTCAGGTTCAACCTTTGCATGCCTGCTCCTTTTTCTTGCTAGAAAGACACATTTCGAGGCAAGCCGACTTCAAAGAATGTCGCCATCCAGACTGTCCCTTTATCTCAGTGCAAACCCGGGTGTCGACGGAGCTTGTGAGGTTCGACTTGGTCTTATTCCTTGCGCAATTGACACATATCGAAGTACCTTGGTTGAGCTCGTACTGTTTGTATTTGGTTGGACGTCGCAATCAGATATTCAGATGGAAAGCTTGAAGGCGGTGTGTTACGTGCAGCGACAATAACTCATCGCCTGGGCAGGTCTGCTTCGCTCGTCTCAAACAAACATTGATATCGTATTGTTTGTATGGCCTCGTCCCATTTTCATTCATAGCTTAAGCTCAAGCAATCGCACCTACTCTCTGCCCATGGACCACAGACGTGTCCCAGGCGAGAATCAAATGATGTCCTCGGATCACGGACCGTGGAGCAAGGAAGACGTCGGAGCGCTTATCATAGGTCTTGTCACTAGCACTTGCAGTGCAGACGCTCTAAAAGGTCTTGAGGTCAGGTGTTTTAGTGGATCATGCGATACACACGTAAAGTGAAGCTCTTTCTCGTGAGTCTGACACGAAGATCAAGTTGTGCAACTAGAGCTCTGGCGTACAATACAATGGGCTCATTTTGGTCATTGTTGATGCCTTCTAACGCACCGCAGGACAATGGGTTCAAAGTACTCATCATTGGGGCTGGAATAGTGGGATTGACTGTAGCTCAAGGCCGTCGCGAAAATGGCATTCCGTTTGAGATATTTGAGCGTGACGTGAAGGGGTCAAGAGCTCAGGGTTGGGCATTGACTTTACACTGGTGCTTAAATGCTTTCGAAAGAACTCTAGGATCCAAAATTGCTGCGTCGATACCTACGGTAGATTGATTGAACTTGAATCACCCTCGTTGTCTTGAGCTGACCAAGACACAGGCTGTGGTAGACTCGTCATTGAAAGAGGACGCTGGCAACTTTCTCTTTCTCAATTGTGCCACTTGCGAGCCCCGATATAGGATCCCTCCCTCAAAACGACGCCTGAGACTTCATCGACAAAAACTCCGGGATGTGATATCATCTGGACTCGACATCCAAGAAGGGAAAAGATTGAAAGCGATCGAAGAACTTCCCCAAGGTGGCGTCAAAGCACACTTCACTGATGGCACGAGCTCGACTGGTTCGATGATCGTTGGCGCAGACGGCAATAACAGCGCGGTTCGAAAATATCTTCTTCCTAAGTCCTTCAAGCTTAATCACTTGCCTGTGAACCTGGTTGGCGTTGTGAGACACTTTACTCCGGAACAAGCGGCTCCAATCCGCGCTCTTGATCCTCTGCTCTTCCAAGGTCTCCATCCCGACACAGGTAATTATCTTTGGTACAGCATACAGGCAAGATACCCCTTTAAGCTTGGTCATACACAGGCTAACGGCTTCTAGGAATGTATAGATGAACCAGATGGTCGAAAATCGTTCGATGCGTTAGTCATTATCAGCTGGTTCATCAAGGATGAAGTCAAAGACGCTATTCCCGCGACTCACGCAGAAAGAATAGCTCTGATGAAGCAAAGAGCAGAAGGGTACGCAGAGCCACTCAGAAGCATTGTAATAGATATTCCAGACGATTTGCCATTTACTACCCCTCTTCGCTTAGCGGACTTCCCAAGTGTTCCTTGGGACAATAGAAATGGCCAGGTAACTCTAGCTGGGGACTCTGGCCATGCAATGACAATGTCAGTATTCTGTTCATATATTATGTTACAACTGACTCAGTTCCAGGTATCGTGGAGAGGGGGCCAATCACGGGATTTTGGATGCTGCACTTCTTGTCGATCAGTTGAAGAAGATTCATGAAGGGTCTGTGTCGCTAAAGACAGCAATTGATGCCTACGAGATAGAGATGAGACCCAGGACACATGCAGCTGTTCTGAAGAGTCGTCAAGCTGCCTTAGATGCTCATGATTGGGATGCTCTGACAGAGGACTCGCCCACGATTGGAGCAAGATCTCCGCCCGCTACAGCTTGATTTCGTATCAGATGAGCGCAACACATGAAATTCTTGACACTCCCGTTCGTATGGTTTACAGCTCTCACTTTGCTTTGAGTCTCACTCTATATATTTGCTCGTGAGACGCCTTTCCTCTTGATACACCCTTCATATTTCATACATCATAGCGAGATGCCTCTAGCAATGTGCGGCTTGGATTCGGGATACAATTATGGAAATTCGATCGTTCCGGCCCCTTTCTCAACGGCCACGACCAATTGCTGATGCCTTAGCTCACTTTTCGTAGCATGGAACTATCGTTCCTTTTGACATGGGAGGACTATCGACCCTCAGACACGACGTGAATAGCAGTCAGATTTAAGCTCGCCCCACTGGGGTAGGAATACTTTAGCGTGGGGTCCAGCTGAAATTCTTTTGCGGCACAGCCATATGTATGTATCGACACGTTCAACACAGGCATGTCTCACAAATACCACGACGCATAACGACCAAATACTAAGTCTCTCTTGCCATATATATGATGCCATATACACGGGCTTACGCATTCTTGACTTACAACATCTTGTTGAATATCCAAAATCTAAGATGGGCGAAAACTCTGACAATGGAGAACGCACGGTCCAGCTTGCCCCTTTTGCCCTGCTACTAAGTACCTTAGACAGGACAGCAAACGTTCTCAAGTTGGTACAAGATATTGCTGATGCTTGTCGGACACACGAAGACTCAATCGAAGACGCATTGCCATGTTCTCCTATGCAGGAATCACTCATGGCAGCTTCCACAGAACGTGGCAATTCGTACATGCTGCAGATGGTCTCGAAACTGGACAATCAGGTTCCACTGCAAGAATTCAAGAGGGCGTGGGAAGCAACTTCAAAAGGATATCCTATTCTGCGCACAAGTATCGTTCAGCTCGAGCCTCATGGATATGTTCAGGCCGTTGTAAAGGACAGTATCGAATGGCAACACTCAGGGTCAGTGAAGGACTATCTACGAAGCGACTTAGAGCGGTTGATGACGTTCGGTGAGCCTCTTTGGAGGTTTGGAATAGTGACCACCGACGATTATTCTGCTGGCAAACAACGCTTCTTCGTATGGACTGCACATCATGCTGTTTGTGACGGCTATTCCATAGGCCAACTATTGAAAGGCGCCGCTCTGAATTTCAAAAGGAAACCGTTGCCTGAAATCCCACCTTTCAGTCGCTTTATCCAGCATCTAAATTCCAAAAGTGGACCAGAGTCTCAGGAATATTGGAGAAAAGAACTTGCCAATTCTACTTCAATACCATTCCCGTCTCTTCCCAGCCGGGTATTTCAGGCCAACCCATGTTCAGTTTTCGGGCGCGATATCGCAATTCAATGGCCTAAACAACTCTCCATATCAAAAGCTCTGATTCTCCAGTCAGCTTGGGCTCTTCTATTGTCCAAATATACAGGCTCTGATGATGTAACCTTTGGAACAATTTCAAGTGGACGCAACACACCAATACCGAATATCCGAGAGATCGCTGGCCCGGTCTTAGCTTTGCTCCCTGTCACGATCCATGTCGAGCAGAGTCTGTCGATCGAACGCTACTTGAGTGATGTCTATGCTCGTGCTGAGAGAATGGTACCTTATCAACACACTGGCCTGTCCAGCATTCGCCGTTTTCTTGGTGAGAAGGCAGCTAGTGTTTGCAACTTCAACAACCTCGTTGTGATTCAGCCAGGATCATTTATAGGCAAGACAACAGAACTGCTGAAATATCTTGGGTTGAGCGTGGTGAGCGAATTGTGGAAATACGAAACTCATTCATATCCGCTGGTTGCCACAATGACATATACTGATGCTGGTTTCCACCTCAAATTTGAGTACGACGATCGGATACTTCACCATCAGCAACTAGTCCACCTTGCCAACCAGTATGCAGAGATTCTGGGACAACTCTGCGCAGCAGCTCCCACCTCTTCCGTTCGATCCATTACCAGGCTGTGCCCTAATGACAAGTCTCAGATCTTTGCTTGGAATCAGACCGTGCCAGAAGTACAAGACAGTTGCGTTCATCACCTCTTCGAGAGACACTTCAAAGAAAGTCCCAATCACCTGGCACTTTGTTCATCGGAGAAGACTCTCACCTACTCTGAAGTTGATGCCATTGCTTCAGCGTTCGCTATTGAGCTGATGAAAAAAGGTGTGGGAGCAGGAACACTAGTTGGTCTTTGCTTTGAGAAGTCTCCCGAGTCACTTCTCAGTATTCTCGCAATATTCAAAGCTGGGGGGACCTTTGTTCCCCTTGACCCTTTTCATCCGAGGAGCAGAATTGAGGAAATAATGGACATCACTCAGATGCAATTTGTGATTACGTCTAGCACATATTGCGAGCTGTTCAAAGACATGGATGTCAAATTGATTGGCTTTGGTAACACCGTCCTCGAGCGAGAGAATGCTGTTGATGTGGGTGTCATCGATATAACCAACCCTAGCAATGCAGCATACATTATGTTTACCTCTGGCAGTACTGGCAAGCCAAAGGGTGTAGTAATGTCCCATTCAGCCGTTTGCACAAGCATCATGGACCATGGTGAACGCCTAGGATTCAGACCTGAATGGAGAGTTCTGCAATTCTCGTCACATACCTTTGATGTAAGCATCGCAGAGATTTTCACGACGCTAGCTTTCGGAGGCTGTGTTTGCATTCCCTCGGACCATCAACGACTTAATGGTCTCGATCAGACGATTCGCGACCTCGGTGTCAATGTGGCGCTGTTGACACCCACTGTTGCTAATTTGCTCGTCCCAGCAGAACTTCCCGCGTTACACACATTGATCCTCGGAGGAGAGGCTATTAGTCGGGACCATATTACTCGTTGGGCTGGACAAGTGCGAGTGGCCAATGGATTTGGGCCAACGGAGGCTTCCATCTACTGTTCGGTGAACGAGAATCTCTCTGTCGATGATGCTACGAATATCGGTACCGCCACAGGTGGAAACAATTGGGTCGTCGATCCTAACAACCACGACTTGCTCAGTTTGATTGGATGCATTGGAGAGTTGGTTGTTTCGGGATCAAATATCGCTCAAGGATATTTTGCGGATGTTGAAGCCACAAATTCAGCATTTGTACCTGCTCCGTTATGGCTCTCGGAAGCTGGACATTCCTCTTCCAGAATATACAAGACAGGGGATCTGGTGAGATACAAACATGATGGGAGCATGCAATTTATAGGTCGAAAAGATACGCAAGTCAAAGTTCGGGGTCTCAGGATCGAGTTAGGAGAGATCGAAAATCACATTGCTGGACTCACCGATGTCTCTGGTGTTCTTGTTGTCCTACCCTCATCCGGTCGTAGCACCGGTAAGCTTGTGGCAGTCGTGTGTTTCTATTCAGGACTTCGTGGTGGACCCGAAGATGCCGTTATCGAGCTGAACCCAAATTTGGTCAAAGAGAACACTGACGCACGGTTCCGAGATATCTACGATCAACTGGCTTCAAAGGTGCCTGAGTATCTGATTCCATCCACCTGTGTGTCGGTAAAAAGGATACCACTTACGAGTTCTGGGAAGATGGACCGGAAAACAGTCAAGACTTGGGTGGAGAATATGTCTCTCAAGACGTACAGGCTCAGCTCGAGAAGCTTTGGAGATTTCAGCAAAACCAAATCCAACGGGGCTCAAGAATTCCCACAAGGTTCCCTAATTTCGGAGCTACGTCTCGCCTGGAGTGGGGTGCTGAATGTCCCCATAGAAGAGCTTGATGCAGATACCACGTTCCTGAGTGTTGGAGGAGATTCAATCTCTGCGATCCAGCTTGTGACCAAGTGCAAGAAGATGGGCATCTCCATCAGCATGCGGGACATTCTCAAAGCCCGTACTCTACGAAATCTAGAGGCGCTTGCATCTCGGATACGCCCTGTCGATCACTTAGAAACTATCAAAATAATTCCTTCCAACGAGTTATTCGATCTATCTCCAGTCCAAAGGATGTTCTTCGCTCAAAACCAAACAAATTCCGGGTCTGGACGGTATAACCAAAGCTTTACCGTCAGATTGGCCAAAACCATATCACCGGGAGTCCTCTCGGTCGCATTCGACGCTGTCGTGAAGAAACACCCCATGTTGCGAGGAAGGTTTGTTCAAAAAGACAACAATTGGCAGCAATTCTATGCTGAAATGGATCCATCGAGCTACCGCCTCAAAGTTCATGGACTCCTATGCGTAGATCGAGTGACTAGCATCGCTGAAGAGGCGCACTCGAGTATCAGCATAACCAAAGGCCCAACCTTTTCGGTTGACATCTTCGACTTAGACATGAAATCGGAGATCTTATTTGCTGCACATCATCTCGTTGTCGATCTGGTATCTTGGAGAGTGATACTTGAAGATTTGGAAGACTTTGTAAATACTGGATCATTATCAGCACCCGCAAGCACTCCCTTTTCATCATGGAGTCAAGCTTTGCGAGAGAGATACGATCAAAGTTTGTCAGTACATGAAAGATTGATTGCCATCGAATCTGATATCGCCGAGTTCTGGGGCATCTCACAAGAAGACAACACCTACGGCATGACTGAGAAGGTATCCTGGACGCTCGATCCCGAGTCTACGCAGTCACTTCTCAAGGCAGGGTACTCGAGAGTCAGGTACGAGCCCGTCGATATGATGATATCTGCTTTGGTTTACTCATTCCAACAAACGTTTGTCGATCGAGGAAGTCCGACAGTTTTCCTTGAAGGCCATGGACGGGAACCTTGGAAGCCGGCGCTCGACATCAGTAGTACTGTTGGTTGGTTTACAGTCATGTATCCAATCTTTGACTTCCCGACGCCCGACACTAGATTTCTTCCGACATTGAATCATGTAAGAGGTGCTAGAAGAGCACAATCGGATAATGGTCTAGATCATTTCTCACGCAGCATGTTTCACCTAGACAAAGAACCCACAACTAGTCATGCTTTAGCTCGAGAAATTCTCTTCAACTATCAAGGTATCTACAAACAATTTGATGAGCAGAGTTCCCTTTTCGAGCTCGTAGACTATGAGAGACTTGAGAAAACAATGACAGGCTCTGGCATCCGACGAAATGCTATCTTTGAAGTTGAAGCGAGAGTTCGGGATGGAAGGCTTGAATTTTCACTGGCGTACAACAAGAACTCCAGGCATAATCAGAAGATTGGTCATTGGGCGAACAAGACCAAGGTGGTTCTGGTGGACATCCTACTTGAGCTGTCAAATTCTATTGCCTCACATTCCGTGAGGAATTTCCTAGATCAAAGATTCAGCGACCTGCAAAGGCAGCATTTCGACAACATGCTAAGAGAGAAGCTTGGGGGAAGGCATGATCTGCTGATCGAAGACGCACATCCTTGCACCCCAACGCAAAAGCAAATGCTAAAGAGTCGAAAGAGCAATCCCTTGACCTTCCGTGTCAAATGGGGCATTGAAATATCAACGAGGTCAGGAAATCTAATATCTGTGGGGGACCTAGCCAATGCATGGCGAGAAGTAGTTGGGCGGCATGCAATGCTCCGAACAACTTTTCTGTGCGAAGATTTAGACAATTGTCCAGCACTCCTTCAGGTCGTCATCCAAAGTCCAGAGCCCGACATTACGATTCTACACGAGATTTCGAATGACGAAACGACTGATTCATCAAAGCTTGATCTGAACTCTCGACTACTCCCTCATCATCTCACCATCCTGACGACTCCATCCGACTCCGTAAAATGTACATTCGCTGCTCATCACTCACTCCTAGATGGCTTTTCTCTTCGCCTCATCATGCGCGATTTCCTGGCGGCATATCAGCATACTCTGCCTTCAGCGGCAGCACCCATATTTGGCGATTGCGCTTCTCTATTCTTGGATCATCAACTCAATGTTGATCAACAGACTTCTTATTGGGAAGACGTTCTCAAGACCCAACCTCCATGCATACTTCCTGCCTCTTATCCTAGCTCTCACTCCAGCACGGCCTCGCCGGGTTCCAACTACACTACCATTACGCTCTCTAGTATCCCAGTATCGAAGATTCAAACCTTCGGCTCAGAATATGGACTCACAATTTCAATCCTAATAGACGCCATCTGGGCTCTTACTATCGCCTCCTTGATGTCGCCTCAAACCCAATCATCCATTTGCTTCGGATACGTAACTTCACTACGCCCCTACTGTCTTTCCGCATTTCCTCTGGCAGACGAGGTCGTGGGCCCAATGATTACCGTCTTACCTTACCATTTACAAATCAGCAGTATGCCTTCTCTCAACCCAGGCAGTGATGTGGTTGCTCTTGCCGGAGAAATGCAAGAGCAGCGCGCTCAAGACTCTGAATATGTATTTGACGATATCGAAGCTGCAATTGAGAGGCTAGGCAAAGGGAAGTTGTGGAATACCGGTACGAACTTTCAGCATGTGGGGCCAAGTGAAAAGGCTACTGAAATGGAGGATTTACAAATCAAAGACTTGGACTGGAGTGATCCTTGGGATGTAGGCTTACTCTTATTGAAATCCTTGGTGATATGGCTAACGGGTGTCGTGATCTAGTTTGATATCATGGTTCGCATTTTCGCAGACGAGCAAGTAGTCAATGTGAACTTGGAATTCGATACTGTGGTCTTCTCTCAGGAAGAGATGAGAAGAGTATCTGACTGCTTCGAAGGGCTGTTGAAAAAGATTTTTGAGTAGTGCGAGGCTCGTCTTAAGGGTCAAGGCAATGGATATTTTATGGAGAAGAATATACTTAATTTTAGGGATAGGGTGGTATGAATCTTTGCTTTCTATTGTTTTATGATTTGGAGTAGGTTCATGCCTGTCTGTTAAAATTGAAAGCCAGCTTTCGATGGGTAGTAGTTCATGAGAAAGAGTCCCTGTCTCACAAACGCCTGACACAACTTTTTCGAAGGTCGAAAAGCAGCAAATGTTGGTCCACAGTACCCTTCCCGAGCCTCCGCTTATCATTGGACGTAGTGAACGACCAACGTCGGAGAGCTGGGTTTTTCTAGCCGGATAATGCACCCTTCTTAAGTGCGCTGACATGAGCCCTTTTTGTCATTGGTGTAGAATTATCATGTTTGCGTGCATATAATGTCCTTTACCATGTATTTCTGTTCTCTTCCAGATATCCATTACTCTCTGAAGTCTGTTGCAGCTCACTGCTATTCTCATCCACCACTGTAATCATGACACTTACTGTCGAAATCCCACAGACTAAAGAGGACTTCTACCGAATGGGAGAAATCCGGTCCCAGGCCTTTGGGAGTGAGCAATTCTTTATCGACATACTTTTCCCTAATCATCATACTGCTGCGGGGCGTCTCCTCCTCCGCGACCGTTTACTCAAAATCAGGGAGATGCCCAGTGCGCGATTTGCAATGGTTCGAGATACTGAAACTGGAGAAATAATTTCTCAGGCCGAATGGCATTATTATCCTAAGGATTCAGTAGGCGACATAATGGATCTGAGCTTTGTTGAGGGGAGCGAGGAGGAAAAAGCATTCGCGACCCATATTTTGGGGACGTTTCAAAGGAAAAGGAGGGAAGCGATTGCAAACACCAAGGTGCCGTTGATGCGTACGCTTTCACATTTCCTTCAGACATCGAGCTTAAACCCCAAGATGTATATTATTCCCATTCGGCCTCTTGCTAATCATCTTCGCTTGGCAATAGTGCTCGATAGCCTTACAACAGATCCCAAATATCAAAAGCGAGGAGCTGGATCAATGCTTGTAAAGTGGGGCTTGAACATTGCTGATTCTATGAACGGAGAGGTATTTGCACTTTTATGAGCCGATCGTGGTACAAGACTAATCAAGCAACGAAGGCGTATCTTGAAGCTTCAGAATACGGGAAACCAGTGTACGAGAAATATGGGTTCGTAGCTTTGGAATCTTACAAAGTCCCAGTTCCGCCTCATTGGGGGAGGAAGCCTGATATCGAATACACTTTGATGCGACGTCCTGTTGCCGACAAATGATCTATTTTAAACTTTTACCACCATACCTTGATTTAAGACAAGAACTCATGTGATAATAAACATCTGCAACATAACGCCTCGTTCTACCAGAGCGTCGGGTAGCAGCCGTGGATCAGAATTTATGATCTCACCCGTTTGTGTGTTCTTCCACTTTTGAATATGATGAGGATCATCATTCTCTAGACGTTCCCACTCATCAGGGACCGAATATAGACGTGGATCTTCAGCAACGTCTAATAATTGTTCTGTCTTCTCGTGTTCAAAGCATGCCTCCCATACTCCACGCCAATTCATTCTTCTTTTGCTCCGCCAAGGCCTTGATACTGGTCCAAGAAGAGCCTCGCCATTCATTAGTCCATGAATATAAGAGTGTCCAACGATGTTGAATCTTGTGCTTGTCGCGTCTGGACGTAAGATTGTTGGCAAATTGCTACCAAGAAGAATACATACGATATCACCTACTCACCAACAGTGTGAGTGCTATGCAAATGGATAATTTGTTGGACCTTGAAAACTTCCACGTACCTTCTTTAACATGTTCGGGCGCCATCCCCATGTAACCTCTCTCCGTTAGAATGACTCTTCGTTTTGACTTCCATCTCAAGTCAGGATCCATGAGAACAGAATTCCTTGAACTTGACCCCTCCAACAGCTCAGTACGGATATCTTCTAGCGCCAAGTAGGCTGGCGTATCAGGTACATCCATTGTTTCCTCAAATTGACCTCGACACATGACGTGCAGGTAGGCATCAAGTAAACTTAGACCAGTTGGGTCTCTTAAGCTTCGCATCTTCTCAAGTCCAAGTTCCGAGATGAACCCGTCAACGTCCCCTTTGGGTGTGAGTAACCATTTTGAGACGTAGGAGACTGTCGTGACCTGGACCCCTGCTGCCCTAAGAATGTGAGGTTTCGAGTACCGCCAATGTGCCGATGAATCACCACTGGCGTGCGAGTGGAGATAAAAGTCGAGCGTCTCTTTATCTGAATTTGACCAGTCAGGCACCCACGAAGGCCAGTCCTTGTCTGGCTGATTAGAATGGCAATGGTGCAAAAGGGACAACCGTTGCGACTGAAAAGTATATTCCAGAAAAGTTGCTCTATACCCGTCGATCGGGGACAAAGCATAGTCGGGCTTGAGGGTGTTCGCAAAGCCTTCTGGAGCCAGAGCGAGAACACCGTATACCTTGTCCAAAGGATTGATGCATTTCTTGAAGCTACTGACCACAAGTAAATCTGGCAAGGACCAACCAAGGAGCGGATCACACATCTTTCCAACAGCCAATACTCTCTCTATCATACTCTCGGGTATATGCTGGATCTTGTTCCGTAGACAAATTATACCCCGTCGGAAATAATACCAGCGCATTCTATCTTTTCCACATTGTAAAATGGCCCTCGAGTTAGCCAACTGAATCTCTTGCACCACCCAAACCCGCTCAAACCATGGTCTTGTTATCAGGTCCCTGATAGTTTTCCAAGTCTCCACATCAAATGGCGAGTAATCGAAATCAGACCAATCAGCAAATGGATCCGCCTCAGGCGATCGCACTACGTAGGTATCGATAGTGTATTCGATCTGTTTTCCGACGTGTTCCAGAATTTCAAATGCTTTTGCGCTATTGCTGGATGAAGTGCCCAGCCATACAACGACTTGATCAGCATGTTTGTAAAGGTCACTCATCCTCAAGACTTGCTCGTTTCGCTCCTCGACGTCTTGCTGGTTGATACAAATAGCATCCACCCATATCAGTCTTGGCCGATCACTGTAGCGCAAATGCTTTAGAGCGACTGCAAGATTCTCGGTGATCTCAAGTGATCGGTCTCCCGTTGCAGGAATTGCGCCTTCGACTCCATCTCCATCGTCACCCACAACACAGGCAATCTCCACCTCAGCAAATGAGCCCCAAGTATACGAAAGGGCGTCAAATCTGGGCTCAAAGGTATCTGCATCACGGATCATATAATTGGAATCCCGAAAGTGTACCTCTTCCATCTCATCATCTGCAATGTAAAGATAGGGACGTTGCCAGGTCACTGTGGGGTAGTCATCCTCCTCTTTCTCCATACAGTAGAACAAGACACGACCTTCAATCGTTTCATGCGCAACCCAATCTTGTGGGAGTGTCAAATTTATTGCATCGATGTCTGGTTTTTCCCAGAGTATCTTCTTCTCCTTGATCTTGAACGGGACATGTAAGATCTTGAGGCGAACCTGGTCGATGTGGTTGTCGCTGGGAAGCACGGAAATGAGGCGAATCTCTTGTCTGCTCTCGTCAAGTTTGGTATAGGTGTAAGGAGGTATGGTGGACATGTTGAAATCTCTTTGACTTCATCCATGTGGTGTATTGCGGAGAGATGAAAGATTGACTCCCTGAGTAGGCTACCAAAAATAAGCTCGTGAGCGAGATCATGCAAGTGCAAGGATCGTAATCCGCATTGAGGCTGTGAATTCTTGGCGAACCTAGAAGCTAGAAAGCGTGCCCTACATAACTTCATCAATTTATGCTCTGTAATAAAATTGAGCAGCACACTCATTCCATGTAACGAGACTCTGTAATAGGACTTTCGTGTATCCATTCTTTAGTCTATCCAATAATTTTGCTTTTGGCCTTGTTCCTCCAAGAAGCCCATATGCCAGCAAAATATATATATTTTCTGAGCATGCAAGAGAACAATATCCAGCGTCCAGGCTTTTGCTTAATATAGCGTATCTTCAATGAAAAGTTTGGCTCTAGCACTTTCGATCGACTTGCAAAAGCACATTCTGATAATTTTCATCAAATTGATCCTCTTCCACCCTCTGATTCTTCCTTCTCAGGTGTCATGCAAACACGCTGTGAGTTCTGTGTTATGAGAACTGTTTATGACTCAGATGCTTATTTTAAGATTGCTGTTTTAATAACATAAATGCCTTTGTCTGCATCAAACTGAATATGGACTCTTCTGTGACTGCATTCCGTCGACTTACATTTCGTGTGTTCGGAAAATCTGGCGTTGAGCAAGTCAAATGCAAAAAAGGCCGCCCTGATTGAGGGATCTGATACGTGGTCGGCCGAAATCTCACTGAAGACGCACCAGGGATCAGAACGTCGACCTCGAGTCCCAAAAACGAGCGTAATTGCTTGACTATCGTTGCATTCAGGGCATTGTTTAAGCATAACGCAACCACCTTCACAAGTAAAGGGACTGGTCATGCAAGGTACGATTTCAGTGCAGCCTCCGGCTTCAAAAAGCAAGGCGTCAGTTGTGAGAAGCCTGTGGGGGTCTTCAAACACAAATTTAGCAGCTTGGCCACGTCTGTGGCAAGTGAGTTGAGAAACGGTCAGTCTTCTCCGCCGGAAGTCTAACGAAGGAAACAGCACAGGTCCAGATTGTGATTCTGTCCATAATCGCCGCCGCATGGTTCCAAGTCTATCTGGAAGGTATCCCCAGCCATTGACCAGATCAGCTTCTTCATCTAAGACTAGGCAAATCGGCGTGCGATGATGCAAGTAACTGGCCCAGGCATCGAGAGCGACTATTACGCTCGTCCCTCTGATTCCAACTTGTTCATGCGAAAGTAATGATATCTGCAAGCCTCGAGATCCGAATGAAAGAGACGTGTCATTGCCATCTGGTCCTTCCCATCGATCCATAGGGGATGTTTCGTCAAACATGAACGTCCAGCGAGAGGGTCTAGTAGGAATCGTTCCGAAGAAAGAGTATGGGTCGAATACAGCAGAATGTGGTATGCGCATAGCATCTACCATCCAATGGAAGCAATTATAGTGAGTGCAGAACGCTCTAGGCGAAGTTGCTAGCAAGCCCTGATTGTATGGGTCGTGAGCTGATGTCCACAGAAATAAAGTTTGATCTGAACTCCGTTTGAGAATTTCTTCTTCGAGTCGAATAAACGCCTTTTCCGCTCCTTCTCCGTATATGGGTGGCATGTGAACATCGAAGAGTCCCATTAGGCAGTATGCCATATCTTCTTCTCGAGTAGTTTGTCGTGATGAGGCCCAAGACATTCGTTGAGCAACATTGCATTGAAGTGGTGACATGCCACTAATAATCTCCTTTGGAATACCTGTGGCGTGAAAGATTTGATCTACCAATGTGTTCTTTGAACCGAGTTCCCTCCACTGAAAGTCAAAGACTAGAAGACGACGAGGTGCAATGAACTCTTGCAGAGTCCAGCCGCGAGTAAACCATCTACTTGCGCTCAGCTTTGAAATGGATGCGATGTCTTCCAAATAAGCATAGCAGACATCAGAGTCTCGATACCACTGGTACATCGAGTTGATAGCCTCGCTGAGTTCTGCCGAGCTGGTTTTATCGATGCAACAAGTGTCAATCCACACCCATTCATAACCGTCCTCGGCTGCTCTTTTGCAACAGCCTTGAAGCTTTGGGAAGGCGTTCATCTGGGCGAATGTGTGCTCTTTGATATCTTGGTAGGTTATCTCTCCTTCGCCCCACATGTGCGAGAGGATCGCGTATCGAGGAACGTCGCCGCCTGGAAATTCTTGCAGTCGAAGCTTTGTTGTGTGGAGCAAACGCATGGTGAAGCCCTGGAGCGGTGGCCAAGACGGGACGATAAGCACGACGAGGTAAGAAGCAAGATGGGACAATAGGTAATCTCAGTTCTGGTGAGATAATGGCACTGAGAGCGCGAGCAGCGCAACATGCGCGAATGGCGCCAACTCCGCGTTTTGCGCTGATAGCAAATCGCGCTGAAAATACGTGAGTTTGCGAGTGAGAGATGTTGGCCGGATTGAGACAATTTAGGCTAGGAAAATTACATGGAATAAATGCATACCATAGTAAGTAGGCAAGGAAATGAGTCGATGACTGCAGAACAGCAATTTTATTCAAATATTTCCACGTGATATATACAGTACCGGCATCTCTCGCTAATTTTAGCTTTGGGGCAGGCCACTCCCGGAGGTCAGGGGGGACACTATTACGACCAGCATTTGGTCGTGCTCAACTCCCGCTCCCGCTCTTGATGCTGTGTTGGTCTTTGTGTTGGTTTTTGTGTTACGGAAGCAAATCGGCACTTCCGAGCGTCCAACCATTCGCTATCATCTCATCCACCACAGGTGCGCTAGCCGCTCTCAAGTTAGCAGGTACTCGGCACTTGCCTATTTCCGACAAATTCTGCAATTCTGTCATATTATTCACCAGTTCACCAACATGCGCTAGCCGCTCTCATTAAGCCGCATAAGAAAGGATAACATAAGCTAGGTTACAACGTTGTACCACTTGCCTATCACGGGTACTTTACCTCTCGAAGGCAGTTTGAGGTAAGCGTCGCGCCCTAACATAGACTGATTTAGGCTTGAATTCTACCAATTTCACAGAACGAAAAGAAATCGAGCAGTGTTATATTTGTATTTGTAGTTGTTTAGCCCGTGTCTCGTCTGTAATTCTTTTCGAAATTTGCAAGCGGTACATCAATGCCTTCGACCTTATCTGAGAGCGTGGAGGATATGGGTAGAGAAAAAGGTATCAGTTCGCATACGTTCCAATCATTGGTCTCCCTTCCTAACCTCCACAGACACCGGTAGAGCTTAGGGTATCGGTTGAACTTCAGGACGAAGCACCCACCATTGCAATACCAATGGTACCTGAGACAGATCTTGATCGCGGCATCGTAGGATGGAATGGACAAGCCGATCCTGAGCTGCCATGGAATTTCTCCAAATTTCAAAAATGGTCTCTCCTGGGACAGATCTCTGCGATAACGTTCATCTCGCCGCTAGCTAGCAGTATTTTTGCTCCTGGCCTGTCATATATGGAGGAGTTTCACAACTCCGACAATCTCCTGGCCAGCTTCACAGTATCTGTGTTCATTCTTGGTAGCGCTCTCTCTCTCTTTCCATCCTTCGATTGTATGGAGCCTTCTAAATCATCCCAGGATACGCTATCGGACCCCTTTTTCTCGCTCCTGTAAGTGAGATGTGGGGACGACGACCTGTACTCTCGACCGCCAACGGCTTTTTCACTGTGTGGCAGATTGGTGTAAGCAAACTAATGGGTCCTTCAATGTCTTCTCTTGCTGATTCCTTCAGTGTGCCCTGGCTCCTAATTTAGGATCTCTTATTGCATTTCGCTTTCTCGCCGGATGCGGAGGAGCGGGAGCTCTTACTTTGATTGGAGGAGTCACGGCAGATCTTTTTGTCCCACAAGAACGCGGCCTTGCGAACTCCATCGCCGCTGTTGGTGTCATATTTGGCCCCATAATTGGACCCCTCTGTGGAGGTTTCATCGCCCAACGAGCAGGCTGGAGATAGATTTTCTAGGTTCTCCTCATTGCCTCCGCAACAATCGGTGTACTTCTCGAAATATTCAACAAAGAAACATACGCTCCTGTTCTGATTGCCCGAAGGACATCTCGTCTCCGCAAAGAACTAAATCGTACCGACCTTTACTCTTGCTACGAGGATAGAGAGCAGTCTCAGACCCCTTCTGCGAGATTCAAACAAGCTTTAAGTCGACCCCTGCGCATGTTATTCCTTTCCCCAATTATTGCCATATGTTCTTTCTATGTGGCTGTCATTTACGGAGAGCTTTACCTACTGCTCACTACAGTGTCATCTGTCTACCAATCGAGCTACCATTGGGCGCCAGAACTCACGGGCTTAGCAACGCTAGGTATTGGTTTAGGCTCCATAGCTGGACTTGCGTGTATGAAACCTCTTTCTTCATGTTCCTCGTTTGATTTTGCGGTAGCTTGTTCCAGAACCTCCTTGGGCTTGCTGAGGAGGGTTTCATCTCTTAGCCAGTTCCTTGTTTCGAAAATGAAGGTGCTAATTAATTACAGTCGTTGGCAGCACATCCGACAAGACCGTTGCAATTCTGACGCGCAAGAACAATAACATATACGAGCCTGAGATGCGGCTTCCTTCCATGATCTTTTTCGCAATGCTGATTCCAATCGCCTTCTTTTGGTATGGTTGGACAGCAGAAAAACATGCTCATTGGATTGTCCTAATGCTTGCTCAGATACCCTTCGGACTCGGGATTATGGGAATAGCCTTTCCTATTCAGATTTATCTTATTGATGCGTTCTCACTGCATGCAGCGAGGTATGAAGAGAATAGCCCCTTTCTCCTATTCAATTTGGGAGCCGAGCTCCTCGGGAATTCTTCGGGAGCCGTTTTCCCAAAAAAAAACGCGTTTCAAGCTCTCGGATATCTTCCTCGGCTCCTAATTACGTTCCAAGAATACGTACTAACTCTTCAATAGTGCAATGGCTGCTTTGACTGTGAGTCGGAGCTTGTTCGGTGCACTACTTCCACTACCGGCACCTAGAATGTACAAAGCTTTGGGACTCGGTTGGGGAAACTCGATATTAGGTTTTCTTGCGGTATGCATGATACCAGTGCCTTACGTACTATGGAAATTTGGCGGTAAAATTCGGAAAGAACACCCAATCGTGCTGTGATAGTCTCCAACACAGATAAATCTGGAAGAGCTTAATGAATGGCTTTTTGAGTATTAGATTGCTTGGCATCATGTATCAAAACAAGAGATTTGATAGACAACTGCAAAGTCCCAATAAGCTCAGTATGAGCGTCAATGTATCACTTTCACTGTCAACATATTTCCTTTTACTACCAACATGGTTCCTTCCACTGTCAACAGTCTTGTTCGTTATCATTATCCAAAAAGTTCCGGATTTTAAGACATCGGAGTTGGTCTGTAGATGGAAATATTCATGCTATAGCCTACCACAGAGTCCACACAAGGGGTTGTGGGTGGGCAGCGAAATTCATTTTGTTGGTGAGGGGTCATGAACTCGAAGATCATCTGTGTCAATTCAGCCGTCCTCAAGGTTGTCCGCTGGTGTCCGCTCTGGAAGTATTTATAGGCGGGAAAGGCGGCCGGTGGACGAGGGGTTAATTAGCAGGTTTCAGTGAATGGGTACTTCCTGTAGAAGTGGGTGTTTGCTTCATGACTGTAATGACTCTTTTCATTCACTCTCACATCTGGCTTCGGATCATTCACTCGGAAGAGATCTCGACCCTGTTCTTGTTGCACCTTTCTTTTCTCAAGTATATAATGAGCTCCCAGGATACAAGACTCAACACCAAGAATCACAAGCATAAATTCGGATGGATCACAGGAGCTTGTGGTCTTCGGGACTCGGCGGCACTGTATTTTGAAGATCCGGATCAAAATACGGCATCAGGGATCAGTAAAAACAGAAACTTAACTGAAATAATTCAGCCAGGAGCGTAGTCTGAAATATAGTAAAGCGGTTGAGAAACAACAACAGTACACAAATTGGCAATAACCGCAACTGCCTCATCCTAGCCTGCCTTTTGCTTCTTGGAATATCAGATATCAAAAAACTTAGCAAGATTATTACTCTATATTAACAGCGCGTATGCTCACGATCGACTTCCAAGCCACGTAGCTTCGGAGGCCATGATGATTTACTGGTCTTGTGGAAGAAGATTCTTGCAGGAGATGAGCTGCTTATTTATACGGCTTGGAGACAAGCCTATGATTCGACTCGAAGGCTCGATGAGCTCGAATCTTTTTGGTAAAGAGTTTTGAGAGTGAATCTAAAATTAGTGACTGTGTCTCCTAGAGTCGATTCAGACTACTTTCATCTCTCAACCCGAACTTTTGGATATATAAGCCCCGACCGCCACAACTCACGGATACCCAAACCCGCAAATTCAAGAAGTCAGTGTCAAAGCCAGCCAGTCAAGCTTCCAGGAGTCTTCTTGCTCCACATTCAGATATCCATCCCCGGCGTCTATATCTCTCGAAACTGCCAGTTCTTACAAATCCAGATGGATACTGAATCATTGCCATTATGCTTTTCTCCGGAAAGCAGATAGAATTAGCGGCAATGGTTTCCCCCTTGACAACAGCATTCCCAATTTAGTATATCTTCGCCAACGAGCTGGGGGATGGAGGCAAGTAAAAGGAAGAGCGTCAGAAAGGCCACGAGAGAAATAAATAGTTACCCGACTGTCTCTTTGGCTTTCCTTTACTAGATTTTCTAGAGCTTTGTTTGAAGAAGATTCCCAGGGAGGTTTGTCGGGATTTTATACCTCGTGAGGAACAGGAATTCTGCAGATTCGAGCCTGAGAATCTTGAAATTCACTTGAGCGAAGTCTTGGGAGAGTGAATGATGAAAAAAAAAAGAAGAAAAAAAGACTGTACTACTTCGTTCAAAGAAAGACTTGGGTTGTAGTATCTCGTCCTAATTCACTCTAAATTCTCAAAGAAGCAGAATATTAAGTATATAAGCCCTCCTCTCCTTCGCTATGGATCCCCAAAATAAGTGAAAAGATCCTGCTTGGATTTCAAGTACCCAAAGTTCCTAGATAAGAGGCCCAACTGAGTCTATCTACTCACCTATATCAGAGAATAGCAGTGGAGCTTCCACAACTTCACACCCCTAGGGAAAGAGCATAGTAAAATAACAATAGTTCCTTCTTTGACAATAAGAACACCCCCACACACTTCAAAAACAAATCCAAATCCCAAATGGCTGCTCTCTCCCACCATACTACCTTTCTCGAGATAATGCGTGAATCTCTCATGATCATCGCCCAGCAAACCTCAAGCCATGATCCGGTCCAACTCCCCAAAGAACATTGTCTAGAAGTGTCGTGGCGTTGCAAATAATCCCTTACTTCTTGCGCTTTGCAATGTTATATACTGCACGTCTCACAAGAAGGAGAGAAAGAAGAAGAGGCTGAAGATTCACCTCTTTCAAAAAGTTCACAGTCCCTAATTCTGTGAGTTACATAACCTTCAACGCACCGTTAAATAGAAAGACAAAGCGTATGAATCCACTACTAATCCTTCTCCTCATCTTCTACCGTTACCCTTGACGTAAGAGTGCAAGCCCGTCAACACATCGAAGCACGAAGAAGTGCGCCGGGTCTTGAAGAAGTCTTTTCTCACATACAACAGGACCTCACTCCCGTTATTTTTATCCGAGCTTCATATCAACAAGCCTGGCAAACATGACAACAAAAAGGAAAATAACAACAGAATCCATTGTAGTGAGAAATTTCCAAAGAAGGAAACCAAGTAAAAGTGCAAGGTTGGCCCAGACTATCAATGTGTTTGATTGCTGGACAAATTGACAGACAAATTGACAGACACATAACCAGACAATCCACCAACGAAGAACTTGGTTACAGGTTAAGAAAAAGAGAAGAAGCGGTCTATATATACCACTCGATACTAGTTCACAACTCGACACAGAACAGTGAAGGGTTAGAATCGAAAACGAGGCATTAAAAATTGTGATAATCACTACCAAATGCAAGTAGAAAGACGTGTTTCGAGGTAAAGGGAAAATTCACGTAGATAATCGGGCTATCGTGGTGAATTTTGATCGACGAAACGATGCTGTGAAGTGTACTTTCGAGGGTATAAATACGTATCAACCTCCTCTTACTTTACTTCTTCACAAAGAAAAGAATGCATGGAAGCAACTTGTCCAGGCAGAGAGGAGCTATCGCCATTTTGATGTCCCGGGTAGGAAAGTAATTTTTCCACGACGGGTAACAAATTCTCTCGTTAGATCTTGGAAGTTTGGGTAGTTGACAGCGAGAACAGGATTGACAACGACAACAAAATAACAAGATGAAAGGATTTTCATCACGAAAAGAACAGAGTCGCAAAAATATCAGAGCGAATGAGTCCGGGTGTAGGGACACCGATAAGAGTGACGTGCTGCCGGGATCAGGGAAGCAACCAGACCCGGGCTCGGGCCCGAGTGTAATCTCTTCACCCTTGAGATTCGTGCAGTTTGAAGTTCCACGAACGCAGGAGGTGAAGTATATATAGCAGTTTGACAGATAGTATCTGTGAAAGGAAAGGCTTGCTCGTCGAAAACAAGTGAACTTATAAGATAGACAAAGGATTCATAACAGAGTAGCGTTGTAGCAGTAAGGCTGGCATGGTGAACTTTTATTTCGAAACTATGATACGAACCGCAACTTCAAGTGGGATAGGTATAAATAACTACCACCCTCCTCCTAGCAAATCTGCAACCAGAAATCCCAGACGAAGAAATCGACAATGTGGACGTGAGACTCAGTAAAGGTCCGGGCTGAGAAGAAGTGTGTCCTCTCGCGCCGGGTACAATGTGCCCCTCATCAACCACCTGGAATTTCATTCAGGATTGCAGACAGAAGGATTGATATATTGACAGCGAGAGTAGGATTGACAACGGCAACAAGCAAGAGAAGAGAAGGGAAACGAAAGTCATACAAGGAATAGCTGTGCGTACAGGGTGCCACGACCAAAGTAATCGAAAGAGCATGTACCCCGGATCTACGTGACGTCACTTCGATGATCTTTCTTGTTCACTGGTGTCTTATTTATTGCCTGGATGGTTGCAAGATTAACGCGAATAGCGCTGTATATATAGTAATCCAACAGGAAAGAATTTGAAGGACACTTGCTAGCCGGGAACAAGTGAAATTTCGACATGGGATGAAGATTCACTTACAAGCCTCGCAAAGCCCACGCATCAAAAGGTGAACAGGCACGGGCAGAAGATTCACTTACCAGCATCGTCAAGCCCACGCATCAAAAAGTGAAGTGAACGGGACAGCGTGGGCAGATAGACAAAAAGAAACAAATATATAATTTATCTGTTACCTCACAACCCCACTACTATCATCCCCAACAATAGATTCAAACCCACCCTCCCTCCTCGGCGCCTCCTCAATCCCCATCTCCTTCATCTCCTCTATCTCCCCATCACCCTCACCCTCCACCTCACCCTGTTCCCTCCTCACCCTCCTCCTCTTCTTCTCCACCTTCTTCAACGCCTCCGCCGTCAACTCCTGCCTAAACATCTTCTCCCTAACATCATTCTTCCTCGTCTTATGATCCCCCACCGTGATCAGAATCCCCGCCGTAATATTAACCGTAATCGAACAACACAGAATAACAGTCGTCAACGCAAACGGCCTTCTATGATACGAAATGGCCCACGTGCACGTCCCGAGCGCGATCTGCAGCAAACTATGACAATCAAGCAAGACCACAATCGCAACCAGCAACCTTAGAGGAAACGCAAAATGCGTGTACGTCTCGTGTGGTTTGTAGAAACTATGACTGCGCGCAAACTTCTTCTGATGATGCGCGAGCCTCTTCTGCTGCTTCTCGCTGAGCACCGAGTACTGCTCGTCGTCGGCCTCCTCGGGCGGCACGGCGGGCAGGTCGTTCTTGTTGTTTAGTTTCGGGAGGGTCTTTTCGCGGCGGAGGCGCCAGGTTAGGTGGTGGTAGTGCGCGATGAAGCACATGTGGTAGGTGTCGACGGCGCGGAAGGGGGCGAGGCCGTCGCCCATGATGGCGAAGAGGGCGACGAGGACGTTGTCGATTACGTTGACGATGTAGTCTTTGCGGCTGCCGAGGGAGATCCAGCCTAGTGAGGGGGGTTAGTGGGGGTGAGGGGGTATGGGAGAGGGAGGGAAGGTACCGATTAGGAAGAGAACCCAAATTAGGCCGAAGAGGGTTATTAGGGTTGCGTAGAGGGTGACGAAGAATCCGAGGGCTGGAGATGGTAAGCTTGTGCCGTTAGATTTGTGTTGGAGGTTGACTTACGTTTTTTGATATACTGCCGAAATCCTCTCATACTGCGTTTAAACTTTGATCGCTTCGAATGAAGCATGTGTCTAACATGATCATTGAGCTCCAATTTCTCTTCCTCATTCCAACCAGCCAATGAGACACCATGGGGTAAGACGGCATAGTATCGGTCATTCACATTCGAAGTAATAGTATTGAGTGTTGCTCCCGTCATTGTCCGTTCAGGCCGTATCCGGGTAGTAGTTTTCGACGTCTCACCCCCATAATCACTACTCGACGACGACCCTTCCTCGATATCTGACGGAGGACGAGTTAAATTATAAGTAGGTCTTCGATTAAGAAGCCTCCCAAGATCAGGGACAAAAAGCGAATTCTGGACATTGGTGAGCGTTGATAGGGTGGCGACTTCGGGATCTGATCCGAGTTAGTTAATTCCTTGTCCCATTGATAGATAGGTTCGGCCAACATACCAACTAAATCCAGCAAATCGACAAGATTTGCATCATACTCATCCTGCCTCGCATCTGGCGGTGGATGACTCGAAGCAATATTCGTCCTCGCCCTCCTCAACGGCCGCCAATTGCTCATCCGCCCAGTACTCGGTACACTCGGTCTGTTCGCAGGCGGCTGCGAATCCTCAGGAACAGTATCAGGAATAGGCAATATATCATTTCGAACGGCGGCAGCTTCAGGAGAAGTGATCTCCTCGGACATGCGCGGCATGTACGGTTGCTGAGCATTCAGCCTCGTGTTCACGGGCGGCAAAGCCTGTCCACGCTGCGGCTCCGAGGCACTTCGATTCCTCCTCACGCTCCCACTGCGACCTTCCAGCGTCTGTGGTTGATCATTCTGCGGTGTCTCTGCAAGCTGGCTCGACACTGAGGTCCTTCGTATACGAATACTCGGTCGTCGTGTATAATCGGCCGTCTCGGACGACCACGGAAAGCCCCCATTTCTCTCCTGGGAGGCCTGAGATCGCTGTGATCTCTGAGAAAGCTGCGATCTCACGGACCCTGATCTCGCTCGCCCATTCCATGCTCCTTGAGAAGATTCGGGGACCTGAAGATGGTTGTCGGCCATGATGCCTCGCAGGAAGAAAAAGTCGCAGTGACACGCGAACTCGGAAAAATGTGGTTTGAGGTTTCAATGTTTATCTGATCAGGGAAGTTAGGGAATGGCGGAATTAAGGTTATGGGTCCTTTAGTACGTCATGGGGCTGCTTTAAGAGTGCTGGGTGCGCTGGTTGGCAGTCCGGCTTTTGGTTGTTGCTGACGGTGCAGATGGCAGATTACTGATGAGAAATCGGGAGATGTGGATGTGTCAGAGGGTAGATTTGCTTGTGAATAACGGAACACCAAACATTTCCGGAAATGAGATTAACGCGGAAAATCGTCTGGAGTTTATTATGGTTTTGTCTATTGTTAGAGGTTTCAATGCGATGCGGATTTGTTTCGCGATCAAGATTGAAAGATGGGATTGTTGAGTAGCGCTTCGCCTGTAGCTTTGGCCTGAAGTTCTCGACCAGTCGACCTCGCCCCTGTTGGTCGACTACGGGGGCTCGGGAGGGGTTACGATAGGCCTATTGAAAAACAGCGACGAGTGCCAAGACCCTGAAAATAATTAGTGGCGGCTGAAGTGTTGAGCTTCTGACTTGGTTTCGTACTCAGATCCGCAGTTACCGTTGAAGTGAACTGACAGAACTCACTCTCCTTCTATTATTTGTTGTTTGGTCCAAGATGGTTATTGTACTACCGAATCATATTCAACTACCGAGCTTCTTGATAGCCTTTTCAAACCTTTCGTAGTCTGCTCATGGGTCCGACCATGTAATCAAAAATGTCTCGTGAGCACTCTAGTCTTGGAAAGCACAATTGTTTTGTTTAAATGGCCATGGAGACGTCAGCCTCGGGCGTAAGACGACGTCAAAGTCAACATGATTCAGAAGTCTTGTGCACTTTCTTATATTAGGAAAGCCGGACTGAGTATGCAGCCAATGTAGTCTATCGGCTGTCCTATCCAAGTACCTATGCCGATATAACTCGACGAGTGGGCAATTGATGCCGGATAACGACCTCTGCTCCCTAGAATCGAACCTCCCCGGCATGCTCGAGTTCTTCATCAGCATTTGCGTTTGTTATCCTTTCCAGTCGCAGACTCAAAGCATATCCTCGTGTTTCTGCTGCTACTGACAAGGAGCAACAGCACTATGAAGCCACAGATGGATCCATTGAACTGTGAGGAGGTGAATTTCTGGATGGAGCAAGCTTCAAGAACTTGCATGCCGAGACTCGCGTATCTCGGAGCCGACTTGGCAAGGACGTCGATTTTGATGGCCAAACATATGGGAAGTGTTCCGCTACGACTTGAGACAACCTGTCACAGATCCAGTTCGCAACAGGAAAGGATATCACTGATCTGAATGCACTTGCACAACACACAGAAAGACGGCACAACATAATGAGGCAGTATAATATCCATTGATAAACTATCAACCCTCATCTCGCTTTTATTCGCTTCCATCAACCATCTAGTAGTTGTTCAAGCTATCATGTTGACCCTGAGCATTTCTATTCCAACTCATCAGCACATTTCCTCTCTATCAACAACACAGGTATACATACGGGTCATACTGGTCCTGTCCCCCATACTGCTGATCATACAACTGCTCAGCATTCTGCTTCGCCACACGCTTGGCCTCGAAGCTATCCCACGCATCCTCTCCCTTGGTCTCAGCGAGCTTGTCGACCTCGGCACCTGCGAAGCCGGCGATCATTTCCTTGGCGAAGGCGTGGGAGACGGGCTTTCCTGTTGGTTGCACGTTTCGTTAGTCACTGATACTTGATGGAGAGAGTAATGGAAGAAGAGAAGAGAAGAGAAAGACTTACCCTCCTTGCGCTGACGATCCTCGAAATACTTCATGGCGCCGAAAGCAGCGGCACCGCCGACGACCTCGTGAGTCAGAGAGCCGGTGTTGTCGCTCTGTTGTTGAACGTTGTCGTAAGACGATTGAGCGTCATCTGTACCATCATCGATCAGTATTGCTACCCCTCACTCTCTATCGGCAGACGACTCACCCCAGCCGAACATCTTGACAGATTTATTGATTGAGGAAAAGGTTTGGTTTGTGGTTTGGTAGTATTGATTGATTTGATTGAGGTGTTGAATGCAGAGTAGGATGAAGAAGGACAGCAGCAGATGAGGGAAGAGGGGTCCTTCTTATCCTCCCAACCTACCTACCTACCTACCCCTCCTTGCCGCCACGCCAGCTGTCTCACATCCAGCTCCATAATTCCCTTTCCTTCTGGCACCGTCCAACACCACTAACCTCCCCTCGCTAGACAAGCTCCAAACGCGTGCCGCCAGCTCTGGATGACGATTCGCCTCGCCTTCTCCCGAAAAAGAAAAAAAGGAATCCAACTGAATCAATGCGGGCGTGAAACATCAAACTTGCTTGCACGTCAAGAAGGCCAAAGAATCGACTGACTGGCGAGCAGCAATCGAGGCTGTGCTGTTATGCTCATGCTATGGGGGATCAACGCAGCTTTCGAAACAGGAAAGTAAATTAGGCGTCATGCTGTCTGGTGGGGTAATGTTCAGGTGTTCAGGGGTTGAAGGTGTTCGGCTATGTCCCGTAGCGGTAGTGGTCGAGACCCTGAAACTCACTCTACGTAGCTGGAGATGTGATGTGGTGGCTGTGAGCAAATGCATGAAAGTTTCAGAGTATATGACAGGTCATATATTGCCTAATATAGGTGCTGTTTGATGCTGTTTATCAATGTTTGTTTGAGTTGGGGGTACAGCATTTCTGTGCTTTGACCCCGCGGTTAGGTATGACGTAGCGCATGCAAGCTTTGCCAATTCTGCGAGTGAAGCTTGAGTTGAGCTCTAGGACATGGCGCCAAGGGTGAGATTTCGCTCACTTCAAGAATCGATTCTTTACAATGCAAGGTCAAGTCAGATAAAAAGTACGTACCGCAAGTTACGAGCGAAGTACAACTCTTGAATCTCTCCGGAGAGACTTTTGTTAAATTTTTATTGGTTCGCGAGTTGTTATCGGGTTTTTCTTCTGGCATTCCTGATTGAACAATCCAGTGGATTATGTCATACACAGCTCCTGGCCAAGACAGCGGAGCGGAGCGGATATTGCGGTGCGACTGAACTTCCACCAAGCTGGAAAAGGATAACGTCCCTTCCACTCTCCTTCTATCTTCGCATTTCGCACCTGCATAGCCCAATTATGTGCTTCAAAAAGCTTTACCCAGCGAATCAGGTTGCAAGTGTACCTGAATCCGAACTTATTAAGCAAACTTGCAGCCTCTCTCCCTTTGTCAGCCCGCTCCGTCTTCCACCCCTCACCTCAAGATCTTGAGTAGATCGAGATATATAAACCCAAGAACCAACCGCTCTCTGAACAAGATGTTCACCTCATCCCCTCCCCATCACCCCTCAACATGGCTGAGAAAGAAACAACGCTCGCCCTCCAACTAACTCGCCCCTCCCAAACCACACCACCAACACTCACCCTAATCACGCTCCCCATCCCCACCCCAAAAGAAGGACAAGTCCTCGTCCGCATCCACGCCTCCGCCATCCAACCTTCCGACATCCTAAACACTCAAGGCGCCTTCCCCTACACCACCTTCCCCCGGGTCCCCGGCCGCGACTTCGCCGGGACCATCTTCTCCTCTCCCTCCGATCCTTCTCTCATTAACCAAGAAATCTACGGCACCTCAGGAAACACGCTCTCATTTACCTCCGACGGCGCACACGCAGAATATATCCTCGTCCCCTCGACAGCCGTGGCTTCTAAGCCGACGAACCTAAGTTTCGCACAGGCTGCAACGATCGGAGTCCCGTTCACGACCGCTGCGCTCGCGGTCAAGAAAGGCGAGGTTAAGAGCGGAGAGCGGGTTCTGGTACTCGGTGCCAATGGAGCGGTGGGGAGTGCTGCTGTTCAGATCGCTGGGGCGAAAGGCGCGAAGGTGCTCAAGGGAGTAAGAGGTCCTAAGGGCGACGTCGACACGGGCGCTGACCCGGAATTATCTGCGTTGAAAGAGCCGGTGGATGTAGTGATCGATACGGTGGGGCAACCGAGCCTGACGGCCGCGGCGGCGAGGAAGTTGGGGAGAGCGGGGAGATTGGTGTTTATTGCTGCGCCGAGGAGTGGGGAGACGGTGTTGGGGATCGAGATGGTGGATTTTTATCGGCTGGAGAAGAGGGTGGAGGGGATTAATACGTTGCTTTATGGGATAGAAAGTTTTGCGGAGGAGTTGAGGAGCATGAGTGGGTTGTTTGAGGAGGGGAAGTTGGTGGTGGGGGAGGGTTGGACTGAGGTTCCGCTTAAGGAGGGGGTGGACGCTTATAATAGGGCGGGGAAGAAGGGGGGTGGGAAGGTTATTTTGGTTATGGATTGAGATAAAGATGTTGAACGAGAAAAATGTGATCACATGCAGAACAGGTATTGACAAGTTCATATCCACCGAGGACAGACCGAATATCATTAAGTGAGTGTCTGTCTAATCGACCATATCATACCATGCTGTATTTACTCTCTGCCATTATGCTTCCATTCCATGCTGCTGTAAAACGCCGAAATACAAGTCCAGGGGTATTCCCAATTTTTGTCTCAACAATCTTTACATATCTATCCCCAATTATGCGAGAATGAAAGAAGCTCCAAGAACAGTAAATACAGACGAGATACCAAGCACGAAGAGGGCCTTGATATCGAAGGCAGGTACGGTTCCAGTAGCAGCGCTCTTGCTCGTGTTTGACGTCGAGGCACCTGTACCAGTTCCTGAAGTAGATGTTGTCTTCGAGCCATCTGTAGTCGCAGTTCCAGTAGCACTGGTAGTCTTTGGACCACCACCACCTCCTAGGATGCCAGTGTTTGTCTCAGTGACCTGCGCACTGCTCGCCACACCGCTCACATTCGGGATAGTGGTAGCGCTAGCTTGGAACTCCACAATACTGCTTGTCGTAGAGTTGAAGTTTGTCTGAGCGAGCGCAATGAGGTTGTTCTGTAGATCATAGACGACGTAGGCGGATCGGAGGAATACATCGCCGAGGATATATGGCCCATCTGATTCCTCGCTGTCTCCGGGCATGATACCAAGTGCACACGTGCCTCCACTTCCACCGGTGCCTGGGTCGATGCCACCTGTCGAGAAGATCCCGGTGAGATCGAAAATCAGCTCGTTAGCTGGGACGGCGATAGTGAGACCGCTTGCGCCACCGAAGCCGAAGTTGAATGTCATGTCGGGATTGTTATCGCGGACTGAGCAATCAACGTAGGCATTTCCATCCTCGTCCTCTTCAGCACCAATCGCATTGTAGATATCTTCGACGAGACGGTTGGGGAGGTATGTGAGAGTAGTTCCGGAATCCAAGATGGCTGGTGTTTGGTAGCTTGAGATGGTAAAATTCGTAGTATTACCTGCGTTGGTAGTAATCCCAAAGCCAGTCATAGCGACAGAGAATTCGGCGTAGACTTGCGTACCATTCGAATACTCATCAGGAACGATGGGGACTTGGAGAAGCTTGCCATGGTACTTGTCCGCATCAAGACCGCCAAAGATAATGGAACCCGTGGATGCCTCGTAGTCATTCAAATACAAGCTGTATGACTTGGTGTTGATCAAGCCTTGTGACATCATTTGATCGATAATGCTGGGATAGATAAAGCCGTCACCATCGGTAGAGTCAGAGGCCTCGTTCTTGTCGTATCCAATACCCATCAATCCAGTTTGAAGAGTAACATTGTATGCCAGTCCCATCTCCAATGCCTTGATTGTAGAACCACCAATGGTGAAATCGTCCGTAACGTAGTCGCCCTGTGCACCACTGTTGTCTGCGTATGAAATGTCGAATCCGTTGGCATCGACGACCTTGAATGAAGAGGATTTGGAAGAATCGACTGTGAATCATTAGCAGTTATCATGAAATGGAGCAGAGAAGTTCTTACAAGTGCTGGCGCAACCACCAGTTCCATCTTCCTCTTGCAAGGCTGGGTCGGTACATAGATCGGCGGTACTAGACATCAACCAGACATCGCTGCTGCCGGTGTCGATGGCCAGAGTTTGAGTCTGGGGAGGAGTTCCAACGCTGACTTGGGCAATGTAGTCGCCACCAGTGAAGTTATTAGCCAGAGATTCGGTGATAGTGGCGCGGGTCGAAAGAGATCTCTTCTTGATATTCTTCACGCCTTGAGATTTGGCAATGCTCATGGTAAAGGTAGCAGAGGCGCAAGAGCCCAGAGCTGCGATCGCAAGGATCGAAGAGATCGAAGGGAGCTTCATGATTGTTGGAGTTGGTTGGAATCTCCTGTTCGAAGTAGAAGTTGATGTACCCCGCGTATGTTGTTTGTGGCTTCGGACTGATGCAGATTCTTGGTGAGACAACAAAAGCAAGAAGCTTCAACTATTGGAAAGAAGAAAGACACGAAGGTGACAAAGGTGAAGGGGAAAGGAAGTTTAAAGAGGCAACCGTCAAAAGATGGGAGTCATGACGGGCAGGCCAGGCCTCGGCGCGGTACTGACGTCTAAGGTCCATGGGATTTTCGCATCTGGCCTGGACGGGGATCGGACGGGGATGTCGCTCCAAGCGTGAGCTACTGCGAGTCTAACTGGACAAGCCACTTCTCCCATGCTGGACGGGACGGGAGCGATTGGTCTGAAGATGCGCCGTAATGCAGGAGAAGAACAAAGACCAATCATGCACAGATCGTCGGCGGTGATTGCGTGGCTGAAGGGGCGAAAATTGAGGGAGGCCAGATGTTGTTTGCTTCAAGCTTTTTACGTGAAGACGAGAAGAGATGGGAGATGATGTTGGGTGCTGCCTCACTCGCTTCGCCCAACAAGGTTTCGTACCAAGCAACAGTCATGCCAAGATCGACATGGGGAAGGCACGTGTGGCACAGTCCCAAAAACTGCCTGGAATACGATCGCCCTTGGCCCGATCCGGCAGCTGTTTGACAGATTTTTATTCCGAGCACATGGTTCTATTCATCCCCAAATTACATCAAAGAGATGATGGTTGGTTGGTGTGTTCTTGGCATCTAGTTTGAGCAGGAGGATATCAGGCAAGTGCCTAAAATATAAATCCTAGTTTTTCTTCTCTGCTCGGTATCCAATTTGAGCAATTACGGGAGTGGGTGTTTACCGTTATATCAATCTCCTTGCTCTTTCAGCTGTGGCTGTGCTCATGGCCTCGTTGGGATTACATACTCAATGCAAAGAGTTCGCCCCTTCATTGAAGGGCGTAATGACAGCTCCAACAGAAGTAATTTACCTTGTATTGCAACGGGTCGACTCGGCAGTTCCGTTGTGGAGGAAGAGTTGATGTTACAGTCAAAGATCCTCATTTAAGCTTGTTTCTAGCGAAATGAGAAGATCCAATTCCATGGAAGGAGAGCTGCGCGAGTCACGTGTTAAATCCTTCTCTGACAGCCTGCCCAGGTGCTTCAAAAGTGCACTAGCACCAAGTCCACATTGAGAGCTTCAAAATTTATGTCTCTTCCTACAGATCACTTGGTGGCTCTTTTTGCCAAAGCTCCGAACGTGAATGCTTGACCACGTGTTTTATCACACGTGATTGGAGATCCTCTCTGCTCCACCTGCAGTCACTGTGCCAGTCCAAGAAGGAGCTCTGCACATTGACCAACCGGTTGCTATCTGTGTGCTAGTTTAAACTACCTCCCGGACGAAGTTTCACCTGTCGACTATCACCGGAATTTGAGAGCATGCAGAGAGCCAGACAAATTGTCCGTCATAGAGTTGAGATTAGTTAATTGCTTGACAAGAACACCATCGCATGCCACAACTACTCCATCATTACTCTTCACCTCTTCATCTCGACTATTTGTTCCTATTAAACTCCTCAATAGCAGCCGTGGTCAAAACAACCGACTGCGGCGCATCATCCGGCTCCAAAATCAACTCCACAATCTATTTCAAATCATTAGCAAACATCCTCTTTTCAGAACAACTATCTCCACTCACTTGTGTATATTTCGCCTCGTTGAATTCTTCATCAGCCAGCACAGCATCCAACTCATCCGGAGTCTTGACCAGGAAATGCTTTGTTTTGAAACTGGGTCCAAAAGCTTGGAGCAAGGCACCATAATCCCAATTCGGGACATCGTTGTACGGGGCTTTCATCCCATGAATCAGACGCTCAACAGTGTACCCGCCGTTGTTAAGCAGGAAACTATGTCCATCAGCCTCTCCCAACCCACAAGAGAAATTCAACGCTCACATAGTAGCCCTAACTTCATGCCTCAACAAATCCGAAAACGCCTGCACAGTCAGCTGCAGACTGCCCTCCCCAGTAACCAGGATGCCCCGCTCGACACTCCCGTTCTCCTTCCCGGCCACGAAAGCACCGACGGCAGCAGCGGTTGCGAAGCCAATGCTGCCGAAGATCGTTTGGTTGAACATCTTGATGTTGTCACCGTGCTGGATACTGGAGGAGGGGATGCCGAAGGCGGACGTACCGGTTTCGGCGATCACGAGGTCGTTGGAGCGGAAGTAGGGCCCGAGGGTCTATGTATTGTGTTAGCCGAGACGGGATTGAGGGAGAGGAGGTGAGACGGACAGCCCAGAGGTAATCTTGCGTTAGGTGTGAAGGACGGGAAGAGGGTGCGGCGTATGGGGTCCAGGATAGGGTGTGGGATTTAGTGGATAGTGGTTCAGAGGAAAGATTCGAGAGGAGTGCTTCCAGGACCTAGAACAGTGAGCTAAGTTACTGAGTTTGGAACAGAAGACGTACGTATTTCATCTTAACATCATACCTCACCCCCGCAAATTTAACATAAAACCGCTGAAAATCAACAACAGCCTCCTCCTTAACCTGCTCGGTAAACTCTCCCCTAAATCCCTTTAGCGCCGTCCACCTCCTCTTCCTCCATATCAAAGCAGTACTCACGTATTAAAATCACTCTAAACACCCCTCACATTAGCACAATTTACCCACCTCTCATCAATAGCAGCGAAGAAAACATACAGGATAATTCCCAACCCACAAAACACAATCCGCGCCCTCGACCGCCTTCTTAATCTCAGGCAACGACCCGGACCCTCCATACACGCCTCCAAACGTCTTCAAATTCTCCGTTATGCCGCCTTTCCCCATCGAGGTGGCGAAGTAGACGAATCCTGTTTTCTTGATCAGGGCTTCGGTTTCGGGGATCACGTTGTGGCGGATGGCTCCTGGCGGTTGTCTGTTAGCAACGGGGTGAGTGAGAAAGGGGGAGGGGAGGGGAAAAGGTACCGCCGTCAACGATTATGATGGGGGATGAAGCTGCGTCGAGTTTGGCGCGGATTAGGGAGACGACGTGAGTTTCGAGGTCGGGGATGTTGGGTGGGAGGGCGGTGGTGAGGGGGAAGGAGAGGTTGATGGATGGGGTTGATTGGAGGGCGACTTCGGTTGGGATGCCGATGTATCTCATTCTCATAAGTCTCGAGCTTGAGTTGGAGGAGAGGTGCTTACACTGGTTGAGAGTAGAGAAGCATTGCTAGACTCGTCGTTAATGAAAATTCTAGGGCAGAGGAGAGGAACTTACCATTAAGCACCTTATCAATCTCACTCGCCGCCGTCTTCGCATCATGCAACACCACACTCGCACAAGTAATATGCCTCGCCATCTCATGATACACACTACCACCTCATCAACATCCATCCATCCATCCTCACCTTAACCCCTCCCCTCCCAAAAAAAAACAACAAAGAAAATAAAAAACAAACTCACTCAAACTTCCCATCCCCAACCTCCCCCAGCGAATGATGCATAATATTCCTCCCATGCTGCGCCGCCTCGGTCGGATACCCCACGATATGCACCACGGGCACGAACTCGCAGTACGCGCCCGCGATGCCGCACATATTGGACAGCTCGCCTGGGCCGAAGGTCGTGACCACGGCGCCGATGCCGTTTATTCGCGCGTAGCCGTCTGCTGCGTAGCCTGTGGGGATGAGTGAGTGTGTGTGTGAGTGAGGGAAAGGGAGAGGGAGAGGTACCGGCGTTTAGTTCGTTGGGGTTCCCGCGCCAGGTGAGGCCTGCTTTGGGGACTAGGTCGAGGAGAGCGAGTTCGTAGTCTGTTGAAGGCTTAGTTTGATGTGCTGGGAGGCAGGAAGAATGGAGGTGGATTTACCTCCTGGTACTCCGAAGACTGATTTGACTCCGAGCTGCTTGAGGCGCTCGAAGATGTAGGATCCTACTGTTATCTCAGACATTTTGAAAGGATGTTATGTCTTGCCTCTGAATTGAAGAATGAAGTGAAACTTAAAAGACAACGGAAAAAAATTTGTAGAGGAAAGCTCTGTTTTATATTCCCTTGCAGCTTTTCATATTTCCGGAGGAGGCAATCAGCGGTTCCATGCCCAAAGCTGCATACTATCCAACCTCTGTCGGTCCCTTCCATGCTATGCCACTTTGTTTCTCGATCGTCGTCATCGTCCCCCTAAACACCCACTAGCACGCAGTCTCTGATCCAAATATCCGGTCAAAATAACTTTATTCGGATGACATGTGCAAGGGGAGGATAAGTCATCAACGTGTACATGCTCGTTTCTGATGCATGTTGATGATTAATTCATCAGTCGCGTCGTCGATTGGATACCTGTAGATGAGGCTGCATTGCGCCGACAAAGCTTCGAGTTGACAAGCTTCGGTGGCATGCATGTTATACGGTAGCTGCAGAAGTGGCGCTAATGCGGGGTTCTTGGCAGGGAGCCGAGTTTGTGATCTGATGCCTGCAGAACGAGCTATTGGCCAATTCGTTCATCGGCTTTGAGATTCGTGATTACAGGATGTGGGATGGGATAAGAATGAACGGTACTCGCTAGGTTTGTCGAGGGGTAAATGGATCTGGTGATGACAAAGACAGGCTTAGTCACGCAAGCAGCAGTGATACAAGAGAATATCATGCAGTGCAACCTGATGTTTCATATTATTGCCATGGGCGATTACATATTGGAATTCGGAAACTCTATTATCGCATTGCCAGGAAGGAATCTGACATGAATTCAAGGATAACCGACAAAGCGCTCCACACATACGTCCCACAGTCCTTCGGAGGGCTATGCGGACTGATGTGACTGCGGGGCCTAGGGAATATAATGGTTGGCCGAGATAGCAATGTAGAATTTGGGCACCCATGGATGGACACACAGAAAGGGAAAGCTTCTACCAGACCTGAGACAGAGGTCAGAAACATGAAGTCCTTGAGGTGTGTGACTATCTGAGGACGGAGAATTAATCTCGGCTAGAGGAGTTCATCTCCGCCTGTCTTTTTCTAGGTATAATTAATCGTTTGTCAATTCTATAGCTGCAATGTTGTGAATATGAAATTCTTTGCAGTGGGCAAAGCTGGCGTTGGAAGATTCAGGGGCTTTAGCGAGCTCCTACCTACCAAGGTAGGTAGGTAGCCTGGCCGTTTAGGCGAATTAATGTTCCTGATTCCAGTTCACTCGAGTCGACAACAGAACATGAACAACCCTCTCTGCTATGCCTATAACAATGGCAGCACGAGGAAAGTTCTACGAAAGATCTCACGTGATTAGATCAAGGCAAAAAGTTAGGGCCATTCTCGAAAACATCTCTGATTCGCGGGCGCCGTCCCAGCTATCCTCGATTACCGACTTCCCCGGCTTATCAGAACGGCGAACTTTACACACTTCTTCAAGCTACAAATCGAAGTGGCAGCTTTACAACCATGTCAAGAGCCCAGCGTCATGTATTCTCCCAAGGTCACCGAAGGCACAGTCGATTTCGATATTCCGGCAGCGGGAAAGCCCTGCAAAACTTGGTACAAAATTATCGGGGACCTCTCTTGCGGGATCACCCCACTCATGATAATCCATGGCGGACCAGGTCTCACGCATCACTATCTTCTTCCTCTGACAGATCTTAACGAGAAGTTTGGAATTCCCCTCATATTTTATGATCGTGAGTACTTCTGAGATTCCGACTTGCTCGTATTATATCATACTCATCACAAGAGCCACAGAACTAGGAAATTGCCTCTCCACGCACCTCCCAGAGAAGATGGGCGACGAGTCTTTCTGGACAGAGTCCCTCTTCCACGCCGAGCTTACAAACCTCATCTCAAAGCTCTCTTTGCATAGCTACGATGTCCTCGGCCATTCTTGGGGTGGAATGATGGCATCAACATTTGCTGGGAGCCAGCCAAAGGGCCTTCGGAAATTAATTTTGTCAAACACAACCGCAACAGGAGATGCTTGGGACGAGGCATATGCTGAATATAGGCGGAAAATGCCTCAAGATATCCAAGAGACGATGAAAAAGCATGAAGATGATGGAACAACCCACTCTGTTGAATACAAGGAAATGATGGATGTTTTTAATGAGAAGCATTTTTGTAAGAAGCTGCCGTTTCCAGATTTTCAGACGAGTCTCGAGTGGAAAGCTAAGGATATGACTGTTTCTTTGACGATGTGAGTAGCTGCCCCCCGATCGTGTCTTGCTCAACTTATCAACTTTCTCCTAGGCATGGTCCTAATAAGTGGGTTGTGACTGGAAGCATGGTTTCTTGGACTGCCGTCCCGGTCATCAAAAATATACTTGTTCCGACACTGGTAATCAATGGCATAGACGAAGGTGCAAGTGATGAGGCAATTGCTCCATTTGTGGAGGGTATTCACGACGTAAAATGGGTCAAGCTTCACAATTCGACTCACATGCCACACTGGGAAGAAAAGGACAATTACTTGCAGATTGTCGGACAATGGTTACAAACTAGATAAAGAAAATCAAACTTTTCCAGCCAGCTGCTTTTTCTCCGCCAGCCAAGCCGTTGCAATCTGTTCATGAGTACAAAATTCCACCTGATCTCCAAATCCCTGCAGCCATTGGATAACACGCTCAGACATGCCAATGATGTGTGCCATCCCACTGGTGTCGGGATGCATCAGAATGGGGAATATGAAATCAAGAGACTCGGTTCCTTCCTTGCCGTTGTCCCAGAGCCACATGAACTTGTCTTTCCACATTTGTTCGACGACACGAGTTGATACGTAGCCCATGCTATTTGCCAGATGTGGGAGGTACTGTAGTGGCATCATGTCTTCGTTGTACCAGCCGCAAGGTATCTCCACGAGTGGGTGCAAACCATCGGGATAAGATTGAGATGCAATTGAAGTCGGCTTCAACCACGAGGAGGCCGGTTGGGAGAAATCTATCCTCTTGATCGGCGGGTCGCTAGGCGTGAAATACGGCTGCGAGTCGTGGTGCATGAGTGAAGTATCGTAAAGAAACTCGTGCTGGCGCAAAAGCTTGATGGTGGTTTCTCGGATCGTATACATTGGCGCGCGATATCCACGAGGTTTCTTTCCCACGAGCTTGGTAGCGACTTCAATGCATTTCTTGAGAACGTCTGTCTCTTGCTCTTCTGTCATCTGATAAATCCCTTCGTGTGAGTATCCATGAAGCCCAACTTCGGCGCCGGAATCGACAACTGCACGAGCGGATTCTGGAAAGGTCTCAATTGTGTGGCCAGGGATGAACCAAGTGACTTTGTCGGCAATGCCATACTTTTTCAGAATCGAAAGAAGGCGTATTGCGCCTACTTGACCAGCGAAGATTCCGGAGCTGTAATCAGCCATGTTGTTATCTGGATGGCAACCAGTTCCAAGCCAGTGTGACACTGCGTCGAAATCAAACGAGAGGGCGACCTTCACTTTGCGGCGACGAGTAGACGGCATGCTTTGAGGAATCGTTATTTGGGACTCAGCAGAGGAATCAGTCTGGCCAATGACCTGGTACTCGCAATCTGTGGGCATTCCTCCATTCACTGGCGCCATATCTTGTGGACAGGAGCTCATGACGATTATTAAATCCGTTTCGGCTCGGAACAACACATACTGTCCCTTCTCGCTGGTGGGCACTTTGATGTCTAATTGTCCACGGTGATCGATCGCAACGTTCATAAAGAGATTCAATGGATCTGGAACCCAGTCATCCGCGATTTTGAAATCAGGAAACCCATCTTTCAAAGCCTGAGAATGTCTGTCAGTAGTGCTCGACAATGATTCACTGATTCCAGCTTTTCAGGAGATACAAGAAATCTTGAGTTTCTGAAGCTCACCTTATGCATGTTGTCCGTGCAATTATCATGGCAACCATCATATCCTTGCATGCGGTATCTTTCGGCATCACAAGCTGACCATATTATATCATGAACACCTTTAGTCGTATCCTCGGTCAAAGTCAAGATGGGCTTCCTTCGTGTGCTGTATAGCTTGTCGCCTTTGGCGATTGACACTTTCAAGAGGATGGTCCTTGTGTGGACCATGGAGAGAAAGTCATGAGGGTCGCTTGGGTTGAAAGCCCAAAAGTCCACAACTTGCTTGCCATGAGTGTTAGAAACTTTGATGTCTTGCCCCTTCTTAACGGCAAAAGCAACAGCCTTCCGTGCTGGTATGATGGTCATGTTGAAGACTTGTGGATTCTGGATTGGAATTTGAGAGACTATTCTTTTCTTGATACTCAGCCAATCAGCTGAATAGGTAAGTCAAATGGACGCTGGTGTGAAAAAACTGAAGAATTGAAGAAGAGTTGAGGTCATGTCAGCCCGTCCCACCTTTGGCGTATTGTGCCATATGCACCCCGTAACCCCATAATTCGGTTACCGGGAGCGGCGACGAGCATTGGCGGCGGTCTATAGAAATAACATTTGATAGGACGAAATACTAGCAGATAAGATAAGGGAATCCTAGTGACGGCGAACTTCGCCGTTCAGTCTGGATCGTCGTCCGCCGATGGGAGGGGTACAATATTTGGTTGTTGAAAAGGTGAATATTTGCTCATTATTGCTCACCCCCACTTCTCGCAAATGAGAGCCAATCGCGGCCACAAAGGCAACTTGCTTACTCAGACTTCTATAGACTACAATTGTCCCTACTAGGCTGGTAGCATAACACAGCTCCTCTGCTCACGAGTTGCATGAAAGTATTCGTTAGCAAATTCACATCGTGGCTTGGAGACTGGACAAATGATAAATAGTCGTACAATACATGGTATTTCTCATAGGCTATAGCTGTAGAACGTCTACTCGGATAAGTGACGAATGAAGCAAAGTCTCCCTTTGCAGCCTGGTACTGAAGGTAGAAGCCCTTATTGTGAAACCCTGTCTCCAGACACTCGTAGGTCTTGTTCTTTGAGTAGTGACATCGCAGGACTATCGGGGCCGGTTCCATGGATAACAGCAGACAATCCCTTCCAAAATACGGCATCCAACCTCATCGTAGCAAGCCTGGCTAGTGGCCATGCCCTTGCCTGAGCTCGTAAGGTGTTTCTCCATTTGCCAAGGAGAGCCTTATTTTGATGTGCAATCCCTGTCGTTGGTGATTGTGCGAAGCTGAGCAAAATGAGACTTGATATATAACATAATTGATATCTCGCGTCTGTGGAAGATCATTGTGAGGTTAGCGAAAGTCCACAAGCTGAAGAGCTAACCGTCATTGATATGCGCAATCTCTCAACTGTTCTAACATTGTAATAAAGACACCAAGCCACAACTCTCTGGAAAATGTGGGGTCGATCTTACATTGAGGCCAGAAGTTCGCAAAATGTCTTGGTTTCAGTGAACTGATAATCTCGGTGCCTAACTTGGAGCAAATGTATGTGTTTTCAAAGATCGTTGAAACTAGTTCTCTAGTTCCTTCGTCTGGTGATATGGTCTGGTATGACAAATGGCGCAGGAGAGCTCGGTATATGAGTATTTCAAGAGTCAAGTGAGATAATCGCAAAGCAGCGCATTGTTCAAGGTCATCGTCGTCCAAGGTTGACAACTTCGCAGACAGAACCGGAAGAGTCTGCCTCCAAGTCTCGATTCGTGCTCGTAATGACTGAGCGCGAGCTAAAATTGCGTCCAAAGACGGTGACCCACGTGCTGCTTTCAATGTACTTTGTAGATTCAGTTAGTAAGCTACTTGCTACTAAGGTCTAATTTTTCGGTACTCACAAAAGTCGACTCAGTACTTCGGCAGCAATTGTCGATAAGCTGCATAGAGCAATGAGAATGGGAATCTGCAAGTTGACGTATTCATTGGTTTCCTCATCCAGTTGCTCATTCAAGTCGAAGTCATCCTTAGTAAGCTCCGAAACAGCCCAATTGTCATCGTTCAAATGTGATGGACGTCCAAGTAAGAGGGCATGCCAGGTGTGTTGAACATAAGTCAACCACCACAACCTCTTCCTCAATCGCATCTCATTAGCAGGTAGACGCCAGGCGGAAGGGTCCAAATTGACTCCTAGGCTCTCAGCAAGAGACAAAGCTGAGCAAGACAAGGCCCACGTGCTAGGTGGCTCTGCCACGGCGAAGTTCCGGGGAGGCATTTGGAGCAGAAGAAGACACAGTTGCAAAGACGAGAGATGTGAAGTGCGAGTGCAGCGAAGATAACTCCGATGCGCGATAGACCAGAGCTCCGTTGTGGACAACTGCAAGTATCCCTTCGAAACGCTCAGTTCGTCGTCCAAGAAAATGAAAGGCGCAGCCAAAGCGAATACAGCAGCTTGTATGCCGATGGGAAGTCCAACGCAACAGTAGTCTTCAAGATTTTTGAAGTCATTGACAGACAACACAGGAAATCTTGGATGAACAAATCGAACATATCTGTAGATATTAGTACCAACTAGCCAGACCTCCAAAGTCACTTACAAATTCAGTAGACGCGCACCGAGATCAACTGGCACGAGGCTTTTGAGGAGTCCAAGGTCCTCCAGCTCAGTCTTGCATCCTGAAAACATCGCCTCTGCAGTCTCCAAATCATCCTGACAGATGTTCTCGTCTGTCATCACAAACTGGATAGGGATATAGCCGACGGGAAGGGGTAGTCCTCCAAGGGTGCTGTTTTCAGCTGGCGGCTGTAGCTTCTCATCCCCCATGATATTTCGAAAATCCAGTCTAAACATTGGATACGTATCATTAATGTTGTACCGATGATAGCGGAGAAGGAACGGGTCTGACTCCCCAGATAGACCTATTACCTGATTCGAATAGCCTCTCCTGGAATCGATGGAGAACTCGTGCGGCCAGTCGAAGGCATGATTCGATTCTCTTCTGTCCCAGAGCCCCTGGATGAATCGATCCAAGTCATGTTCATCTCCAGAAACGTCTGGATTAGGGTCGCCGTTCATCCGTTCCATTGAGCTGTTTGTATATGAAGGAGATATATCGTCGATCGGAGGCACAGACTCGAGAGTGTATGCACCATTCCCGCCATTGTGTTGCTCGACTTGACGCACAATTTGGCCTTCTAACCCGGATTCCGTTACCCGATTGGTCGATGGTGGCTGATTTTGGTCAAATCCGCCAAGAGAGAAGTCCATGGAGGACCATTCAATTGCTAGAATATTAGATGGCGAGCCCAGATCATAGGTGTGTACACCATTCTGCCAAGTCGATGGAATTTGTGTAGTTGTAATAGAGTTGTCAAGGTCCGGACTAGACATTTGCGCTCCTTGACCATTGTCAAGCCTATGCTGCTGGGGTTTGGGAGCTCCACCCTGAACGCATGTCGGCCGCTCTTTTCTCAGAGGCTGCAAAACAAAAGTGCATGAGCGATTCAGTCTTTTGCACAGCTCACATGCCAAGTCGCCGTCTAGGATCTTACACTGTGTCTTCCTCGAGCGGCAAGAGTCACAGGGCCTTTGCTTCTTGGAACGGTATTTGCGACCGCCACTTCGTGCTTGTGTAGATCTATCAGCCATGAGAAGTATCTCTAAAGGGTGGGCTAGTCGGCCGGAGAAGGTAATAATATCCTTGATTTAGCAGAATACGGTATGCAGGAGGTAGAATTGAGGTGCTCGCGGCTGTTAATCGTCAATGAGGGTCGCAACAAAATTTGTAAGCAGGATTATCCCACTTTTAGTCTTCTCCCAGGCACCAATTCGCTTTGTTTCAGGGGTCCTTACTTTCGATCTGGGATTTTCTATAAAAATAGAGGAACAATAGAGGAAGTATCAGCGCTAACATCAGCTACTGTTTCATGGGTAAGTAAGATCTTAATTTGGGTGAAGTACCTCTGTCACATGGGTAAATAGTCACGTGTTTGGCATTACTTCCACATTTACTGTATCTGGTGCTTCTTGCCCACTCATCCTCTTTTCAATTTCAGATTTGATAAAGGAGTTCCACTGTATATATGCACAAAATCTCAGATTTTTCTGTGACGACCTCAGAACAGCACATGTGGATTCTACATTGCTCCCACTTTCATATGAAACTTGGACTTGCAATAGCTTCGAACTGAACAAGATGTCTCTTATTTATTCACGGGTGGATAATCAATCTCGTCTAAGTACCAGCTCGTGTCTCCGGCCTCTCTATCAGCAACAGTCCACCCATCGCCCAACCAACTTAGCTTTCCGTCTTCTCCTTTTTCATCGTCATTTTCGTAGCCATATTGGAAGTCCTCCCACCTCGGATGCTCTAGTGTCTTTCTCGCATGCAAGCTACTTCCCGGCCACAGTCCTACAACTTTATGATTCGTTTCTCCTGCTTTGTACCAGCTCGTACAGCCCTCGATATGTACTGTTCCAGGGAAGTATGCATCCATGTATTTCTCCCACTCATCCAATGACTCCTGGGTTGCAACCATACTCTTGATGTGTTCACGGGCAATTTTCTGCACCGCTTTGACAACGTACCCGATAATGCTCGCAAAAATGATGAGGAGAGAACCACCGCCAGTTGCCGGATTGGGCCCGCCAATGGTAAAGAAATTTGGAAAGTTTGGAATGGCGAGTGAGAGGTAGGCACTAGAGTACTCCTTCCACTGGTCTGAGAGAAGAATCCCATTGCGACCAGTGACCTCGAAACGGGGATTGAACGAAGTATCGAAGCCAGTCGCACAGACAATGCCGTCAACGCGCTGAGTTTTCCCGTCTGCTGTTGAGATCGACTACAAGATTATTAGCAGCAACACCAACATTATGACATTCGTAAGTCTTACATCTTTCATAATTTTCAAAATTGGTGAATTTGTAAAATGCACATTTTCCTCTACCAGCGCCTCTAGAAAGCCTGGCCCTGGAGTAAGTCTCCTGCACCCTGGACGAAATTCGGGCTTCAGTTGCTTGTAGATTTCAGGTTTCTTAGCTAACTTTAGCTTCATGTTCTCGATGACCCGCTGCTGTCCATCGATGGCTGCGGGCGTGCCAGGAAATAGACAAGAGTGGTCAAGGTTGATAAAGCGTTCAATCTCCTTGCGATATTTCCGATAATATTCTGAATCTTCGGAGAATCGTTTCAACTCTTCTGGGGAGTACGAGTCTATTGGCTTGTCAGTTCATTTGGCCGCACTCATCGCGGCGTTATTACAGTTTCCTGAATCTTTATCTCCTGCGATGGCTTGCTGTGTGGCAATTCCACCAAATGGCTCACTGATCCAAGTTCGACCACGTGTAAAGTGGAATACATCCTTGCACTTCTTTTGAAGATGAGGAAGAATCTGGATAGCAGACAATCCAGCTCCAATTAGAGCCACGGTTTTGTTTGAGTAGTCCCTGGCACGCGTAAGCACTTATCCTCCGGGTGTGTATTAGCTGTTGCACTTACCAAGAGTCATCCCAGTTTGCAGAATGCATGAGCTTTCCTTCGAAGTCATTAAGGCCCGGAATGCTCGGCCACTTCCAGTTGTTCAAACATCCTGTCGCATTGACCACGATATCGAAAGATCTGGTTTCAATCTCCCCACCCTTCCGGACTTTAACAGCCCATTCCCCTTTCTCCTCATTCCACTTCATTCCAAGCACCGTTGTCTCAAAACTCACTTTCTCTCTCACTTCATACTTCTTCGCTACGCCCCTCACATACTCCAAGATTTCTGCGCCACCAGAGAAGAATTTCGACCATTGTGTGTTCGGCTCAAACGTATATTGATACACATGGCTCGGAATATCGCATGCTACACCTGGATAACGATTCTCAAACCACGTTCCTCCAACATCGATGTTCTTTTCATAGATTTGTATAGCTGCACTAGGAACATAATGTCTGAGACGTATATAGAGACCGATGCCGGAAACATCTGCGCCGATGATAGCGATACGGAGAGAGCGCGGAGTATCAAGAGCGCGGTTTGTGAGGCGATAAGCTAGTTTCTCTTCGTAGCTACCCATGATGCTGATCAGATGGCGATATAAATGCAATAAGAGATTAAAGACTCATTGACGTATAAAAGATCCCATGAGTCGTCGCCCGGTTGCGATGGTTCCAGCAAGAAATATTAATTGGGGCTATCAGTTTACCGTTCGCCGAAGTTTGGCCAGACCTCACCAGATTCTTATCCGCCGACTTGAATCGATCACCTGAGGGATTTCAAGTTGATTTCCACGACGATAGCCTACTATTGGGAATAGGAATCTTATCATAGATCATTTTACTTTGAAAGCGTTGCCACGCCTTTTCCGTGTATCATACATTCAAGAAGAGGTTGATCGACCTTTGAAAAGAATCATATAGAACTACACTTAGTGATTTGGAGGTCGAGTATTGAGCGAAGCAATTTTCATTTGTTACCGTGTCGTTATATCCAAGAGAGCATAAACGCAGAACAAATAAAGCATCCAATAGATTGACATGTGTATCAAAAATCTGCTTTCATTTCGTGTCATCCTATAAATGCTCCTAATCTTCATGTTTCGTCTTCTTTGATCCCACCCATCCTTTGAGGGTTTCCCGGAAACCAACACTTGTATCCACATATGTGGCTTCATATGCATCAATGACAGGGCGTTCCTAAATCAAAGTTATCAGCATAGACTTTTCTCTGTGCGAAGAGTGGAGTACTGACCCAAACCAAATCCAGCTCGGAGGCTTTCACAGTCTTGGTTCTCTTCACAATCTTCCATCCGAAATATGCGACAAGCACGAAGAAAACCATTGTGTAATACGAAAAGAATGTTCCAACATCCCACCCTGCAGCACAGGTTAGTCTGAGCAAATCAATAGGAGCGGCAAACTTACATCCTCCGGGCAAGAAAGTTGTGTAGCCGTAGCATGTCACTGTGAATGTCATAGCGCACATTCTGAACCACCCGCAAAATGGCTGTGCCCATCCTTTGTAAGGGAGAGTGTTCCTGTCGAAACCTTGCGCTTTCATACCACGGTAGAAGAAGAGGTATATTACACACATACACAAGTAGTCGATTACTTGAGATGCTTGAGTAAGATTTGCAAGCCTGTGTGTATCACTTAGTCTTTGATAACAGGAGAAATGGGAGGGGAAGACGTACCATGTGATGACCGTTGCCGTACCACTTCGAATCTGAAGGAAACTCAAGAACGGGAAGATCATGACAACACAGAAACAATAGATGGGTATTCCGTTCTTTGTGCACTTTCGCAAGAACTTTGGTGCATGGCCATCGAGAGCCAAAGCATAGAGAGTTCGAGATGAACAGTAGCTAAAATGCCATGTTAGCTTGATTCCTGCTCCATTGGGTGATATATATACACGAAAGAATTGCCAGCTGAAAACATGCTCGTGATAAGTAGTGCATTGGTGAGATGAGGCAGGACCCCAATCCCAAGATTCTGCATGGCAATCACATATGGAGATGCTGCGGCCGATCCACTTGCACCATTCACCGAGGGACAATCTCCAATTCCCCCATAAGGAGCTCCAGTAAGTATACAGTTGATTGTTATGTCGTTGTACTAAAGGTTTTATCAGTCAACTATGTTAGGCATTTCCAACTTGTGTGAATAGACTTTACCGGAATCACGATACCAACGGCGATTGCTGATCCAAGGAAGAAGAATCCAAAGCGCCAATACAGTGAGTTATACGCAGTCTTAAGGGTCTTGCGTGGGAATGATGCTGCCATCGGCATTAGTCACCTATACCGCAAATCGAATAAGGGAGCTGGACTCTATACCTTCACCGGCTACCATCGCCACATATTCAGGTCCTGTGACAACAAATGCAGCTTCCCAAAGACCCGCTAGAAAACCCTCAGAGCGACCCAAAGAACCAGTAGTAACATACTCAGCAAAGGCACCCTATCGACAAATCGTCAGTCTCTTCTTCTGCCAAGTTAGGTTGGGTTTCGTACAGGAGTCTTCCAATACCTGAAGCCATAGGCATCATGCTCTGGATTTCCGCCAACCATTGTGATGAAAGTGAAACAAAACACAATACCAATGAGGAGGACCTGTGCATGAAATGAGCTACTTGATGAGTTGATTTTGGACTTGGTGAGACTTATTTCCGGTAGACCTAAGTTTCTCCAATTACTATGGTGCTTCAGGACTCTTATTCAAAGACACTTACAACCAAAACTCTGTCTCTCCGTAATATTTCACCGAGAAGATGTTGATCAACCTAAAGATATCAGTTGCGCTTTCACATTGAGATTGCATCAAAATCTTACGCATAAATGGCGATGCAGCCAGCACAGACAGCGGCAACGGGGATGTCGTCTCTCCAAAAGGTCAGGACAAGATTGATGGCACTGTACTAGACGTCAGAAAGTTAAAATGGGTCGGTTGTCATCAGATAAAGAGAAATCGCAACGCAGCAAAATTAACCACACGGGAAATGCAATAGCAACCAACCTAATTTCAAAAGGTATGGACACTGCTTCTATCATTCTGTCAGTACTCATGCTCTACTTTGGCGACCTTCCGCTCTTGCCGTATAAGAAGAAATTCCAGCCGAGCATAAAGCCAAAAGACTCATCGACCCATTTGCTACCCAGTCGAACGAAGCCACCAGAGACTGGCATGAAAATGCTCATCTAAGTCGGATTAGCAGGAGTTTGTCTTTGCACCGGGAACAATGTACTTCAGCCATGCAATTATTTACAGTTCCCAAACAAAAACAATAAATGATAAATCCGATCAACAGAGACCCAGGGCCACCTTCGATCAAGCCCCAGCCAATCGATACAAACAATGCTGTTCCAACTGACCCTCCAATGGCCATCATCTGGATTTGACGGCCAGAAAGTCTACGTTTGAGATCATCAACATTTTCTGAGACTACCAATGTCTCACCCATATCGTCTTCAGCTGCGGTATAAAACGGCGTTGCATTCTTTTCGGAGGAGCTGCCCTCATGGTTGCTGTGAATGTCTGCCATGACAAAGTAAGTCTTACAAAGAGAACTTAGAGAAAAGTGAAAAAAAAAGAAAACCTAGCAACACATCCGTGCCAGCTCCTCACCCTTATGATTGATCTTCAATTAGCTCTTCTCCTCAATTGCTCGATAGCTAAAGATCCAAGCTGACGGTAAGGGAGAATCTAGATGCTTTGGGGCACGGGCGATAAGCGAGACCACCAACGCCCATGTTCACCACATCCAGTCACGGGCGATAACAATAGGAGAAGTACTGATGCTCTATGGCCGTGACGGCCGTTGCCCACCAGACACGGGCGATAGAAATTAGGCATCTAGCGAGATCGCATGATTCCCCTAAGAAACACCTGACATTGCCATGTCCACTTTCGACGAATACCGACGGAGACCAGCCATAAGACAGGAAGAAAAGCAGCAGGTTCACCTCAAATTGGCCAAGCCGAGATAAGATTCCATCGTCTTCATAAGCTTTGCCTCACATTGAGTTATCACTGTCATATCAAACCCCAGCCTGCATTCAGATACGCTGTAACGGAAAATGACTTCTACCGAAAGCCGGATTGCCATTGTTGGTGCAGGAGCCTTTGGGCTCTCAACTGCCCTCCATCTTGCAAAAACAGGTTCGAGCCCCTTGAAAGGAGATGTAGAATCTCGCTAATCAATCCCATAGGCTATCGCAATGTTACAGTGTTCGATTACCAACCCTACGACATCAATGCGTATAACTCCGACGAAGGGTCAGTAATACTCCACTCACGTGAATTGATGTCTGGCTAACCGTAATGTAAACAGATGTGATTCCGCCTCATCAGATGTCAATAAGATCTACCGCTGTTCCTATGGTCATGAGGTAGAGTACCAAGATCTTGCCTTCTCGGGGCGACCAGTTTGGCTGGAATGGAACGAAATGATATCTTCAACATCGCCTGAAGACTTGCCACAAGGTCTTACTCCAGACACAAAGCTATTCGTCGATTGTGGGCTGTTGAGGTTCTCCATGGAGTCAGAACTAAGCCAATATGACAAGGATTGCTTGGAAGAGTTAGAAAAAGCGGGACTACGACATTGGCAGCACATCGTGGTAAGTCATCTCAACCAATCAAGAACAAAAGTGAAATAGGATTTTTAGTAACGAGAATACAGGGAGATGAGCGAGACATGAAACGACTAAAAGAAAGAATAGCCGAACATTCGGACGAAAAATGGGATACAAGGCTTAGTCTTGCTCGTTCTTTCCAAGAAGGAAAGTTAGCTTCATTCCTCGACATCTCCGCTGGGCTTACATATGCAGACAAGGTCTGTTTCCAATTCCATACAGCAGTGACAAAATAAAGCTAAACATGAGCATGTAGGCTTGTATCTGGGTGCGCTACCTCTGTGAAAAAGCTGGGGTCAAGTTCGTGCTCGGACAGAAAGAGGGCAAGCTCGAAAATCTTATCATTAATGGAGCAGGATATTCGAAGAAAATCAAGGGGCTGGAGACTGCGGACGGGAAGGAACATTTTGCTGATGTCACAATCGTTGCTTGTGGTGGATGGACACCAAGTGTGGTTCAAGATGTCAATGGCATCCTCCAAACGACAGCAGGATCTGTGATTACTATTCAGCTGCCAAAAGAACGTCAGGATCTATGGGACAAGGTAAAGCACTTATCTAAAAATTGAATGGCTACATTCAAATCATCGGCTCTGGCTGACTTAATATCTCAACATAGTACTCCCCAGACAACTTTGCTGTTTGGTCATACGGTGTGACAACACAACATGGCCCAGAGTATGGAGGTAAGCGAGAGATCACTGTAAACACCATCAGCAAGCTAATGGAATACAACAGGATTCTATGGATTTCCGAGAACTCCTGAAGGAAAGATCAAAATTGGGTGTGAGTAGACTTTTCACATACGAAGATTTTCCCAAACTAACCCATTGTCTAGACCGCGGCCGGAAATGGACCAACTACCAATTAAATCCAAAGACCAACACGTTTGTAGCCCACTTCAGCGAACTAGTTCTCGTGGCTAACAGTAGCAAAGGCGTTTATCAGTGCCTCGAACCAAATACACAGAGGAGAAAGCTGTAAATCTGCCAAAGAAGGCCATATCAAATCTCAAAGAGCTTGTTGGAGATATGTTCCCTGACCTGAAGGTAGGCTAGAGTGCAAATGTCTTCATTTGTGATAGTTAATTCATGGATGTCACAGGAAGTTGGTATCACTGATACTAGAATGTGCTGGTACACCGATTCCTTGGACAACTCCTTTGTGATCGACTACGTCCCAGGATACAACAAAACCTTGTTCGTCGCTTCTGGTGGATCAGGACATGGCTTCAAATTTCTACCCGTACTCGGACAAGTAAGTCGACATCATCTAGGCCCCAATGCGAACATGACAATATTGATATGAGCAGCACGTCGTCAACCAACTGGAAGGGAAAACCGATGTATTCACACCGATCTGGAAATGGCGTTTTCCCACTCCCGGCTCGGATCCGAACGGCTTGATTGAAGGAGAACATTCTGGACGAGACTTGGGAGAGCTTGAGATGGCTGATAAGAAAGACTGGCAGTGGAAATGAGCGGAAAATCTAATAATAATCCACAGCCAAAAGTGCTTTGCACATATGGTGTACGATAGCAATCGAGTCAATCTGTTTATAGATGAGGTGAACATTGTGGTCTACCCGTGAAAAGTATTTATATACAATTTTGGTTCAGATGCTCCTCGGCATTGAAGTCCAATTGCAAAACAGGGAAGCTTGCCTGAATGACAATACAGACCGCCTGATACTGACAGGTTTTCGAGGTGAAATGTCGCAAACATGAAGTTAAAAACTGCTGAAAGAACTTTTAACGCAGAATGGTTATACAGAAAACTTGTACATGGGTGCTTTCACATCATTGTAAACTCCGAGTCTCTTCTAGTCGCACTCTAACTTTCCAAAGGGAAGTCGCGGGATAGGTAGCAGCTTAGTCATGGAAGCTAGAGCCGACGCGTCTCGACGCGTCCCATTTCAATCCTTTGTTTTTCTCCACGCATTTCCATCTGGAACCTGAACCGAGTTTGATCCAGACCTGAGACTTGTCGGACCGGCCCGAAGGTCGCGGGCGTCTGCATAGAAAGGCATATCCAGAAGTCAAGCATCCGTTTGCCGAGGAAGCTTGCCCTCTCTCGACGCCATGGGCATCCCTCAGTGAATAGTCGCATCGATGTCCGTCCTCGACACCATTTACGATACTGACTTGTTGTGAGGCTCTGGCAGAAATTGGGTGAAGGCGAGGTGATGGATATAGCAGCCTTTGCTGCACAGCATTTCGAGCAGCATCAGCGACCACTACGAATTGCCATTGACGAGGCTATTTGGCGGGGCAAATTCTTTCTGAAAGAGGAGGATGTGGTATCAATCCGCCGACGTATGTTCTGCCAGACCTCAACATACCTCAACACAGTCTCTCGACCAGCATAGTTAATTTCTCGTGGCAGACCAACCAGCTGCCCGGCCGAATGAGAAGAATTTCCTTTGGCGAATCGTTCAGTTACTACGTCTCAATTGCCAACTCGTTTTCGTCACCGACGGCCCTCAAAGACCTACAAAGCGCGGGAAGAGCACACACGGCTACAATGATCACGGCTTGGAAGACCTGAAGGAGTTGATCCAAGAGCTTGGCTGCCCGTGGCATCGAGCACCAGGCGAGGCGGAAGCGGAATGTGTTCAACTACAGAGGCATGGCCATGTGGATGTTGTCTGGACCGAAGACTCGGATGCTCTCATGTTCGGTGCACACACTCTATTTAGATTCGAATACAAGGAAACAGAGAAGGGAGAGCAGAAGATCAAAAAGAAGGACAATTATAAGGTCGAAGTCTACCGGACACACGACATCCTCCAGAAATATTCCACTTTCACACGGGAGGGATTGGTTCTTTTTGCTGTCCTTGTGGGTGCTGATTACGACAAACAAGGTCTTTTCAATGTTGGTCCAGAGCTGGCTATACAAATCATGGCGGATGGCCTAGGGGAAAGTTTATGCCGAGCGTCGGACAATGGAACATTACCTGCCTGGCGTGGAAAGTTGGAAGAGTCGCTTCGACGAGCAGGTAGCAAAGTCAATGTTCCTGCAGGATTTCCTACTCCAGCTGTAGTCAAGAATTACTATCGGCCAATTGTGAGTAGTGAGGAAGCATTACGCACCCTTCAACACACTTGGTGGAAGTCTACCTTCAATGATGACACCTTGCGACCCATTCTCGGTGGCAAGCTTCCCTTCTACGCTCAACCGTCCTCGACAAGCTGACCCTAAACAGACAAATACAACCTGTGGATTGAAGAGTACATCGAACTCATTGCCCCAATACTGCTTGTCAGATCGTTGGCGCAGACGTCTCCTGGACAAGAAGCAAGCAATAAATGCTACCGCATTGAGCGGACTGGTAAAAGTGCCGCTAAAAACGGTCCTGGTCAATCAAAAATCAGGTACACCCTATCTGCAGTTATGTCTTTGGATATCAACGCCGCATACGAAGACGAATATCATCGGAAGCCGGAGAACAGGCGCAAGGTCTTACGACCAGATCAAAGACCTCTCTGCGATGCGGTCCTTGACTGTATACTTAGGCATGCTGTTCCGGATGTCATGGAAAATGTCCTTGCGGCTGGTTCTCGGAAAGTGACACCCAGAAAGTCTGAATCCAAGAAGAGATCGTTGCCCAGTGAAGACGCAACCAAGTCTGCAAGCAAGAAACCGGTCAAGAAGACAAAGACGAAATCTTCGATGCAAGTGGAAGATTCAGACAACCAATTGAACAAGATCCCCAAGTCGAATGGAAAGGCTACAGCAAAGATTCCTAGTCAGCCCTCTGAAGAAATACAATCATCGATCCGTCGAGAAACTCCAAGACAGACACCCAGAACACTAGGACTTCCAGGATCAGACGTCTCGAAGAATGCCAAAGTTGCTTCAAAGTCTGTAATCATAGACTTGATATCAGATGACGAGGATGAAGTTGAGCAGCCGATCAAAGTGGACAAATCGATCTACGAGACGAAATCGGAGGATGTCAATGCCCAACCTGAAAGGCAGCCGGAGAAGCAACCTCTGGATCCGACATCACCAAATTCTCTCCGCCTAGCACGTCTACGACATTTCGAATCCAAGAAGTCTACCGCTGCCGAGCCTCCTTTGAGCCATGTATCCCTAAAGCAGTCACCAAGTGGTTTTGTGAGATTTTCCTTTGACAGTGATGATGATGATTGATGTTTGAAAATGGATCAGATGAGAAGCTCATGGCGGATTGAGGCACCCAAATTGGGCACTCAAACGCGACTCTCGATGCACTTCTCGCTCGGAAGAGATGGCATGTCTGTGAAGCTTTGGAATGGAGTATCCACAGTATACCTAGGTATTGCTAAGTTTTGGTCGAGGTGGCCAACAGGTTGCAGGCCATTAGCAAGCTACACGACATGTTCGCTCTAACGTAGGGTTGAGGCTGACTGTCGAGTGTCACCTCGTGTACAGAACTGTGGCTGGTGGGGTGTTTATATGATAATAATTCCAAAGACCTTGCTCAAACAATGATAACATCGAAGAACAAGAGCATTTCTACGTTCGGTGTATAAATTGCCAATCTATAATTCGCAATTCATGCAGGAGCTCATTATCGGTCCTATGTATACGTAACTCGTCCTGTGCCTTTCTGTACGAAATCTTTTAAAATCAAAACAATGATTCATCTCCCAACTCCAGTCCCGTTGACGGTAGAACGTCCCTGCTTCGGCCGCATCATCCACGTCGCTTTGAAAGGGTATTTCTCCTCAAGTTCTATCCAGTCAGAGTCTGGCTCTGATTCAAGTCTCCTAGTCCAGTACTCATCAACTGCTACGAATCCCATTTGCCGGTAGACATGACCACCCGTACTATCCGCAGCTTCAACGAACATCTCGTAGTCCAAACTATCAGCCTTTTCAATGCCCCACTTTAGCATAAGAGAAGCTGCACCTCGACCCCTATGCTGGGGCAGGGTGCCCATCATATTGAGCCCTGTGCAGATTGTGAGAATCAAACCTGTAGTCCTAATAAGTACAGCTACTCACAAATATGAGGAAATGAGCATCGACTAGCCTGACGCTCCAGTCGAGAATTCGTGATATACGTGCAGTATTCCCGAAGACGCCCGCCATCCGGGAGCCACGCAACCTCCACATTCGGTGCTCCATTCGGAAACGGATTCCGGGTGTATATCTGCCATCTCGACACACTTTAACTCCGTTAGAAATACACCTTCTTGAGTAATTTTAAATCTCACAGACCTAACGATCTCACCAGTATTCGTATCGACAACTTTTACCCACTTCTCGAACGGATTGGCTTTCCACCTGCTCAACGCTCGTTCAGCTTCGTCATACTTACCTTGTGTGTAGATCGCGGGGTCCTGGGATGAGATGCCGGGAAGTAGGGCGGAGACGAAGGGGTGTAAGGGATCTGAGTAAGCGGCGAACATGATTGATAGGTAGTCGTGGATTTCGTTGAATGTACCTTCTGATACTTGGAAACGCATGTTGAAGATCAACTGACCCTTTTCTGGCCTCTTGTGGTGATTTTCAAGAGAGGTAATGAGGTTCAGTTGTATATGGGAATTGGGGCTGTAGATTTTTGAGCGAGAGGAAGATTAGTAACTTGTCAGCGGTAGCTTTACAGGGGTGTCAACTTGCGTATCACGTGAAATGGCTAGAGATATTATGTCAAGACTGATATTTACCTTTGTTATCCTTCAAGTCAATGGTCAAGATTGACGTAATCGTATCAAGTCCTTTCAGCTGAGATTACCATCCCATCAAATGGAACCTGCAGTAGATTTGCATTTCATAGCACAGTATGAGAAGTTGTCCCCAAAAGAATGACTTCCAGATTGTGAAGTTGAACGCTTCAGTAAGGCAAGTTCACCTTTCATTCAGCAACCAGCACTCACTGATCAATTTCAATCTGAAGGATCACCTCTGAGCTTCTTCCCTCGCTTTCATCTTCCTCGGTTGTGTAACTGGTGATAAGTTTCCTCCAATTTACAACCTCATCAAACAAACCATAACAATGTCGCAAATCATGGAGCCGATCCCTCTGCGCACTTTGATCACTCTCCTCCACTACGAGCTAATGGTCTCTGATCCTCGATATGAAGGAACAGCGCTGTTTCAAACAAGTTTCGCCGATCCAGCAGTGATCGCGCGCATTCAAAAGCAGTTTGTCAGTGACGCTGAAAAGCACCCAGAGTCGATCGAGTATGTATCGCCAGCTCTTCAAATTGCAACTGACCTGACAGTCTATCCAGGAAGATGGTATTTCATCAATTCAACGAACACAAGTCCTCCTCCAAGGAACCTATCCCTTTAACCACCTGTGAAATTCACCCGCATGCCAACGAAATGGTGAAGCGCCTCACACCCATCGAAGTTGAACAGATCTATCTGGAGAGTAGAAACCATGATGGTTGTTTCAAAGCTATCGGATTGTTCCAATTCTTCTTCGAACTTTGCCCTGCTGGGCAGATGATCTCAATTCAGGTTGGAAACGAGGTATGTTCGACCAGCCAAATCGGGCCTCTTCTTTCCAGAACACAGTGTAGAGCAGGACCGAACAAGACGCGCTGACATCTACTCATGATAGGCGCCTCTCATTGTCAACCCAAAAGATCGCGCTTGCACGGAGTTCGCAATCGGTGGTCCGAAACTCATTACCCTTGCTTCTACTATGATACCCGGACAAGTAAAGACATACCATACCGGTGCAAGAGAGAACGAAGACCATGCCGTCGTTGTTTTCAATGTTAAAGGCCCCGCTGAGACACAAGTGGTTGTTGATATGACCCGCTCACAATACGGAATTGCAGGGCGGGGCACATTCGGAGAGCGCTACTTTCTTGGCAATATCGAAGAGTGGCTCACGTCCATGGACAAGGTTTGCAATAACACAACTACACTGTTGACGAGATCTACCAATTTCCCTAGGACGAAAAGCGAGAACGAGAACAGGATTGAGGCTTGTGCGAAGAAGGTTTGGGAGCGCTGGCAAAACAGGGTGAAGGAACAATGGTGTGCTTATTGTGGCAAGCCTGGAGTCGAGTTGAAGAAATGCAATGGATGCAAAGCAAAGAAGATCTGCTATTGCTGCGGAGATCATCAGAAGTCAGATTGGAAGTTGCACAAGATGACTTGCGAGCGCAAGAAGTAGCCAGCATCGACTACAAGAGAAGACTTGATTGAGCTTGTCGCGGAGTTTGCATTGTAACAGTAGAACTTCAATCGATGTTGCTAAGCATCATCTTCTGCACATATCCCGTCCTATTCCCCATTGATTGAGATTTGCTGTACTGCACCTTTGCTTCGAGATGATCTGGGTCACGTGAACCATGGGACGTTTTAAGCGAGATAAAAAAGGGGAGTCTGGAGACGGGCGAGCGAGGCGTGCAATTTCTCGGAATTATTCTACTACTTCGTCAACAACTACACATCCTTAGTAAACATAACATCACAGACTCTCCAGATCCACCGCCATCTTATGAGGATTTTTCGTTCCAAACTAAGATTCGCTTCAAGCCACATCCAACAGTTCTGCACCTAGATGCTTAGCAACTCCTATTATATCTTGTACAGGACACGGCAAACTAGCCAATGTGGATACATCGAATTCCTTTTATAATTGGGGGCGCAGTACTACAATTAGCAGTGTTTTAGAAGTACTTAATTGTCATTGAAACGTGAGCGGGTGTAGGGTAAAGGAGGGGCATCTCAGGCATGAGACTTCGCAATGATTTCTACTCATAATCCTAGAGGAATCAAGTATTCTTTCCTTCACTCTAGGATCTAGATTTATCTTAATGACATAACTCAATCACATATCGGCACTATTTTTGCGCTATTCGCTACCGGTATTCTTGAACCCTTAATATTTCACCGCAATCAGCGCAGCCAGCGCGTTGAGCGCATCGAGTGCCGTCAGTGGTGCATCCATGGCCGAAAGTAGAATAGTAGGAGGGGACACGACGAAGGTGCCGCTATTGCAGTACAGTCTTTTTTCATCTTTTTTTACCAAAACTTTTTCCTACCAAACCAACGGCATGTGACGTGATGAACAATGCATTGTTAGCATATAAAGACTAGGTATTTCAAATCATGAATAAACAAAGCGTAAAACAAAGACATTGTTAGGCTCTCAAAGCTATCAAAAGTATCCAAGTAATCTTTGACAAGATTTCGGGTGATATGGACGGAGTACCCCTCTAGTTGAGGAGGGTGAGCAGATAGCAGCTGGGTAAGGCTAGAGAGTTACAGAGATTGGGGTCGCCTAGAATCAGAGAGAGAAGTCGTACATTCCGCTAATCTATGCTTTACACCATTCTTTTACCACGCTTCGAAAGCAGTGCGCCCAGCTGCTCGCTCGCTTGTTCTTCAACTCAGCAACACCTTGCACCCATCGGCACTCGCAACGACGATGGTGAGAGTCTGTTTCTCTTGTCCACTCTGCACCTTCGGCTCATCTGGCCCCAGTCTTAAATTTGGAAATGTCTGCAAAATCCTCACAATCCCATACGAAGCTTCCGTGAGCGCGAAGTCCTTGCCAAGGCAAAGTCTCGGCCCACCATGGAAAGGCATAAATCCAAATCCGATGTTCTTGAGTTGTGGGCCTTCCCATCTCTCGGGTCGAAATTCGTTGGCGTCTTCCCCGTAGATGTCTTTCGAGCGATGCATGTGGTATGGAGAGAAACCGATACCAAACCCTTTGCGGATTAGCACGGGAGATTGGCCGTCTGGACCGCCGCCTCGAGGGATATACGTCGTTTTCGTGGCTTCGCGGACGTTCACTGGGATTTGGGTGTAGAGTCTGTTGGCTGCAGAAGAATGATGAGTGCGAGATTTAATTATCGTGGAACAGCGCTTACTCTCATTCAGGACACACTTGAGGTACGGCATTTTAGCAATCTGCGCTCGCGTTACATTCTGCCCGTTAGTGGCTATGGAATGTATCTCTTGTTGAAGACGCTCGAGAGATGTTGGATGGCGGACTAAGAGGTAGCTGAAGCAGGTGTTAGTATTTCACGAATCCGAAGGTGGGAGAGGGTATGGTTGCGGTGTGTAGGTCAAACTTACAAAGTCCATGACATTAGACAAGCAGTCGTATCTCTGCCAGCAATCAATACGTTCATGAGCTGGTCACGTACAAGAATGGGATCTCGAAGCTCTTTGTAGAGATCCAGGATAAATGGATGTCGGTCGGCAGCTTCCTCCTCGCCGTTCTCCTCCTGGTCTTTCAGAGCATGGTTGACGTAGTATGTGGCATATTTCTTCACTTCTGCGCAAGCCTGCTTGAATTTCGAAGGGTTGTAGAGCCAACAAAAGTTTGCGAGGCGCAATCGCATAGCACCGATAAGTGCACAGTAGTCAAAGTTCTCTTCAAACACTTCGTGATCTTTGGGAGTAAGTCCAGCAAATGGTTCCCCGAAGATGAGTGAAGTCGTAGTAGCAAGAGTAAATCTGAAGAATTCGGGTTGTAGATCAATGACACCAGTCTGAGATGAAAGTGCAGCGAGCAAGCTGTTGATAGGCGTCTCAAAGACTTTCACATCTTGATACTGGATGCGCACGAATTGGCGGCGTAGCAATTCTCGGGAGTGCTTCCACTAAAGCAGCAATGATCAGTTGAAGAAGGTCAGGTTAGATGTCCAATATCGGGCGTTTGCTGGTAAGTCGCTATTGGGAAAATATAGCTTGAGAGAGAATTCTCACGAAAGCATAGATGAAATGAAACTTACTTGATGGCCATCTTGCGTAAAGATGCCCTCTCCAATCATAGGATAAAGACCTTCGCGTCGAGAACCCAGTCCCCAATCTGCAAGACATCAGGTTGAGTTAGGACAATACGAAGATCATCATATGTGATCGACAACCAATGGTTACTCCATGAGAGACAACTCACCTTCGAAGTTGGTTGACAGAATGGCCTCGAGATTTTGAGGATCTAAGGTGAAATATCCGACCCTGCCCAGCAGTTTGACTTCGAAGGTCTGGCCTACTTGCGTCTCCTCGAAGTATTCGGATTGGAAGGCTAAGAGATTTCCCGCAACAAGAGCATCGTATTGTCTCTTGAAAGCATCGAGTGCCAAAGGCCATTTGTAAGGAAGCCGTCTTTTAAGCGGCATGCAGCCATGTTTCTCACCGAAGAGCCTATCGGCCTAAACAAAACCCATCAATTGAGATCGAGTTTCAGAGTCAAAGGCGAACAAACATCATAATCTTTTCGTCTTTGGATATATATATAAGTCGCGTACAAGAGAAAGATCGTGCCCACAGCCAGACGAAGCGTCAGGCCCGGCCCCGAGGTGGAGATAGCGTCTATCATTGCGGGACGCGTAAAGCTAGAAAGACGAAATCGTGAAAGGGGCAGTAGCAAAGCAACAATGGAAGTGCAACAAGAACGTGAATGCAATCTAATTCAGCTGCATAGGATTGGCGTGAATGAAGGATAACGAAGATTTAAGAAGCGTATATTCTCATTATTTAATTGCGACGGGTGATGCGGCGGTGAAGGGAGGCTCTATGGCTGAGATACCCAAATAGATCTAGGCACTTATGCGGGCGCTAACTACCCTGTGATATGTTATGTTTCGGCAGCTACCCGAGCTACCAACCACATTAAACCAATATCAGCAACACAATCCTTGCTGAAGCCGTATCGGGATGCTGCAGCTTTTCTACTCGGTCCTGTTTCACAAGCTGTGATCGGGCGCTTCGTTCGGGTTCTGATACCTTATTGGGGTAATACTACGGCATCAGGTGGCTGTCCAGTTTTCTTGTGCAACCCTCCCGAAAATCCCACATCTTGGGTATGCATACCAATGGTTTGCTTGGTGCCGTTTGCCACCGAGGACCAAGCAATGACGCCTTGATGAGTTCCCGGGCCGAAGCCTATCGGCGCAGGGATACGTTGCGCATAGGGAATGGCAGATCCTAGACTTGTTTCCTCGCAATTCCCATCACCAAAGTCCGGCAACACTACAATGAATGCAACTCTCACTTCCTCTCGTCTAAGGTGATGGATCCACTTTCGATTCTCGCGGGAACTACTGGGCTGCTGGATGTTTCTTTTCGGGTGATTTCATACCTGAAAGACCTCGAGGAATCGGCAGGGAAAGTTGAGGACGAGATCGCAGCCTTATCCCAAGAAATCAGTGCTTTAATCACCGTCAACGATGCCATTGAAGCACTGTGGCTTGCTAATCATGATACTGCTCCAGGATCTCCCTTCCAAGATACGACTGATGTCGAGGATTTGTGGAAGAGGCTGGCTGGCCTCTTGCGCGATTGTCGAGACACTGCGCAGAAGTTGGAAGCACTGCTAAAAGAGGTAATGGGTAAAAAGGGTCCCAAGGTGTCTGGGAAATGGGATGGTATTAGAAAGCAACTGCGCAAGGACTCAAAAGAGAAGGAGTGGACAGACGTTCGTCATCGTCTTTCGAGCTATCAGGCTGGATTGCAAATGCTGCTGAGCGCTCTCAGTGTGTAAGCTTGATAATTCGTCTTTGCGGCTACCAAGGAACTGACATTTGCAGTGTCTACACTCGTAACTCTTCGTCATCCACACAACATGTTGCTGGCAGTCTAGACAGGATACAAAGACAAAGCTCAACACTTCAATATCAAATGGAGTTTCTTCGCCATAAATTAAATGCCCTCAACTCCTCTGATAGCGACAAAGTAGGTGTTCATGGGTGGAGCATGGGATCATCGCGTTTCTGACGTACAAATCAGCTTCGCAACTCCATCAATTCTGCTCAGGCTGTAGCATCACTGCTATCACTCAACCAATGCTTCGATATACCTCAGACTGTTAGCAGCATATTTACGGGTCGAGACCTCCTGTTGAAAGAACTTAAACACATGCTCGATGTTGCCACACCGCAGCATCAGAGCCATTCTCAAAAACGGTTCGTAATTTATGGCCTTGGCGGGTCGGGCAAGACCCAATTCTGCTGCAAGTTTGCTCAGGACAACAGAGAATAGTGAGTTGTGATGGACTCACCATGCACCACTTACTAACCTAGACAGTTTTTGGGGAGTATTTTGGATCGATGGCAGTTCCTATGAGAATGCAAGACACACATTCTCCAAAATTGCGACTATGGGAGGAGCGGATCCGAATGAGAATGCAGCGAAGAGCTGGCTTTCCTCCCAACAACAACCCTGGCTTCTACTCATCGATAATGCGGATGATCCAGACATAGACGTCACCCGCTATTTTCCCGGTGGCGAGCGAGGTGTTATACTGATGACGACTCGCAATCCTTCAAATAAAGTGCATGGTACTGTCGGGTCGCGTTTCTGGCATTTTGAGAAACTGGAAACGGACGAGGCCAGCGATCTACTTCTGAAAGCCGCCGATCTACCCGGTCCGTGGGAACTGCAAACAAGGACTTCAGCGGCGCGCATAGCGGACGCCTTGGGTTACTTGCCTCTTGCTCTTATACATGCGGGTAAAGCTATCATGGATGGTCTATGCTCGCTGGCTAATTACCTGGACTTTTATGGGCGAACGTGGAAGCGCATTCGCCGAGCTCGAAGCATGTCTGGCTATGTTGGAGACGAAAACGCTAACATGAACGTGTATTCGACCTGGGAGATTGTGTATCTTGGCCTTGAGGCGAAGAAAACAGAGACTTCTAAAGATGGTGTCGAATTACTGAAAACTTTCTCTTTCTTCTATTGGGAAGATATCGGGGTCGACATACTCATCGCTGCTGCTAAGAATGGGAGGCGCGAGCAGGAGACGACGAAACCGAACGAAGATAAGACAAAGACGCCAAGTCCACAGCAAGTCAGCAAGAAACCATGGTCACTATATTTTCGTGAAATCATTATCGACTGGGTCGAGAATCTCCAAAAAGTGAGACCTATACTGCCGGATGTCCTTCGCGATGACGACCAGACGTCTTTTGATGAGGACAGGCTGCGAACAGCTCTGACCTTCCTTGTTCAGATGGGCATGCTCACTTACCACAGCGATTCAGATACTTATTGGATGCATCCTCTGGTGCATACTTGGGTTCGGGAAAGACCACAGACAAGCACTGGCGAGCAAGCCATTTGGTGTCAAGCGGCTGCGACGACGTTGACATCTTGTATCTTCTTCAAACCGCCCCTTGAATATGCCACTTCAGACGAGAGACTGAAAATCTCTATCTTTCCTCATATTGAAAATTTACGAAGAGCTCAGAACACTATTCGCGAACGAATACAGGAGAATCAGAAGACCCGCAGACGATCGTGGCTAAGTTCTTGGATAGCTCCCCCAGTGATCTCGAGTGGAATGCAGCCTCTTGAATGGGTTAAATACAGTCTTGTCTATATGCAGGCTGGTAAGTGGGACGAAGCTGAAAAGCTTCAGCTTCCGGTAAAAGAGCTGGCCTGCCAAAGACTGGGACTGGACCATCCGAGGAGCATTGACATCATACAGCTCCTGTCTGTCACATACGGACTTCAAGCACGCAACAATAAGGCGGCAATCCTTCTGAGACAAGCTCTGGACGCTTGCCAAAGGCTCTATGGTCATGACCACCCGAGAACTCTGAAGATGACAGACATTCTCGGAGCAACATGCCTCTTGCAGAGTCGGCTCAGCGAGTCAAGAACGCTTCATGAGCACGCTGTGAAAGGGATGACCGAAGTCTTAGGTGCAGAGCATGAAGATACTCTGATTGCCGTGGATAATCTTGGTAAAGTCATGTCCAGATACTTCTTTTGGGACAAAGCTAGGGATCTTCATCTAAGGGCATTTCACGGAATGAGAAAGACACTGGGTAGTACCCACTTGCATACTCTCCAGGCTATGGAACATGTGGCTCTGTCACACATGTATCTTGGCGACCTTGATCTGGCACAAGAATTTGCCCAAGAGGTCCTCGAAAAAAGAGAGAAGAAAGTTGGCAAGGAGCATCCATACACACTGATGGCCAAGTTGACCGTTGCAAGGGTCAAGAGCGCGCAAAATGAGACTGAAGAAGCTGAAAGAATTATACGCACCAACCTCCCCGTTGGAGAGAGAAACCTTGGAGATAACCACCTAGGAATACTTCTGGCTCGTGTCTTTCTATCTGAAGTCCTATTTCGACAACAAAAATATAGCGAAGCAGAGCAGATCCTCCTCAGTGTGGTACAGCGGCACCGCTATGAAGGTTCCCGCCGAGAGGACGGAGAACATGTCGATCGAATCCAGGCGTTATGGTTCTTACTAAAATGCTACCAAGCTCAAAACAAGATCGAAGATGCCATCAAGATTGGTGACGAGCTCTATGAATCGGTTCATACCATCGGTGGGGAGGGATTTGGCCGCGGGCACGTGTTTGCCAAGCTCCTGGACCAGAAGCGCGAAGAGTTGCAGGCCCTGAAGTCTGGGTCCGATCCAGCGCCGGTCCCGTACGATCCCATCTCTCCAAACAGTCAGAGTGCGGAAACCATTCGATCCAGCTCTCCAGTTCCAGTAACGAAGAGTCTCACTTTCTGAAGAAGATTCAAAGGAGGGCTGGGTGTCCATCAGGCAGCGTTGTCAATGGGTAGGTCGGATATTTTTTGGCCCTGAACCATCACAACCCGTACTAGAACGGATCCGGATGAACAGATCTCCGTCACCATCACCATTCTAGACGGTTCTAGACCTAGAGAGATAAAACCCATTAATAGTATATCCTTAACCAAGTCAAAGATTTCTCAGTAGAATCTCCATACAAGCAAGACTTTCTGCCACCGGGATCGAATGACTTCGGATATTCTATGGGTGGTTGATACCATCATCTCAGACACTATTGCCCCTTTTTCGGGCGCTGCTCACCTTTTCTGGCCGCTGCAGGAGAAAAAATCGACTCAATATTACCACGTGACCGAGGGTCATCAGCCCCAGCAGCCCCGCCACCTGCTGGGAGATAGTGATGAGTCCGCTTCGGGTTTAAACATGATCATCTATGCTGCAAGTATCAAGGTTGTAGTGAAAGATAATATAAAGACAATTCTGTTCTCCATTTCTGTTCAAAATACTGTGAAAATGATGTCGAGTTTTACCAATTACCTACCCAGGTAAGCGAGCGAGAGAAGGAGAAAATCCACACAAGCGAGAAGCTAAAAGATGTGAGCTAGATAGTGTAGAGGGGGTAAGAACATGAACCAGGAGTACGCAAAAACAACCAAAACAACTAAAACAACAGCAAGTGGGCACCGCGCGAAGCAGACCACTATTCGCAGTAGTAGGACAGATTCAAAACATCATGTAAAAGCATTCGAAAACATATCACTGTGAAAAACTAAGAGTGGGAGAAGAGTTGTGTTATTCTAAGAGTGCGCGATCACAATATATGGGAAGCGTCACATGATAAACTAGACCCGATCGAGTGTAGTGCTAGGGAAGACTAGCGTTCCCGGGCTGGCCTCCTCAACCACACGTGCTGGTGAGCGCCAAAAAGAGCTGGCCCCGCCACAATAGAAACAAAAATATATTCAAGGCTTCCTCAACAGTCCCACTGAATTATAGCGGTGCCCATCGTGTTTTGGAAAAGGATTCAAGAGCCTATTCTTGATTGCACTCTTCTATACCGAGCCTACAATTTTAATTGAAAATTACCACATTATCACCGCAAGAGAAACAGTTCCATGCCCCGCTTGCAGCATCCGGAGCTCTCACAGAGCACAACGGACATGCTAGCAGACCGCCTTTCCGCTCCATAAGTGTTGCTAATCTCTGCAGCGCCCTCTGCTCGATTCTGTTAAGAGAATTAAGGCGATGGGCCAAGCATAACCATGCGTTCCGCACCTGTTTCATGCATTCACAATCTCCCACAGACGTTGTTCCAAAGCCAGTAGACGCATAGTCTTCCAAACTCGTCTTCAAGGTGTTCGCACACTCTCCGCAGAGGAAATGTTTTGTCGCTAAGAACGTCCTTATGTCGTGTAATCCACAAATCTCGTATTGATCGTTCTGACACTCCTGACAATAGAGAAAGTCGCCATGATCGAAGGCTGTACATCTTCGGGTTGGTTCTTTCAGACATCTTGGAGCCGCGTCCAGCTCATCCATGCGATCTGGGAAGAATTGCCCCGAATTCTTTGCTTCCATACATGGCGCATAGTAGCCAAGCATATCTGCTACTTCAGCTGGTGGTACGCAGGGAAGACATGGTCCAGACATTTGATCATCATATGTTAGAGAGTATAGGGGTGCTGCAAGCTGTTGTTGTTGCGGCGGGGGTTGTTGTTGTTGAGGCTGTGCAGTTAAGTCTAGGGCATAATCTTGTTCGGTTGCGTGATCTTCTCGCAAAGGGAGATTTGGGTCTAGAGTTTCGACTGGAGCTTTTGAGGCATCGAGATCTGCATCAACCATATCCGTGTCAAAATCCATGTTGAAGTCCTCATCTGGCGAACCTCCTCCTCCTCCGTAATCGTCTCCTTCTCCATAATCATCCTCTCCAAAGAGATCATCGATGTTGGGATCCACTAGCAATTCTGGTGCTGTAGCCCCTTCATTCTGTTCGTTCTGCTTCCCAGCAACATCCCCCCAACTCATGCTTGATGTTTGCAAGACTTGTGCTGCGGTCGCCGGATTCTGAACGTTGTGGGCTGTTGTCGCAGCTCTGATATCACTAAATGGATACAAATCTCTCTCGAAGGGCGTGTCATCCACATCGTAACTTTCTTCCACAACCTGGCGAGAAGATTGGAGTTGACCAGCATTCGGAAGATACCCATTTCCGGAATTTCCAGAATTCCCAGAGCTTGTGCTAGGCCCATAGCCAGACATGCCCATGTGAGTCAATGGCGCAGAGTTGCCCTTATTATAGCCTTGGTAAGACGTGCTTTGGAAAGACGTATTGAAAGCTTGCATATACTGGGGAGCTACTGTTTCCAACACACGGCTGGTCATGAAGCCGTTAAAGACTTCGTTCGGATGCTCTGCGCGTACTCCGCCTTCATCTGGACCGTATGACAGATTAGGCTTCTGTATAATCTGCACCCTGCCTTCAGAATCATATTCCCATTCTTGGCATTGACGTGAGTAATTGATGCAATTCGCACAAGGCCGAGCATTGTTGCATTTGAGTCTAGGTGTATACATTTGACATTGTAAACACGGCTTGGGCTGGCCGGGTTAGCCGTACTTCCTGCTACCTCTGCTGACCGTCTTCTGGGACTGGCCGATCTCGACCTTTTGCTACCATCGGGAGCAATCGACCTTCCGTAGTTCAGTATCCTTCTTCCAAAAGTTGTCTCCCGATCTCGATACCAATCTGGAAAATCGGCTTCGTGACCATTTGGATATGCTGCCGCATATCCATTGGGCTTTTTCTTGACACTGGCAGGCACGCATTCTGCTCGTGCGTTCCGGCAGTTTCTGCAAGGGATTCCGAACGCTTTCATGTCGCACTTCGGAAGTTCTCCCTTTCTGCTCCTGGCACAACGATTACAAGTGGTTAGCGAGGGCCATAACGCTGGTGTTTTTCTCCGGGGGCCTCGTCTGGCAGAAGCCAAGATAACTGGGACAATGTTGCCACCCTTCTGTTCAGCTGGTACACGCGACTTAGCTACGTCTGAGTAATTTGACGCGTACGTCATTTGAATAGGTTCTCCCTGAAAGCCTAAACGAGCCCATGGTTGTACGTTTTTATACAAAGGCGTTCTCCGAAACTTGATCTTCATAGGGAGCCCTTCTTTACTGAGGTCGTATAGATCATCTCCACTATCATCGGCTGGATCTGGGGTTGGCACTTTGTCGTAACCAGCTGCCGACAAATGCGCCCTAACCTCTTCAAGTGCTTGTTGTCTCCGGGCCGCATTTCTGGCTTGCCTCAATCGCTTGTCCGCGTCCCAGTCAATCTCATAGAGGGGATCATAGTTTGGGTGACCGAAAGTGAGCTTCTCTCTATGCTCCTTGGTATCAGACAAAATCTTCGCCTCGAGGACTTCGCGGGCCGCTCTCCACTCATCGGTTTGTTTTTTGATTCTTGGAGGTTGCGGAATTGGCCTGCGCTCGATCTGCATTCTAGTGTTTGCAAGTCGTATGCGCATCCTATAAAATTTATCAGGCTCGTTCAGGATTTGAGGTCCATCGTTGACGTAGTAGAAAGCGCCCCTTGCCGGGTGTGTTTCGTCAACAGTAGGGTGATATCCTTCTGCATCGCCAAAATAAGCAGGCAGGCCTGTGGAAGTGACAGTGCTACAGATAAATAAGTATGCACTTTTGCCCCTACATTGAACAAAAAAAAAAGGGTAGGGGTTAACGTACTATGGACCTGGTGGTAGCCAACCTGCTTGCGGAGCCACTAGCTGCTGAAGTTGAGCTTGTTGACCTTGCTGCTGTTGAACTTGCATTTGTGATGATGGATCATTATATTGGTACCAAGGGTTATTAGGGTACGGATTGGGGCCAAAGGGTCCGACAAGGGGGTACAAAAGATTGCCATTAGAATCGACGGGTGGTGTTATAGGATTCCCGAAAGGGTCAGTAAAAGGAGGAGGGTTGTTGGCCATTGCAATGACTATCGTCGAACTTGACTTCTAGGTATCTTTTGAGGTTTAAAATAGCTATGAGGAGCTTGAAATATTGAGGAGGCTGGCAGCGCAGTGGTTTTCTAAGCTCAACAGCGAAAAGTCGTTATACGCGACAAGAAAACAGGCAAACGAGCGAAATGCAGCGCCACATAGACGCGGATCGAGGAAAAGACAGTGACTTAAAAAATAAAAAAAAACTCCTGCAATTTGAAGGCTAACAGAGAGAAAGGTTGTTCAGCATAGGGGTGAACTGACGAGGAATGGGTCCTAAGGAATGCAAATGGTGTTCGCATTCTTGTGGTGACTTCAGCTTTGTTATCAACAACAGATCACGATGATAAAGTCCATGGAATCAAAGACGTGAGATTACCATGCAGTGGATGGGATGAGATTTCAATATTTGTTGTTCTGTCAGAGCTTGACTAGCTCCTGCAGCTCTGATTCCCAGCAATTGTCGATGAGAGAGGAGAATTTTGAAAGCTAATTGAATATGAAATGAAATGGATAGTTTTACCACAGAAATATTCTCAAGAAGATAGCACTTCCACCTCCGTCTCATCCTCGTCTTCTCCGTTCATTGCAAATTCCGTTTCGTCCTGGTCATCGATTAATACCGAGACTTCACCGTCGTCAAAGCTGTGCATAGCCCATTCATCCCAGTCTTCAACTGGCTTCTGACTTGCTCCCTGGCCAGTGGAAGCGTCATGGTCAATGGGCTTTCCGTCAGGAGCAAGTGGAACTTTCTTTTCCTTCAAGCATTTAGGATCATGAAGACACCCGGATCGATGAGAGAAGCAGTTGTTGCGACTGATGTTAATTTTGCCTGGCTCTACAGTCGTATGACGCGGATTCAGACATGTCCAATTGCCGCACAAATGGGACAAGTGCCACTGCTTGTTGATGAAGCCATCTTTTTGCTGCTTTGTCAATTTGAAATTGACGATTTTTGACACCATGCCATAGTTGAGAACAAGAGAGTGCTTCCCGCGGTGATCCTGCCAAGTAAAGCACTTCTGAAGTTTGCCGCAAGGCCTTAAGACTCCAGAGGCTGTAAACCGAGCTGGTGGTGGTGAAGGATGGAACCAGCAGTCATCGTCTTCCCGAAAAGGGTCCAATAGGTTGTGAGTCTTCGTAACCCATTGCTTCATTGCTTTAGTGAGACTCGGTGGACGATTGTACGATGTAGCAATACGCTTCCTCTCCCGGCATGTAAGCTTGTTGAGTGGTGCTTTCTCTCCAGGCTTAACAGAGTTGGCAGATGCTGAAAGGCCCGGCTGCACCACGACTTCAGGGTCTTTGCGGACTTGTTGATCTTTGTTTTTCGACTGCATTTCATTCAGGGCTGGCAAGCTTCCAAGAGGGCTGAAAGCGACGTCTGTGTCACCTTGAGTAGCTTGAGTAGCTTGTGAATCTTCATATCTCATTGCAGAATCATGACTCAATGCCTGATCATGAGGAATAGCTGACCTTCCAGACTGTGTGTCTGGGAGATCACCGTCTTCGACCATTGGCGTTTGACTCGGGCCATGTCCGTAAATCGGATTGAACAGAGGCTGCTTCTCAATATGAAGAGCGGTCATGTATTGTGGAGAGGAAGGTCCAACATCTCGAGGGAGATCTCCAAGTTCGACTGAACATACTTCTTGTGTGCCAGGCAAATTATTATCGCCAAGCACACTGCTGTCATTTGACTCGCGATGGATAGAGTCAACTTCTGGGTCCTGATGCATGAAACTAGCTTCGCTCCATTTTGACTTTTGGGTAACATCAAATAGAGTTGTGGGATTATCAAAGCTTCCGACTGGTACGGCTTCCTTTCGGGACCCGAAGTTGCGTGCTTTGGTAGAATGGAAGTGCTGGGTAATAGAGGAGGTTTCCCTGGCAGAATGCGCCAATTCGTCGGCAATGAAACTGGCGACACTCTGGGGATTGACTTGCATATCGATCGAAAGATCATCTTGCTCAAAAGAATCCGTGGAAGTAAGATCATTGGTTGGATTTATCTGTGTAGGCGAGTCTTGATAGTCATTGGACAATCCGATACTATTTCGAGAACTCAGTTGAGTATCTGGCAGGCTTACATCTGCAATCACTTGCTTCTTGACAGCGGGCTCAACGGCGATGTTGATCTGCGTGGGCGACTCTTGGCTATATTGATGCAAGGTGGTCTTGATCGAGGCAGTATTGGGTTGTGTGTCGCCATATTCGTCATCCCGAGCGTTTCCATGCTGAGATACATTTGATAGTAATGGGAGCTCGTGGGAGAGATGAGGCATTGATTCTACCCGGTGATTGGGAAGCGAACGTAATGGGACAATGGGCGAATTCGAGTGCCGTTCGAAATCCTCAGGAGTAGTATTGGAAGGGTCGCCACCTAGCTTTCTTTTTTGAGTATGACTTTCCATGCCTGAAGCAAGTGAGTGCCTTGCATCTTGTGGATTGAATGATGTGCAATCAATTGCGTGTCTTTCCTCGAAATATGGACTACTATCGGATCCTGCCTCTCTCACTCGCCGAATACTGTCATCTTGAACAGTTTCAGCACGGTCCAGTGATGATGTTGCATCCAGAAGCATGTTGCAGCAGCACTTTGCATCAGTCTTATTTGGTTAGCAACTGCAATCCATCAGTCAGATAGTTTTGCAGAATGTCGCCATCGATATTTGACTCCCCTTGAAACAAACTTCTCCAACGCAGAGAAATGTGTAAAAGTATCGGGCGCTTCCAATGGACACTGGAGAGTCAAATTGTAGGCGATGAGAACGCAAAGAACAACTTGATCGTAAGATGTGATGGATAATGCTAATGAAATTCGATAACCGTTGGGCTAGATGATTGAGTCGTTGGAGAGAGTGTGAGAGGTTCTTGTGGCCAATAACTTAAATGTTGATTTGTAGCTTGAAGTTCTCGGTGCCTGAAGGATGAGAGCTTTAGGAGAACTTTAAGCAGCAATATTGAAGTTCAAGCTCACTTGCCCTAAAATATTGCAGAGAAACTTTCGACTTCAAGTCTGAAGAACAAGCGTATGAAAGATCAGGTGGAACGTCTACTCCGCATTACTCGTTCTGTAACTTCGAGTCTTCGTATCCAGAGTTCTGGACGGAGTACGAAGAACTTATCACTGGTGGAAGTCAAGACCCCACTCCGTCTATGGGGTAATGGCAGTGGTGAAGTTGAGTTGTCGGAATCGAAGAAGTGGAGACAAATTGGTGAAAAGGCGAAGGAGTGAAATCGTCGACAGACTAGTATTCAAAGCTTCAGAAAAGTTTGTCGCTTCAGTCCAGGCAATTGCCAACAAGAGATGAGAGTATGAGCTTGCCTCGTAGCAGAGAATTATTCCAGCCACGTTCGAGACTTTTGTTGCCGAGACTAGCAGTCAATCTGCAATTGCACCAGTAACTGCGAGATTGTATTGTTATTCTCACACAGTCGAAATGGAGTTGTTGAAAGCCATATACAACTCTGCCCGAAGTCTGATGGTTCTTCCACTATCTCTGTTCCACACAAGTCCCACCTCACTGCCGACGATTCACATTCAGCCATGGTCCTCAATGTGTTATCCAACTCAGCCTCTCAGCATCGATGAGCGTGTCACCTTCTCTGGGTCCAAAAATGCGCTCAGTTCCTCATGCGGTTCAGTATCACAGTTCTTTCATTGTTCGTCCCTCTCTCCCAGCTCTGCGGCACTACAATTGTTGACGTCATGTTAAATGGAGGAGAGTAGTCATTGAGCCGGAGGACATGGAAACATCGCAGGACAGAATAATTGATTGGCTATGCAAAAAATTAGTCCGACATATTCCACCAGACTCCTGTCATAACATTCAACGGCTGCTCCATTTCATTTTCCTCGATGATTTCCAACAAGTCACTTGCATCTAGCCTCGTCTTTTCAGTTGCAGCCCATGCCAACCTCATGCTCACTCTAACGCTTCTCAGATTCGGGAGTTGTTCCCGTTCAACTGCATCGTAAATCGCTGCAGCACTGATTCCAATGTCTGCGCCAGCCGTTGGTGAACATTCTAAATCCAATATCCTTAGAGGATGACCCTGAGGTATGGATTCGGCCGAGAAATGCCTATCGCTGATATAATCGGCAGAAATCCGCAGAGCGGTCAACAATGGAAGATCCAGGAGTATCATGTCGAGAGCTCCTTGAAATAGTTGAGGCATAGGGTGGCGAATTGTCAGATGTTGTAGTTGTCGTCCAATATTTCCTAGCATAGGAAGAAGGGAATGTGTATGAACCTGAGTACAAGACTGGATGCTGAGTCTAGACAGAGACGGGGAGATATTCGACAGGTGCATGCTGAGAAAATGGTCAGATATTCCCCCTGCCAGATGCAGTGCTTCTAGTCTAGGAGGCCAGCTATATGGTTCTGTATCTGATTGTTGGTCGTGACTCGAGCTCCTAGGAAAGAACAAGATTTCCAAATCTGTCAAAGGCTCAAGAGTACGGAATAGAACTCGGTTTGATATCGAGGCAGAAATCAGAGAGAGATCCAGATGCCGTAGCTTCGTGCATTTGCTTAGTGCAGCGAAGCTATTGATGGCAAAGGAGGATTGTGGCGCCACGAATTCTTCGATATTCCCTTTCAGTCGTCCAAGTAGTCGAGCTGTCAAGCTTTTACTTGCGTTATGTACCAGATCACCCATGTCAAGACGTTTGACTAGCACAGACAAGGCTGATCTTCGTATATGTGCATTCTTGGATGGACAAACAGTGGTGACAAATTGGTCGAAATTTCCGCCAGTGAGTATCGGTCGTTCGTACAGCGCCGTAATACTAGCCGAGTACCACGCACGAGAAACAAGAGAGCATGCCCAAAATGTTCCCTGAGTCGAGACTCGATGGGGTATGTATGACAGGATATGGGAGATAATTTCGGATGGGAGGAGGACTTCGCGCCCAGATTTCGAGGGCAGAATCAAGGGCATAGAAAGATTTCCGCGGGAGCGCTCGTTAGTCTTCGAATTTATAGGCAGCGGGAACGGTTTCGACATCTCGACCTCCCAGTTGCTCTGAGCGTCCAGCGCGGCCATGGTGGCGATCCCAGTCGCAGACCTTCAAAGGTTTTGATCATAAACTGGCAGATGTTTGACGCCAGTCATTCTGATGATTCAAGGTCGAGACATTGTATTGGACTGCAAGTAGTGTCCAACACGAATCGAAGTTGAGTGAATATGTGATATCAGATTACGTTCGTTGTCACAATACCATTAACCTAAATGTCGGAAAAAGCTCGGCCAGACCTAGCTGTTAACCTTATAGCTGACTCAGCAAGGCTGAGATTCGATTAATTCCATTTCCTTCAACGAACACAACAAACTTTCATGGAGGGTTATCCGTTTCTCACAAAATGGCCGGAAGGAAACGCAAAAGTCCTCAAGACTCCTCTGATGAGATTTACAGCAACAAATCGCGTTCTCGACCTTCCGCTGACGCCAAAGTTGACCCAACTTACGGCCAACGGAGCGCGATACCAGGTTTGGACGACGACACCGCATTTGGAGAAGATGATCTTGTCTACGAAGAGGATATGGCTGCGCTGGAATACCTGAGATCTGTGAGGTACGTTTCAACCGTTTACTCTATGGCTATCTACTTTTTGTCTGCATAAGGCTAACTTTGAGTTTTAGGCTGGAAGCTTTCGGCATCCCCAATCTCTTGGTTGCGCCAAAGACACCAACAGGAGATGATGATTACGACTTGTACCAAGATGGAGTTGGTGATTTTCGGGGACGATATGAAGACGGTGCATATCTCGCAGCTACAGACCCAGCTGCGGAAGGTTATCTGGGTTCATCGCCGCAGGACGAGATAGATCCACAAGCTGCCTATTTCGAGTCCATAATTACACGGTATCACGAGCTACGTTCTCGATTGTCACAAGTGCCGCCCAACGAAATCATCCAGAGCCTCGGTCCGAATCATCCAACACAAGTTGGCCCGTTAAATAAGACACTCACGCGGTCGTGGATCAAGCGATTGCAACAATCTCACCCAAAGCCAGCACAAATCGCTTGTATGAACAAGGGCTCGGCGCTGAGATTGTTGAGGCTCCTTACACAAGGCTCCATCCTGAAGAGAGAATCGCAAGTAGATTTCGGAATAAGCTACTGGGTTTGGAGTCTTCTGGCAAAATTGCCGGAACGGGGTGAGTTGAACAGCGAGGAGATCGGCGTGGTAAGAGAACTGGGGAAGAAGGCTGTATTGATTGGAATGGGGTTGAGAGAACTGAAAGAATGGCAACAAGGTATAGAAGATGTGGAGGCACAGTTCGAGGAGGATTTGGACAGCGAACATCATGCCGTTGTCAATGAAGAAGAAATCAATCTGGAAGCAGGAGACGACGACTATGACGAAAGTTATATCGAGGAGGGTGCCGGCATGGGTCATTCAGCAGCTGACTGTCAGTCAACCCATACCAGTTCACAAGCACCACCTGCCGGGTTTGACATGTTGGATGTGGATGGAGATACAGAACCACCGGTGAGTGCTAGCTCCCAAACACTCGTGGCCGGTATCGAGCCTATCGTTACTACTGAGAATATGGAGCACTCGGAGAGAAGAACACCCTCCAGAGATAGTGATGTGGACGATTCTGGGGCCTTGGCAGCAATGAAGGCACAAGCGCTCGGTCGACTACAGTTATCCGAACCTCAAGTCAATCTTGAGCCAGAAGTACCGCCGTCAGCCACACCGAATACTAGGCCTCTCCCATCGAAGTCAAATACCAGAGCAACTGTAGATATGATCATTACAATTGCTGGTGAGATATATGGTCAGAGGGACTTGTTGGAGTTCAGGAGTGAGTGGGCTCACGTCATGTAGGTACACTGTAGGTGTACTTTGTTTAGACTCGGTTCTCGTTGCATGCATTCCAAACATGTCAACATAGCAAATCAATAATGATATCTGTCCCTGGTTGCCTTTGTGATTTACATCTAACATTCTTAACTTGAGTATAAACACAGCACTCAAACAGCCCTGGTGTGTCCAATCCCCGCACATTGTCTCACTGCCTGGCTCCCGAGAACAGCAAGTGCTTGTCTACCTCCTTGTTTCGCTCTGTGTAGGGTTTGTCCATATGCCATTTCCTTGTGATGTTTTTGAACTGCCCAGTGTCCTCTCCCAGTAGGAGCACGAAGATAATATATAGGTTCAGATGCTTCGCTGACCTCAGTATGGCTTTCAATGTCCGTCTTCTGGAGGGAATCAAGACATAGAGAGAACGATGAGGTGAAGCACCGAATCAAATCCTCCTTATCAGAGAATATGTTTTCATCTGCACATTTCATCCAAACATCAAGTGAAACGAGAGTAAGCTTTGCTTCATAATAGGAAACATGATTGTAACAAAAGATAACAAAGCCGCAAGCTAGGTCTATAAAAGGAGCTTCAAGACATCTCTTGGAGATGACATAGATTTCTATGGACCTTCATTCCAAAGCCATAAAGTAGTGCCAGCCATGACACAAGGAGGGCCTGCAGAGCCCTCAAAGACAATCTTTCAAGAGTGAAAGAGCCTATTATCTTGGCATCAAATATTGCACAGGCACACACTCTTCTAGGGTATAAGTGAAGCTCTACTTGTCTCCAACATATGCTGGAAGGCAAGTAAAATGACATGACAACAATGAGACTTGCTTCTGATGTTCCACACGCTGTCAAAGGACTGTCGCAGCTTTGACAACTCGCGAAACACTTCTTATTACGGCAAACCTACTGAATCACTCTTTTGTATACACCTACTGTTTCGAACCCACATCACACAGCTACTATCACACTGGATTCTGAATTAGGCTTAATGTGTGGTACGAGCATAGAAATAATATGTGCAAAGATTTTGAATTTAGGTCTGTCTGTAGATCTAAGGAGGTGAGGTTTGGAAGCTCTTTATATACGGTAGAGCACAGCACGTGCTGTACCCAGAGCGTGAGATCACGTGCTCTCTGTGCGATAGCTACTTTTACCTCCCGCAATAGCCTTTTATGCATTTCCAGATTGCTAGGCAACAAGCACGTTAGATCGCATTTAGTGTTATTCTGGTTTGCAAGTCTACTCTGGATTGTTCAGAAGTTCTCGAATTTCCAATGCTTGAAAGGATGTTGGATGCTTTTCCGATGTTGACATTTTCCGGGCAACTCTGCACTATACGAATCACGCAATCGAATTCCTGCTGCAAATCGAATGCCCCTTTTATTAATTTGCCCTAGCCTAATCTTCTCAGTTCATAAGTAGCGTGCGCTATCGACTTAACTCCCCTTTCTGCACCTCGCTTTGTGTCTAGTATTCACCATCAATAGTGAGGCATACTAGCTCAACCCCTTTCTGAAGCGGGCCTATATTCCTCAACACGTCTACTTTCATCAACCCCCTTTATCAAGCGGCTACTAATGGGGCTCCTTTTGTCAATTAGCCTCCTTGTATCCACTGAGCCCACAAAAGCAGTGAGAGGACGATAGACGACTCAATTGTTATCGGTCAATTAGCTACCGACAATACTTGGATCGTTTTGGATAGCATAAGTATTAACAATTCCAAGTGGCCTGCTTGTCCTATACAGGACCATCTATATAAGTACAACGTCCAGAAACACGTGAATCGTGTTGGATTGGGAAAGTACTAAAAAGACCTGGATCGCTTTAGCCAGTGTAAGTATTCACGGTGTCAAGTAGCGTGAGAAAGGTTTTTAATACAGAACTATTTCTATAACCACAAAGTCCACAAAGACGTGAATCGTGTTAGATTGAGAAAGTACTGGAAAGATCTGGATCGATTTCAACGCTTTAACAAATGTAAGCATTTACGCTTTTAAATGGCGTAAAAAAGTTCTTCGATACAGAACTATTTTTATAATCACAAAATCCACAGAGTGAATCGTTTTAGACCAGAAAATAATCAAAAAGACCTTAGTGTAGTTATTTATAGTTCAAAATAGTGTAAGCTAGATTTTTATTACAGAACTTTTTGTATATATATAATGTCCACAGAAACGTGAATCGTGTTGGACTAGGACAATATTAAAAAGATTTGAGTCGTTCTTGCTAGTGTAAGTATCTACAGTCTTGAATCATTTAGATAGGAAAAGTACTAAGAAGTCTTCAGCTCTCATTGGCTAGTGTCTGTATTCACAATTTTGCATTACTTTAGAAATAGAAAGTACTGAAAAAATCTCAGCCGTTATCGAATAGTGCACTTATACAAAGTTCTGAAATATTTTGGAAAAAGAAAGCACTGAAAAGATATCAACCGTCATCGGCTTGCGTACTTATTTATGGTTCTGAAATATTTTGGAAAAGGAAAGCACTGAAAAGATATCAGCTGTTATCGGCTTGCGTACTTATTCACGGTTCTGAAATATTCTGGAAAAGGAAAGCACTAGAAGGATTAGAAACGTTTTAGGCAAGCAAATAAATTCACACTTGAAAGTAGCGTGCAAGTACTCCTACACAGGTCTATATAAACGAGCACTGTTCGCAATCCTCCATCCAAAAACATCTCCGCTTTCACCTCTACTTAACTTCATAACAACAAAAAAATCCAACATCTTCTTGAATACATCAACATACATCTCCGCAACCACCTCTACTAGGCTTCATAACAACTTCTTGAGTACATCAACATACATCTCCGCAACTACTTTTACTCGACTTCATTTATCCGCATCGCATATCAGCCATGGCAGAGCGAATTGTAAACACAAGCGGCCCTAGCCTAACCTCAAGCGACCCTAATACAGCTGCAAGCGGCCCTAGTCCGACTTCAAGCAGGGCGCATACAGCTACAGGCGGGGCGAATACAGTTGCAGACAGCCCCTATACAACCTCAAGCGGCCCGAATACAAGCGCAGATGATGCGATGTACAAAGTCAGTCGAGTAGAGCACGGCTGGATCCTCGAAGAAGATGGCAAGCTCCCTGGTCGGAGACTAGATAGAGGCCTCAAGTCTACATTGCCGCAAATCTTCCATACTCCCCATAGGCTCCCCAGGGACGTGATTGAGGCAGAGAGATATCACGACTTGGATGATGGCTTCCAGTTTATGCCCATGCTTCTGCGGGTCGCAAAAAGGTATGTGAAGTTCTGCCCTTGTTTTATGTTCATCTGTATCCAAGATCTGTGCATTCCATGAAAGATGTGCTTTAGCTCAGCCAACGGGACTTTTGGTTGCCGGATCTCCATCAAAAATGTATACTAATGCTTTGAATAGCCAATGGAACTATTCATTGCGAAGAAAGTCACCCCTCATGACATCAAGAATGCTGGTGCATGGGACAAGGCAGTCGAAGCTCGCGACATCTTGGTGCAGACAAACATGCAAGAATTCCTCGAAAACGCTGCAGGTCCGGCCCATAAAGCAAAAAAGGGGCTGGTATACACATTTGGGTTCATGGTGGAACCGAACAACCGTCCTGGCAGTTTGCACGTCTCGAAATTGTCAAAGCTCGACGATCCACGCATCCACCGAAGCACGGAACTCCTAGCCAGTGCTGCACAAATGATTTTTAGAGGGAATTCCGGGCGCATATACGGAAGCACATAAGAAGATGTGGGCTGGAGAAGGATGGTTGTGTTGTGGTAGCGAGAACAACAAGTCGTTCTCCTCTATTCAGATCAACTTTACACCAATCAACCTGACATCAATCGAATCTCTTAAGGGAAGAGGCGAGATACACGATGACCGCAGCGATGACCGGGCGTGCCCTTCCGTCATGTTCGCACTTCACAATGTGCCTTCAGGATGGTTTCCAGGAAGATTTTCCCTCACCAACTTTCGACTGACGATGACCGCCGAGCCATTCACAGCCATTGCATTCTCGGGCGTCTTCCCGCACACTGGTAGCGGCCTTGGTCCATACCCAGCAGGCATACCAGAAGACTCGCCATTCCGATGCCAGCCATTCCCAGGTATCACATACCCAGCACTACCGGAGGGGGCTGGAGATTTCCGACTTGCTGCGGTCGTCTACCCAGGTTCAGCCATGCACAGAGTCCGCGACGGAATGACCGCCCGTTCCGTCACCCGCACCTTGAATGGACATGGTTCCTTGCTCAACCATCTGCAATGGCAAATGCTGTCCGCGATTCGAGCAGAGAGGAAGCTTATGGAGGAAAGAATCGGAATTACGGAAGCATACGAGTACATGAGCAAGACAGGAAATCCGGCACAGTGGGTCAGCAAGTACTCGATGATCGATGATACGACCGGGCTCATGGTCGCACCGTCCATCCAAGCTGTCGTGATGCGCTGGACTTCAGTCCAGCGGACAGGGAAACGTGGTCGGACCTTCACAAGGCTTCCTTGTATCATTCGGCAAAGCCTCCTCCACATGGAGAACCAGGAGACTCTCATGGTGTGTCACCGGCGAGGCGGGTTGCTAAGGAGGAACGCAAGAATGCTGCACTTTGTGGTATGATGCAGAACAATGGGAAGGAGTGCACGCGTCCGGTGAAGAGCGGTGGTGTTTGTGGGGTACACGCGCGGGATGCACTGGTGATGGATGAGGACATGATGGATGAGGAAATGTGAGGGGGAAAACCCGACAAGTCGCGACATTGAAAAACAAGAAAGTGTGGCCTAGCAATGGACTTTATGATAGCACAAAAAAAAACGATGATTTTCCATACTTGGACTTCCCAAAAATGTGAATGTGAACTAAATTTGAACAAAGATGCAAAGTCCAGCAGCAACTGAATACTTTAAAGCAGCATAAGTTCTTTCCAATTTTAAAACTTTTTGTGTAAAGATTCAAACTTTGTCAGAACCTGAACACTTTCAAGTACTATAAATTCTTTTCTTTTTTGAAAGTTTTTGCGTAAAATTCAAAGTCTGTCCATAATTGAATACTTTCAAACACTATAGTTATTTTCTTTTTTAAGAAATTTACGTAAACTTTAAAGTCTGTCTGTAATTGAATACTTTCAAATACTATAAGTTCTCTTCTTTTTTAAAAGTTTTGGCATCAAAGTTCAAAGTCTGTCTGTAAATGAATACTTTCAAGTATTATAAGTTCTCTTGCGTTAAGATTCAAAGTATGTCTGTAATTGAATACTTTCAAGCAACGTAAATTTTTCTGTTTAGAAAAAATAAAGAAACATTTAAAGTCTGTAACTATTTTAAATACTTTTGAGCTGTACAGATGCTTTTCTCTTTAAGAAAGTAAAGAAAGGTCCAAAGTTTGTCCGCATTGAATACTTTTAAGCAGCATAAATTCTTTTTTTCTTTGGAAACAACGAAGGATAATCCAAAGTCTGTCAGCAATTAAACATTCTCAAGCAGTGAAAGGGCTCTCCTCTTTTCAGAAAGTAGAAACAAAGATCTAAAGTCCGTTAGCAACTGGGAACTTTAAAGCAACGTAAGTTCTCTCCTCTTCAGAAAATATGAAGAAATATTCACGCGGCCGCTAGTGCCAATTGATCGGGCTTTGCCTCTGAAGCTCCAGCTCCCTCCTTTCAAGCTCCATTCCCCTTTCACAATGCGGCCATGGACAACTACCCTCAGATGGAGTTCTTGTCGTTCTCGTTCTTTCTCTGCCCGTTGCGCACGCAATCCGATCCGCCATGACGTCTCTAAGATAGTTCCCGCTGCTCAAGCTTTACACATTCAACCCCATTCACAGTCTCGGCCTCGCACTTCACAACAGCCCACCAGCCGACCATACAGTATTCCTGCTTCTACAACTAACGGACCACCTAGCTTTGCCTTCGCTTTTGAGTAAGCTTTCTCCTACAAACCAATGGTGCCCATACTGATACAACGCATCCAGTATTGATGGCGTGCTCCTGCGATCCTCTACCCCCATACCTGGAGCTGCGAAAGCCCTGAAATACCTCCACAGGCACAATATACCATTCATTCTATTGACTAATGGTGGCGGGAAGCACGAAAGCGCGCGGGTGGCAGAGTTGACAGACAAGCTGGGCGTGCCCCTCTCGGAGGAGAACTTTGTTCAATCTCATACCCCATTTAAGCAATTGGTCGAGGGCTCCGACACGATTCATGCTCTGAAGGATAAGACAATATTGGTTACGGGTGGAGATGGTGACCAATGCCGGAGAGTGGCTGAGAGGTCAGTTCCCCAAGACTTGGTAGACTGTGACGGTGCTAAGTACGCAGGTACGGCTTCAAGAATGTTATAATTCCTGGCGACATTCTTATGGCAAATCCTACGGTTTGGCCTTTCAGTCAAGTCTTCACGGACTATTATCAGAAGATTCACAAACCATTACCTCGTCCTGTCGACTTCGCAGACCCTGCCAAGTCCCTCAAGATTGATGCCATATTTGTCTTCAGCGACCCTCGAGACTGGGCCCTCGACTCACAGATTATACTTGACCTGTTGTTATCTAAAGATGGAATACTGGGAACCTACTCAGACAAAAATGGGGACGCCTCTCTTCCGAATGATGGTTGGCAACAGGACGGACAGCCAAAGCTTTACTTCTCGAACCCGGATCTATTCTGGGCAGCTAGTTACCACATGCCACGATTAGGCCAAGGCGGCTTCCAAGCTTCCTTGCAAGGTGTTTGGGACGCAACGACCAGCGGAGCAGATCTCAAGCGAACGGTAATTGGTAAACCATATCCCGAGACCTACAGCTACGCAGAGAGTGTCCTCAACAACCATCGCACTCAGCTACTTAGCGGTAATGGTGCAACGAAGAAACAATTCGGCAAACTACAGCGGGTTTTTATGGTAGGGGACAACCCAGAGAGCGATATCCGAGGTGCGAACGATTTCAAGAGCCCTCTTGGAATAGAATGGACCAGTTGTTTGGTCGAGACTGGTGTGTTTAGAAGAGGCACAAAACCAAAATATGCGCCAGGAGTCATCGTTGATGATGTCCTTGAGGCTGTGACATGGGCATTGAAATCAGAAGGGTGGAAAGGGAGCATTGCCTAGAGACCAGTACACATCTTCTCGTGCCGTCATATTATATAGACCGGTCACCATCACGACGATAAATTAAGTCTAGAATGGACCAAAGATACCATAGACGGTGGGATAGTTAGAGACCTCCATTGCGAAGCCAATTCTCCGCCATGCGAGATATTGATTCCAATGTCCAATTTCGTTCGGATATGTTCGATTGTGTACCAAGCTATGTCGCAATTTCAACAATTCTTCATTTTTCAAGGTCTCGCTCCACTGTTATTGTGTGGATTGTCTTTTCCCGCCTCCATCTGCCGCAACTAGGAGTAAGTGTCTTTACCGCATAAGCAAGCTGCATCTGCTTCTTGTTCAATAGAGCCCCACTAGCAAATTAGTGGAGAGGTGGATTTTTTCGCATCATTTCCGGCCCACACCCCACCTTTAAGGATGCGGGCCCGAGCCCGAAGGCTTAGAATATAAGTGATTGCTAGGAATGGTTGGCATCCTTTCCTTCTTGTTTCGTTCTGGCAAGTAAAAACAAAACTCGGCGGGTCCATTGACATATATGACTTACAGACCAATTGTCTCTGTCTCTTCAGAAGTTTCGAGTAGTGTTCGAAGTCCAGCTCTTGTTGATATGTATAGTGGTAGATCTGGCGGCAGCTGAAAATGGAGTCCAAGAACCGATTCGAGGCAACCCCTCAGTTCGCACCAGACCAAGAATTGGAGTTCGCAGTACCATCAGCACCAAAAAATAAAAGGCAGGAAGATGAGGTCTCGACGGAAATCAGTGGCAGCGATCTCGAAAAGCGGATGCCAAACGCCGTTATACAGCCACAAGAACAAGGAAAGAATGAAGAATCCAACATTGTCACGTGGAATGGACCCAATGACCCCGACATGGCTCTTAATTGGCCTGCAAGGAAGAAATGGACGACTATTCTGCTACTGGCAACCTTAACCCTACTTACGTACGTCTGTCTGGCTTCCCATACTCACTTCGCGACTGACAAATCCCAGTCCATTCGCGTCTTCGATGTTCGCACCAAGCGTAGACATGGTCATTCAAGAATTTCACTCTGGCAACGCAACTATAGGAACACTGGTCGTCTCAATATACTTGCTCGGCTATGCATTCGGTCCCCTCTTCCTGGCCCCACTAAGCGAGATGTATGGTCGGCTTCCAATCTACCATGGTAGTATCATCCTGTTTATTCTGTTCAATGTTGCGTGCGCCAAGTCTACGAATTTTCCGATGCTGATTGTGTTTCGGATCTTGACTGGTATGGCGGGGGCAGGACCATTGACGCTAGGGCCAGGTAGCATTGCGGATATGTATCGACAAGAGGAGAGGGGGAAGATCATGGCGATTTGGACCTTGCCAATTTTGCTTGGACCGACAATTGGTCCGATTGCTGGAGGTTATTTGTCCGAGTCTTTGGGGTGGAGGTGGGACTTTTGGTTTCTAATTATTGTGGTGAGGCATCCTATCTCTCCCATATAGATTTGAATTTAGCTAAAGGCGTCTACAGACAGGAGCAGTGTTCATCCTCAGCCTCCTCCTCCAACGCGAAACTTACCCGCCAACAATCCTCGAACGCCGCGCAAGTCGTCTCAGGAAATCCACAGGAAACCAAAATCTCCAATCAGCGCTCAAATCCATCCGCTCTCCCCGCCAACACTTCCTCACCTCCATCATCCGTCCCACCAAAATGCTCGTCTTCTCCCCACTAATCCTGGGCCTCTCGGTCTTGAATGCTATAATCTACGGCGTCATTTACCTCCTGTTTACTACCATTACCACAGTCTTCGAGACTAATTTTCACATCAGCAAATCCAACGTCGGACTTACATACCTCGGTCTCGGTATCGGGCAACTGTTCGGCGTCATCGCGTTTGGGGTTCTCTCTGACCGAATGCTTAAACACCTAGCCAAAAACGGAGAGATGAAGCCCGAGTTTCGGCTTCCACCTCTACTCGTAGGTGTTAGCTTGACAGCACTTGGACTATTGTGGTATGGATGGAGCGCCGAGTATGCGAGTCAGTGGATTGTGCCAATCTTGGGACAGGTGGTCATTGGTGCTGGTGTCATCACGAGCTTTTTGCCTGTGAGTGCGTATCTGGTTGATGCATTTACGGAGTATGCTGCCAGTGCAAATGCGGCGAATACGGTGTTGAGGAGTCTAGGAGGAGCATTGTTACCGTTGGCGGGGCCGGGGATGTATGATGCATTGGGGTTGGGATGGGGCAATACACTGTTGGCGGGCATTGTGCTGCTCTGTGTGCCATTGGTGTTGGGGTTCATGAAGTTTGGGGAGAGGATTAGGAAAAGTCCGAGATTTCAGATGAATCTTTGAAATGGTTGAGGAAATTCAAAGCCCGCTAATAAAAAGACATCCAAATCGACATCGTTGTATCTGAACTTGAAATCCTCACAGAAGCTCGCTCTATATCTTCTCAAACACTAACGAGGATTGTAGTGGACGATTTAGAAAATAGGAACTGGGCAGAGGAAAAACTCAAACTCCAAGTCAGCATATCGCGCGAATTGCGCGAAACACGCGAAACGCGCTGAATGCGCTTAGCTATCGAACCGGCCTGAAGACCTTAAAGCAAATGTTACTAATTACGCAATATCGTCTCTACATCTGGGCTCAAATCATAAATACTATTCCCACATAGCTTTATTTCATGGTAAGTATGCTCACAGCTCATCTTTCTTCGAATGATCATCATCCCTCCCAAACAGCTCATACCCAACTCCCAGCAACCAGTCCCAGGGCTTATCCACGACTCCATCTCCGGTCCCTCCATCAAAATATTCCCACCCTGCCACCCCACCAAAGTCCCTCCACTTCCGCTTCAGAGCCGCAATCCTCATCCTCAAATCCCGCATCAGCAGAAACCCATTCGGTGGCCCATCATCCGGCGAGTCCAAAACTCCCATTACAATCCTCTCGGCCGGCCACCCGGCTTCCATAACTTGTTCGTACAATGGGGGACCTCGAGGAAAGTTCCCGTAGAATTGTGCGTTGTACCAGGATATCAGCTTTGTTTCGGAGCCGGGGATGGTGGCGAAGGCATCGAGGTCGAAATAAGAGAAGCCTGAGAGGTTCTGGTCTGTGTTGGCTGGGGACAACAAGGCTGATGCGATGGGTGACATTGTAAGGATAAAGTGCGGGCCCATGTCTCGGTGTAAAGCATTTAGAAGGCGGATAGGGACTGCTAAAGGGACAGATTCTTCGATGTTGAGGTCTAGGCCGTCGAGCTGATGTTCGATCAAGAGCTTCTTGAGAGGATGGTAGTAGCTGTAGAACTAGTATCTGTCAGTGTCTTGTGTTTGAAGCGGTGGGGTATGTAAGGCGAAGTACCTCCTCTTCACTGCCATTGAGATGTTTGAACGTCCCAGCCGCAGCTCCACCAAGCATCGCCATTACCTTTACTCCATGGTTTTGTAACGCTTTCACTTCCTGCCAAGTCCTACTGTACTCATCCCAATCAAAAGAATGGTCGTTCAATCGAATCTCTCCCGGCCTGTCGTGCAAATGAACAGACGCAAGGATGACATGTGTAACCTTCACGTCATGCCATAACAATGGCAATAACGAGACATGTTTCCCCTGCTTATCCTCGAATGTCTGAACATATGTGACCAGTCGTGGCACAGGGTCGAAGGGCTTGTGATATCCTGCGAGCTTGTTTATGATGATTTTTCGCCAGACTTCGGGATATGAATCGAAGTTGGAGTGTAGTGAAGACGCAACCAGCTGGAAGAGCAGAGCTAGAACAAGGAAACCCTTCATGTTGGAATGGCCATCAGATCAGAGATGTGAGTCCTCGTAGATCCAGCGACGTCTCGAGCGCATCGACGGTGTGAGTTGGTGCATATGCGCTCGAGAAGTGAGGTTGTTGGGAAGGTCTGAAAAATGCCGAAATCACAATCTGTCATATCTGTCCGCATGACGTGGTATCAGATAAGGGCTTTTGGAAGCATAAAAATTTCCGAATAGCCTCAATTCGACTCGGCATGGCTCCATTTTACCGGCTCGGCTCGTCGACCCCTGACACTTCCCCTTCCCCTTTTCTTAGCGAAAAAGTTTCCATTGCCTCTCGTTGTCATTATGAACTCACTGTTCGACGGTGAAATGTGCGATGTGTACATGGTTTCGTCGCCCGGATACAGGTTGCTGGGCACCTGATGTCGATGTGGCACGTGCCATCAAAGAATGAGACCCCGAGGGGAAAGTTGCGGAGTACTGGAATCTCTGCCAGCTAAACTCTTTACGAGCCTCGATTTCTGCATTCGAGAACGTAGTTCCCTCGTCAAGACTAACTTCGACCTCCACGATTCCATCCGCACTCCACGCCCAGCCCCAAACCTCCACTTCGTTTGTTTGGAGTTTTGCTCCATCTGCTGGATTCACTATCATCGAATTCGGTTCAACATCCCAAACTGGTCTAATTTCCTCTCGATTTCCACTGGAATGAACTTCGTTGTAAAACTTTGTGGTGAAAGGCCCTCCTGCCCGTTCAGCTTGCAAAGATATTCTGCAAATCCACTTCGTCATATTTGTCCCGAACCATCCTGGGGCAATCAACCTTACAGGTCCACCTCTTTTTCTGCTCAGAGGGCTTCCGTTCATTTCATAAGCTAACAAAACCTCATCAGACATAGCTTTTTCAATCGGAAGATCTTTCTGGTATCGATCTGTTGTAACGCCCCCGAATGAACCATAGTCAAGTCCATCAGACCAAACAAATTTCGCTTCCGGAAACGGCTGTGCTAGTTCGAGGATACATTTAAGAGGGACGCCAGTCCATTTGACATTTCCAATTCGCCATACGTTCGTAGTGGGTGGGTTCAGTGGACTTCCATAGCATTCATGGAACGCTGTGATGGTTTTGCTTGGGAACTGCTTCAATTCCAACAAAGAGAATTGTAGAGGATTCTTAACTAGACCATCAACGACGATTTTGTAGCTGTCGAGATCGACTATAGCACCTCCCATGTGGATTGTGTGAAAGAGCTGAGAATCTGGGGTGATGAATGATGTGAGCTCGTGCGGGGGAGGCGGATGTCGGATATAAAATCCTGCGGGGTCAAGGCCAAGACAGGCCTTGCGCTCTCGATCTTCATCCTTGATTTCATGCTGCTTAATGGCCTCAATTCCAGCGCTCATGTTGACATCGAATAATTGCTGTGGGAGATAGAAGTATAGAAGAAGTTGAGGGGTGTTTAAATAAGCGTTTAGCAGTTTCCCTTTACCCCTCGCTTATCCTAACTCGAAGATACAAATAAAGTTACAACCCTGGGACAAAAAGTGTGAGAGGGAACTTCAAAAGGATTTAAGGCCATAGTTATAAATGTCCCAAGGAAGAGATTTTATCTCCTTCCGCAAGGCACTTAGGTTGGCGATGATGATGATGAGCAGCCAAAAAAAAATCTTTATTGCTGGAATTGACAAAACTTTTACCAGCGCAGCACGCTGTCTTTTAAGCGTGGTGCACTGGTCAAAGATACCCAACTTAATGGGTTTTTGATTTCGAGCGTATACGTATTTTTTGTCTTGGTCTGTTCCGGACCAGTGTAACCCACTGCTGGGGAGCTGCGATGTCGAGCTCATTTTAGTTTACCGTCAATTGCGGACCCGACCTAAATGTTAGTGCTAAGTTAACCATTAAACCAAACGAGCTGGCTTATTATGAAATGACTTTCGCTTATTTAAATCTATATAGCTGGTAGCTTAGCGTCGACTGTTTGGGAACAACAAGCTAGAGTCGAAAGTGAACAGATCAATCAACGATGAGCAGCACGGAACAAGACCATTATCGAGATCATCACCATCCTTAAGGGTATCTAGACATGTCTCGCTTTACTTTGACTGACATTCAAGTTCCCTTGATGTGCTAAATGAAAGTGATAGGATCTTTTCTGGACCTATCAACCTTCAAATCGAATACGTCAAATCTTTGATACCCTCCAACAACATCATGATACTGCTTGCCCTCTATACATCTCTCCAGATCCAATTCAGAGTATAGTACATCTTCTTCCAACTGCAGGAATTCTCTATCCTGCTTCTCGCCGTTGCTTGGATCAACGACGTATGCCGGAAGTGCTGCTCCCGTCGGGCCAAGAAACATCGTAGCTGCTCTTGGAGCTGCTTCCAACACCTTCGTTACATAATTCGGGTCTCCTGATCTTTCCGAGATACTTTGAATGTTGGCAGTATCCAGGTGTCCGGCACACAAGATGCCGAAACACTTCCCCTCAAAACAATGAGCTGCAGCTCTTGTTCTATTTGCGGCGATGTTATCGTAGTTCGTCCTCTTCTCGGCGCTGCCGATCTTATGCTCTTCTGCATCTGAAGTTTTAATATCTGGCTCTCGGATGGGCTTTGGAATGACACTTGGCCAAACAGCAGGCCAAGTCGAGATATGAACCTGCTCTCCCTGTGCCATCATGCTGTACCGCGCAAGTGGATTTGTATTCTCGCCACATATCAATGCTCCTACCCTCGCTTTCCCATTTCCCAGTCCGAGCTCTGCGATTCTCAAGCCATGACCATCGCCAGGCGCCCACGTCAATTTCTCGAACCAGGTTGGCATCAGCTTTCTATGATGCACCTTCACTTCTCCATCTTCACCAATAATAATGTTGGAATTGAACAAAGTCCCATGTCTTCCTCTTACTTTCTCAGATATTCCAATACTAACCATGACTCGATTCTTCTTCGCTGCTTCTCGGAGGGCGCCGAGTTCTTCACCATCCGCATAGATCGACTCCTTCACCATGAGCTCGAAGAAAGCATGATTCTGGGTAGGAGCCAATATCGAGCTCCAGACTGGAAATGCTGGTATGTATGACTCTGGGAAGACAATTAGGTTGGCAGAGTTGGAAGCCGCGTGGTTGATAAATTGTATGCATTTCTCTGTCGTCTTTACAGCGGAGAATGGGATGGGAGACACGTGACACGCAGCTGCGAGAAGGCGTGAAGCCATCTTTGTCTAATGGGGGCCCAGTAGACGCTGAAACGCAGTATATAGATAGTAGACTCAATTAGATTAGACTACACTGGGTTTCTGGAAATTAGGGTGGATATGTTGGAGAGGAGAGCCGACGTTGAATGCTTACCGAGGAACACAGTTGGCTCCGTTCGCTAAGTTTTAGCCGCACACATCTTAGAGATAGGGGCACCGTTAAGATCGGCATTCAGAATAATATTATTCCAGAGTTTGTGGGGAGTAAGAAGGCATTCTTCGATATAGATTGGAAATCAGGTTGTACTTCAGGTCCTACATACAGCCTCGTCCCTCAATTCTTCACTCACAATTGGACTTAGCCCTTGGTAGTCTCCCACAAAGTAAGTCTCGAACAATAGTGTCTTTTATTCCAACTCTTACGTTACGACACTGTAAAACTTTTAGGGTATTCTTCTAGAGCTCGGAGGACAATCTAAGTAGGAAAGGTGGGGTTTTCGAAATAAAGAGGAATAATTACACGTCGTTCTTGCACCACTTCATCCTTGAAATCTTAATGCATTTTGGTGACTTGGAGCCTTTGTATCATCGCCCAAACTCTGGGTTAATACCATCTTCAATTCCAATTGTTACCGTACAGGATGGGATGCATGTGCTAACTTAATAGAATAGATATACGTTGTCGTTACGCTTAGCGAGGGTTCCGCTAAGTCCTTTTTCTGGCATTCTAGGCTCAGGAGAATCCTTCACCAGCTAGTCGGTATTTATCCACTTCTGGGAACAATTTATCCTTATTTCTGATCAAATCCAGTGATATTTGAGAGGTAGAACTGCGTCATGCCGAATCTAACGTGGCGGCCCGTTCCGCTGAGAAAGCTAGAATTCGCACACCGTCCAGATTTAAAGAATGCTGTCCCAATTCTTTCCATTTTCCCTTCACAATTTCACAACACCCAATCCATCCTCTTCGAACCGAAATGAGATAAATCCATCAGCGTACTCCTTGAATCTCGAACACCTCTTCTCGCTCACATCGATACCGACCGCCCCGCTGCAAACACTTCAGTACCTAAGTATCCCACGCAAGATGGTCGTCCCATCAGCAATGGCTTCCACAACCACCAAAATTGCAACTTCGATGTCGGCTACGAAATCCGCTGCACCATCCTTCCCGACGGTATGCTACGATGTCGACACAATCCCACCATGGCCTGTGGGCTTCGCTGTTTCCTTCACTATACTAATTGTGATCGTCATATGCATAATTCTTGTCTACAGTACGATATATCTTAGACGTCGCCTTTTCAAGATTCTGGAAGATAGGCCAGAAGAGGAATTGGCTGAGCGAGTTAGAATCCAAAGTCAAAGGGCTCTCTTTTAGGAAGGGAGGAAGCCATTGAACGTTTGATGCTTTCTAGATTGTACCTGTTTAAACATCGCAATAAGTGGTGGTTTTGGCGACTGAAAGGCAAAGCTAATCACAATGAGTGCAACAGCGACATGCCCCAAAAAAATTGGTTGTGTATTTAGGTATATATAAATCCTCTACGCCTGATTTATTCAGAAAATTGGTTAAGGAGAATGAGCAGGAGCTAAAGCCCAGAGACTGTAAGTACTTGCAGTACGATGATTTGGTTGTTTCCTGTGAAAATCGGAGGAGAATTCAAGTTCCTTGGTACGTGTGTCGGTTTGTTCTGGACCGCGGGAGTGAGGTTCGTCCCGAAGCACCACAAGTGGGGGCTAAAACAAGTGTCGAATGTCCCGTCCGCCACCGCTGGTCATTTTCTGTCGCTGTCCCCGAATCAAGGCAGATCTCTCAACACACACCGACCTGCAATTGGTGCAGAGGCAAAGATGAAGCTCTTGGCTTGTCTTATCTCGTCGTCGCGTGATCGGGGTTAAGAAGGTGAGTGTTATGGGTAAGGCTGGGTCTAGAAGGTGGGTTTTCAGCCTCCAGCCGCTACTGTATCCCACCAGCTCGATAGTGCATACTGTACTGCATCTCCGTTCCTCTGTGTCGGAATCCAATCCTATCCGTTCTTTATAATCTTATCTCAACGACAAATCGTTCTGTCTTACGGTACAGTGGTGCAGGTTTGATTGGTTGCTGATGCGATAGAATGGCCGACAATCCGGCGGGGCAGGGGCTGAGAAGGTCGATGGCGAGGTCGAAGAGGGGACAGCGACCGTACGGCTCCGAGTCCTCGAGCTCGAATGGTTCTGCGCCGAGTGACTTTTACCGTGCGGTTGGGAGGGGAGGCATTGCGCCGCAGGGCGACTATAAGGAGTGGAATTCGAGCGATGATTATAGGTTCCAACCTCTTGCTGAGAATGTGAGTTTTGTCGCAGAGGTGATAGAGGAGCGGTAGCTAATGATGGTGTGTGCAGTATAGCGGCGCCAGCGATATCTCGAATCGATCGACGTGGGCATTAGAAGATGCGCCAGTGATAGAAGATAGAGGAAGTGAGAACGTGGGTGGCTATGGGAAGGTGACGGGGTCGTATAATCGAGGGACCAAAGAGGAACATGCGTATTCGAGACGGGTCCCTTCTGATCCCTACAGCGCGATTGCGTATAGCAGCAGACCTCCCCCCACGGCATATAGCTCGAGTAGGAGTACGCATCATGGGAATCGGGCGACGAGCTACAATTTGGATGATAGCACCAGGTCGACGAGCTACAATGCGAACAGAGGAGGGTATGAGAGTAGCAGCTCTACGAACTCGAGCGCCGTGACGGTGGGAATGGGGATCCACGGACCAGTTCTGTATCGAGCTTTCATAATTACGAAGCAAGAGAATCAGCGAAGGAGGGACAATGGGCCAATCGTTGATATCCAAGTCACGATCATGCGTCTCACATCCGAAGAAGTCCTGGAGAAAGTCGAAAATTTAAGTTTCTCCAACTGGGAATCGGTAGAGGAGATCAGAGAAAGATTACACGCGGATCAGCAAGAACAAATCTCGGAATTCATGCGTAGGTTGGCGATGAGGGAGAGTGATCAAAACTATGAGTGGAGTTTGGCTCAGCTGGAGACGAAAGGAGACGGTGCTCCTGTTGTGCTGTATGTCAAGCGCCATCCGAGAGACGAACCACGATCACCTGCTCCGAGTTCTGTGTTTGAGCCTTTTAGTCCGCCACCAAGACGAGAGGAATATTTCGACCCTCCCAAAGAGTTCATTCCACCTCCTGACGAGCCAGAGCCACCAGAGCCAGACCCCGAACCAGAGACTATACCAGAACCTGAGCCTCAACCGGAAGCTGAACCAGAGCCAGAACCGCAGCCAGAACCGGAACCAGAAATCGAGATAGAGAAACATAGATGTGAACAGTGTGACGACTATCATGAGATCTGCTATTACTGCAATGTATGCGACATAGCATATTGCGCCAGATGCTGGGATCGAGTAGGGCCTCATAAGAGTGGGAAAACTGGTCCGGGCGGGGTACCGCACGAGAAAACAGATCAAAGAGTAGCGCACAGACTTCGCGCTACATTGGAAGCTGCTCCAAGTGACCAAGAGCAAGATGAACTTTTTGGAAGCGATCAGGATACTACCTGGTTTGGTGTTGTCAAAGATGAGGCTGGGGATTCTATCTTCTGTGATTATGGGAGGTATTCGGATATTATTAATGAGATTACGAAGTCTCTGGGACCACGGCCTGGCCATCGCTTTCCCGGGTTGGTGTCTTTTGTTGGTGAGACTGGTAAGTAATCGTTACTGTCGGCGAAATTTGTGGTACTGAATTGAGATCATAGGAGCTGGAAAGAGTACTTTGATCAAGGTCTTGATTGAGCTCAACGAGAAGGGCAAACCGACGCATCAAACACCTGTCGTTGGCTCGATTCGACATCAAGATGTCCCGACTAGTGGAGACGTCCATCTCTACGTTGACCCTAGGACATTCTTATCAGAAGGTCCGATTCTATACGCCGACTGTGAAGGACTTGCTGGTGGAGAGCGGGAGCCGAAAGGAGCAAGATCTACGATGATGAAGCGACTCCATGGCACTGGTCCTAAGCATCAGCGAACGAGCTCTGCTCTCGATAGACTAACCCAGAACATGCCTCATTCGACCGAGAGAGAAATTCTTTGGGCCGATACTCCAGAGAAGCAAACCAGGGAGTTCGCTGTGACTCAATTATATCCCAGGTTACTATATACCTTTTCAGATGTGGTGGTGTTCGTCTTGAAGAATCCTCGGTAAGAGGCATTGTTTGCAAAACCTTCTCATGTGATACTAACTATCAACAGAGTAATCGAAAACGTGATTGAAAGGCTCGTCGACTGGGCTGACGCTGCATTGGAAATGTCTTCCAATCAGCCCGTTTTACCTCATGCCATACTTGTGCTTAATGCTTCTGAGTTAAGTATCGATGCCGAACAATGGAATCCGGTGCATGCAACTGAATGGTTGATGAACGCTGTCAAGGACAGTATTCACATGAACGTCAAGTGCAAGAAACATGCCCAAACATGGCGATCTCGAGGAAAGAGGATTGAAACGGTCGAAGACTTACTCCTTTCTTACTATGCTAGTGTGAAGGTGGTGCGTATACCAGGCATCGGTCGCCCGAACCTAATGCAAACCCAACTCGAGCAACTCTACCAGGAAATTGCTGCTGCTTCGGATCATTCAAAGAAACGAAAGAGAGAGCTTCGGATGCTTTTGGACGCCAAAGAACTTCAGCCATATCTTCAATTTGCGTTTGACCATTTCTCCAAGAATCTTGATCGAGCTTTTGATTTCGTCCAGGCTTCTTTTGTGTACAATCCTATCCCGTCAGACTTCGCGGGAAATATGCTAAAGCTTGCTGTCAATATTATGGAGGCGTGTGGTAATAATCTTAATGGGGAGCAGATCTTCTACGAATTGAGCTTCATGGTTGCTTCATGTATTATGCTGGACTCAACGAGAAGCAAAACTAGAGGTACGGTCCAACTATGCCATCAACTTTCATGGAGAAGACTGACAAAAGTACAAAACAGGATTGGCGAACATGATTTTTCCAGAATATGTCGTACATTGCGACAATGCTCTCGAAGATTTCTGTGATCGCTACTGGCCCTGCGAGTTTGTCCTTCTGATGGGTTCTAGGAGAAATGATGTCTCTGTCGGAAAGTGCGTCAATGTACGAAGTGGTCACGGATCCAAGGGACACCAAAACAAGGATGGTAAAGTGATTGCAGTCGGTTCCTACCAATCGCGATTCACTGCAGAGTCCTACCAAGAGAAGTTCCGCTATCTGGTTTTTGAGGCTCTGGAAAAATTGCTTGCTAAACTTCGTGTACGGATCATGGAAGACTCGCTGCCAGAGGAGAAGATCGCAGCACAGCTCCATCGAGACAGTGTCATGTTGCACTTCTATAAGCACATCGACGATGTGAGGAATAAGAGCTTGGTCAGCCATTCGACTTGTTTCTCGTGTCTGATGAGTCCCCCTCAACATGCACTACCTTGCGGTCACATATTATGCACGCCATGTCTGAGTGCTTATGGTACGCAAGAGAGAGATGCGATTGAGATCAGCTCTTGTCCAATGCATCTCGATACTACGTTTCGTTCTTGGAAGATATTTCTCAAGCCTGAAGCCGCTGGTGTTAGGATACTCACTCTGGATGGGTACGTTTAGCTGTCTTCTACATTCAAACCTATGCTAACAAAATTAGTGGCGGAATTCGAGCCATTGTTGCATTGGAGATTCTTCGCCTCATTGAGCAGACATGGGGCAATCAAATGCGGATCCAAGACTTCTTTGATCTAATCGTGGGCACAAGGTATTTATCCCAATTCCGATCTTAACATTGCAGAGAAGCTGATACTTGCATAGTACTGGAGGCTTAGTCGCACTCGGCCTAGTGTCGATGGACTGGTCCGTTGAGCAGTGCATCAATGAATTCCACCAAATATGCAGCAAATCATTTGCACGTCGCTTCGGCAGCAATATTCCTGGCTACAGCATGATCATGGAAAGTGTTCATCGGAGCAAATACGAGATCCCACCTCTCGAAGACGCCTTGAAGCAAGCATATTCAAAGAATGACTACTTGTTTGGTGGATTCCGGCGTTCGAATTCGAGGATCAAAGTCGGTGTGACAGCGACGACGTCGAGCTCCATCTCGCTGCTCACCAACTATAATCGAGCTCGGATTGACAAACGTAAGTACCGACATCTGTCACATTTATATAAAGCTAAGATTGCAGTGCCATACAACTTTCAGAGACCTGAAAATGCTGCATCTGAGTTGAGGATCTGGGAGGCGTAAGTACGAGTCTTCTCTCAAGCCATCCCGACTAACGCGATACAGAGCACGAGCAGCTTGTGCAACGCCTAAGATCTTCAAGTCATACTCGCACGAGCCAACAGGCCAAGTATATTCAGACGCCTCACTGCATCACAGCAATCCTATCCAAATCGCCGACATGGAACGCAAAACTCTCTGGCCAAATGAGTCAAAGAGCCTTCCCGACTTCCTTCTATCCATTGGCACTGCATACAACCGAAAATCAAGAAAGACACTAATCGAGAAGTCTTCCATCATCGGCGGCCTATTTGGTCAATCCAAGTCATCTTCTTCTGCAAGCGCGGCCATGGACCAAATAAGATCCAGTCTTGCTGCCGAAAAGAGTTGGAAGGAATTCATAGAAGAACTTGGCCTTCCAGAAACAGAAAGGCATCGATATCAGCGTATCAATCCTGAAATACTGGAAGAACTGCCTGCATTGGATGATGTGAATCAATTCAAGAGTCTTCAGAGCATCATTCGGAAACATATGACAGGCGACTTGGCAATTACTAGGGCAGCACTTCGATTACTTGCTACAGCGTTCTACTTTGAGAAGACGGTACCCCTGACCCGACTTCCTGATGGAACATTCTTGTTCAAAGGTAAGAAGCTGCGAAAACTTCTTATAATTGCCTCATATTGATTGCGATATAGGAATGATCAGGTGTCGCCTTCCGAAATCAGCAATGGCAGCCTTTGGTCGAGTACTACATCGTTTCGCAGAAAGTCCAGACTCGGATGGATTATATTTTATCGTGCGAGACCGCGCAACACCGCAAAATTCACAGATGATGTACATGCCACCAGATGCTATCTCGGACTTGATGTACAAGTCACAGTGGCGCATGGGATTAGTTGAGATCAAGATGCCCAGTCTTGTTGCTGTGACTGAGTTTATACTGGTTCTGAAACACGGCGAGGAATACCCGATTAGTGGTTTTCCGAGGAGATTACAGGAGGATGACACCTTGACCCGTACGTCGTCTTCTTCATATGCCGTATTATTTCTGACATGTTTCACAGTATCGAAATCCATAAGCGACGGAAACAATCGATGGCGAGATCGAACAACAGACAAAGTAGCTGAACGAAAGAAATGGATCCAGTCCTCGCAAGTCCCCCCTGCTGGCCTCCGCAGAATGAAGTCACTTTCTGGCTACGGCTCATCAGACTACGTTGTGGGCCAAGCTCCTCCAGTCGGCATACCGGAATTGGGCGAGACTCAGTCATCATCCTACAGGTCTCTATCGAACTCAATAAGATCACCAGTCGAGCTGCCAGCCTCAGATATGGCGTATCTAGTTGAACTACCAACGAGCAATTATTCCAGAGATCTACCTGCCCAGTCTCCACTCTCAGCAGGATCTCCTCCTCCTGTGGGAATTCCTGAACCCGGTACTCCTTACCGCCCATATGAACCTCCCTATCCGGACGAACCACCGGCAACTTGGTTCCCTCCAGTTGATATCGAGCGGCCAGGTCGACCCAATCCTCTCGATCACCTATCATACGACTTACCTTTATCCGCTCAACCTTCCCCACCACTAGAAGCACCGGTACGTGCCGACACATTCGATTACAACCAAGTTCGCGCAGCAGTCGAGCGAGATGCCCAGAGACCCTCGGTCAAGTCTCCAACTATCAGAATCGATGAACCAGATTCTGACAATGAGCCTGACACGAGAAGGGATTCTTTACCATCAGCATCGCCGCTTGATGGATTGATTTCGAGATTATCGATTCAGGACAGGATTAATGCTAATGATGAGTTTCTGAAGAAGAGAGAAGCAGCCAGAGAGATGTTTAGAAAGAAGATGGTCGCGGTGGATGACTTGTATGGAATTCCGATGGTGTGGGATGATGGGAGTGTTGGGGGTGAGAGGGACCGTGGGTATAGAGCCTATAGAGCGAGGGTGGAGGATGAGGAAGAGGAGGATCTTTACGGTGCTTGATTTCTTTGAACTATGCGTGTATGATACCTTGTGGGACAGGCACATCTTTTTTGGGCTCGGATCATGGGCGGTGGACAGAGCGTCATTGCATTCCAACAGGAGTTCCGTAATACTTTTACATACGAAGAATGTGAAATTTAATGTTGGCATCACACAATGAGGTCAAGATGCCAGAAAACCAGAATGTCCCAGGACTTGCTGGACAACCTTATAATTCAAAGTGAGTTTCGTATAATTGATAACCATCCTTTTTGATGCTACTGTTCGCAAACCAAGAAACATCCCCAACTCCAGTCACCATAATCGAACGCATAAAACATAATTTCCTTAAAGATCATCAAAACCTGCCTGTCTATGGTTCGCGATACTCAATACCCCTATACTGCCGATCTTAAGCGAAGCCCCTGTGGAGTAACCAGGGATCATCTCTGCACAGACGCCGCCAACGCACACCCTCTCTGTTTACATATGACGCACGACGCGTTTCCCCCGACGCGCTCGCAGCCTTACGAGGGATTGATGAACAGGATTCTGAGCTTTTGCCGGTGAGTGAATAGGTGCCTTTTGTTGATGGGTATGTCATAGGGTGGATGAAGCATGAATGATCGTCGATCTCTTCTCGCGTTTTCACATGTGTTCTAGGTAGATATCTGCCTGCAACTTTTCAAAGTCCAATCATTTCTCGTCTTACTGCACTACTATATCAAACTCTAAATTCGTCGTTATTGGTTATAAAAGTGTTTCATAAGGAACAGCAGATATCGTATCGGTTACTGCGTTCCCTGTCCTGTTCGTCATTTCTGACTCCGAGGCGATGATCGTAATCCTGCTTTCGATGGGGCATCTGAGGAGCTCACGGTAGGTGGTTATGACATCAGAGTAGGCTCAAGATGTTATCTTGGGTTGCAGATGGGATATAAATCAGCCTCTTTTTTCACGTCCGAAACTTTTTTTCTTCTTTCAAAAATCTCACTATCAAAACACCCGACTTCAACACAATCACCTCAATACAAATCTTCACCTCTACTCGTTATTTTCCAAACATTCACAATGGCAACCACCATCTCCACCAACCCAGGCAACTTCGCCAACCGCCCCACCGAAGAAGTGCGCGAGATAGCCCACAAAGGCGGTCTCGCTGCTCACGGCGTCGTCGAAGAAGAGCCAGTCGTCAGCGGCAATCCAGGCAACTTCGCCAATCGCCCAACAGAAGAGGTGCAGGAGATTGCGAGGAAGGGCGGGCTTGCTGCAGCGGAGGAGACTCCTGTTGTGGTGGATATTCCGGAGGTGAGGAAGACGAGGAGCAGTGTGACGACGAGGTTGGATGAGCAGATGGCTGAGGGGTTGTGAGTTGGAAGTCAAGATGTGGGGGGAAGGGGGGCGCAAGTGGTGTTTTCTTCGAGTTTGGTGGTGTTTGTGTTGGTGTGGTGTAATTCGGGGTACTTGCTCGTTCGGACTAGGTTGTAAATGTATTATGAGTGTTCAAAAGTTTTATGTTACTTGACGGACCATCGAGAAGTAATTATGCAATGCTATACTCCATCGCATAGTATGATTGGTTTAGACTAGCCCTCCAGTTGAACAGCAATCCATCAAATGTTCGTTCTTTCGTTCATACACAACGTTAAGCGAAAACTTCATGAGGAGGTATTCGTGGTGCTACCGAGACCAAATTCAAGAGCTGGGGTGGAACATTGAGGCTCTTCGAATGGCACTGCCACCACTGAGATGACCTAGGAAACTATGAGGGCCATACGTATCTGATGCTTTTACTCGTTGATGTTTCTCCGCAGTGTTGGAAGCCTGGAGCCTCGGGGCCACATTATCTGACGACGGTTGAATGTCTTTCATTTTGGGTGAAGTCTTCCTGAAATTGGACTCTAAAGTTCTCTTTTTGCAGCCACATAGAAACCACGTGTGGAAAAAATGGACCAGCCTCGGTAGAAGAATTCACTAGTCGTGTCTTTCGTTTCCTAAATAGTCTTTCTATATACGCCTTATGTCTTAGCCAGGCTGTTCACCGCACATTTTCGTTCCTTCTGCATCGTGAAATGCTATACTTCCGTTCAAGTCTACCAAGATGGCATTCGAGGCAAGCTCGAGTATCGATGCAAATAATAATGCTTCTTGTTTACAATTTCAACAGGTCGTGCCATAGCACGATTCGCTTCATCCTCCCAGCACCAATTCTGTCGATACTTCAGTCAACTCCAAGCATTGATGGAGCAAACGGGATTTTTTGTGAGAAGATATCACCACAATGCCGATACTTTGCAGTAAGGCTGAGAACATTCAAATGAGTCCGGGATTCTCCGTTGCCAAACGACATCTCAGTTTCTCGTATGAAAGTCAAGAGGCGCAGTATGTCTATATAACATCTCACCATTTCCCCGCCGGGTGTTTCTTCTTGTCCACATCCAATCTCTGTTTTGGGTTTGGATATTTTCAAGATGAAATTCCTTGTCATTGCTACGGTAGTGACCTTCTTTTCCCCAGCTTTATCTGCTCCCGCATCAAATTATGTTGTCCATCAGAAGCGGCAGATTGGAGACTCGAACTGGGCCCCGAGTGACATCAAGCTCGATGGCAGAATGTTGCTGCCTATCTCGATTGGGTTGAGTCAGCGAAATCTTGACAAAACTCACGATTTTCTCATGGGTGTCTCAGATCCAGACAGTCCTGATTACGCAAAACATTGGACAGTAGATCAGGTAAAAGAATTACCTCTTAACGTTGTGTCCATGCTGATAAGATAGGTTACCGACGCATTTGCTCCATCAAGGGAAACAATCAATGGAGTAAAGCAATGGCTTGCAAATCACGGCATTAGTGAGAGCCGTATCGAAATATCGAAAAGCTCTAGCTGGATCATGTTCAATTCTACAATCGAAGAGGCTGAAACGTTAATGCAAACAAAATACCAAGTAAGCCGTTAATCCCGGGAAGTTTTCGTGGTTAATGTTCCCCAGGTGTATGAACATCCGAAAACAAAAAAGCCTCACGTTGCTTGCGAGGAATACAGCGTCCCCATTGAAATCAAGGAATACATTGATTTCATCACGCCAACTATTGGTTTTGATGCGTACCTCACCAATCCGGAAAAAGTTCGCACCCACATGAAACGCAGCGATGGATCTTACCCTCAACGAGCTCCTTCACCGAAACGAGATGGAGCGGGCGGACAGCCCCAAAACGGAGCTAAGCCTGGCCCTAGTGTTGTACAGATCAACGACACTACACCAAAGCCCGGAGTTGTTGGTGGCGCGAAGTTTGGGACTCTTCCAATTCCTCATGGATCGTCGCCAGATGTGAGCGCTAGTGCTTTATCATACTGCAGTTCATGGATCAGTCCTGATTGTTTGAGAGCCTTGTATGGCTTTCCTATTGGTTCAGTTGCCAAGTAAGACCCATGGCCTTTTCGATGTTCATACTAACATATTTAGATCCTCGTTTGGCGTCTATGAAGATGGGGCACAGTCGTATCTTCAAAGCGATTTGAATGGATTCTATGCAGGTCTGGCAATCAACGTACCTCTAGGCACCCCACCGATTTTCGGCTCCATTGACGGCGGAGTCGCAAACGTATACGACCCAAATAACAATCTTGAAGCCAACCTCGACCTTCAATATGCTATAGCGCTAGGTACCATGATCCTTACCCTAAGCCTCGCTTCTCTTATCTTCACCGCTGACTGTTTTTCAAGTTTGGCCTCAAAAGGTCACTGTATACCAGACTGGAGACAGGATTGAGGGAGGTTCTTTCAATAACTTCCTAGACGCCATCGACGGTAGCTATTGCACCTACGGCGGTGGAGATCTCAAGGGATAGTAAGAGCTCTAGGCCCACACAGCCCACCGAAATACCTGCTGACAGCTCAAGCGACTCTATTTACCCCGATCCAAGTGCAGGTGGATACAAAGGCGCCAAGAATTGTGGAGGCTTTGCCCCAACAGCAGTCATTAGCGTATCTTATGGAGGTCCAGAGGCGATTTATCCTGCTGCATACATGGAGCGACAGTGTACCGAGTAGGATAATCCTGCCAAAAGAGATGAGGACATGCTGACTGAACCCCTTTAGATATGCGAAACTTGGTCTCATGGGTGTCACCATGGTTTACAGCAGCGGTGATAATGGAGTGGCTAGTCATGGCGATCAATGTTGTTACTACAACGACTGCTATGGAGGCTACATGAATCAGCCTGGTACTGGAGGAGGATTTAGTCCTCAATTCCCGGTCACTGTAAGGATACTTCTCAAGTTCACTCATATCCAACCACTCTATCCACCTCACATCATTCGTGGTCGATGTTCCCAATCAATTCTTGGTCATGTTCTAACGTGCTCATCCAGTGCCCTTATATCACCGCTGTGGGTGCAACCCAGATTGTCCCAGGTGCATCTGTCACTTCCCCGGAAATAGCGTGCGAGACAGTCATTCACTCTGGCGGAGGTTTTAGCAATTACTTTGCAATCCCAAGCTACCAGACCTCCGCAGTCGGGACGTACTTCAAGAAGCACCCACCACCATACTCTTATCTCTAGTGAGCATCCTCCTTTTCAATTCCTAATATCTGGTACCCTGCTGACGCCCCCGCAGCTACAACAACTCAGGAAAATCTCGCGGCTACCCAGATATTGCCGCAAACGGTGCCAACTACATGTGTGCCATCGACGGATATTGGCAAGAGCTCTATGGCACATCAGCTTCAGCGCCAACAGTAGGTTCCATCATCACACTGATCAACGAGCAGCGTGCTCTTGCTGGAAAGAAGTCAGTGGGTTTCATAAACCCAGTTCTGTACGCCAATCCGAGCGCCATGAATGATATTACGTCGGGAAATAATCCTGGTTGCCTTACAAATGGCTTTTCGGCCGTTGCGGGGTGGGATCCTGTTACCGGGCTGGGAACTCCGAATTATCCCAAGTTATTGAAGGCTTTTATGGCACTGCCTTAAGCGATGGGCGAGAGATTGAGGGTTCGGCTTGTTAGAACGTGTCTTCGAAAGCAGTCTCAAGTTATGAGCACGAGTAGGAGATGATAATGAAAATGAAAATGAACTTGTTATTGTTCTTTAAGGTTGTCGCCCATTTGTCCTTTTTGTGTTCATCTCTTGCTCGGCTACTTCCCAATAGGTGGCTCTGTAGCTTGAGAAGTAATATTCACCAGATCCAACATTAGTTCGCCGGGACACAGCTTTCTCACACGTGATAAATTTCTCACTTGCTTGGACCGTCTTTCTGGCGCTCTATGAGTATGAGGGGCATCCGGTAGGGGACTGTATCTCTTCGTCATTGTGTAGATAAGGCGTCTCGATAATTTACCTATCCCGATTTATGCAGCACTCTATTCAGGGGTGAAGTTAAGCTTAGCGAGAGCTCGGCTAACGCTTTTTCTCGATTTCTGAGATGATAATTCGTTCTCCTTGTCCGTGGAGAGACGGACATTGGAAATCAATACTCGAAGTACTGAGTGCTTTCCTGAGTCGAAATCTCTGGTACAGCATTTCTATCGACGCAATGGCTTCGACGACATCATTGTATGCCCAATCGTCGGTCTTCAGAGTCCCCAAGAAGCCCGCTCTGCCATAGGTGACAAGAATGTTTGCAGCGTCTACAACTAAATTAAACAAAGGTGTCTTTGTTATAACCTCATAGCTTCAAACGCCTGTTTTCCCGCCTGCTGCTTTTAAGATCACCTGGAGAGCATCATCCTTTATCGCAGTAGCATGATCAAGAGGAGTCTTTCCGAAAGCATCGACAGCGTTCACTTCTGCACCCTTGCTCAATAGCAATTTCACCACAGTAGCTTGACCGTTCAGCACAGCCATATGGAGAGGTGTTCCTCGACGAAGCTTATCGGCAGCTCTCACATTCACATCAATGCCCCCCTCGAGCAACATCTGCATGATCTTATAGTTACTGCAGATGGCGGCAAGATATACAGGTCTCAGCCCGTCATCGAAAATAGCTTCTCGCTCAGCACCAGCTTCTAACAGCATACGCACACTTTTCTCGCGAGCATGGTGTATTGCATGTCTGAGAGGCGTTCGCTGAGAGGTACCCCTGGCATTTGGATTGGAGCCCACGCTGAGGAGATACTCCACTTCGCCGTCGTTGCCCATGTCGGAAGCTTTAAGGAGTGGAGTCCATCCGAGCGGATGGAAAGTTGGGTTGACATCCGCCCCGTGCTGGATAAGAAGTTTCGTGGTCTCAATTCCACGGTCGTTGCGGCCCGCTAGCGAGCAATAGAGGACATCCACTGAATCCGCTCTTGTGTTTGCTGTTCGGATTTGCTCCTCTTTCTAGGAGAATCCTGACCGCTTCGGTGTGGCATTCCACACATAAGAGGAGTGTAATCTCCGTTGTTGACACCCTCAATTGCAGCGCCATTGTCGAGAAGTACAGTGATAGATGTGGCTTTCCCTCGTCGGGCAGGTAAGATGAGTGGTGAATCTTTCGTGGCATCCGTGCAAGCAATTTCGATATTTGGAGCTTTCTTTGCTAAAAAGTCTAGCACATCACTTCCTCCTCTCGCTGCTCCTGTATGTAGTGGCATCATGCCTCATGCATCATATTTCTCTATTGAATGTCCCTTGCTGACCAGGTACTTGACTTTAGCTAGGTCACCCTAGCGTGCAGCAACATGTAGCGGGCTTTCACCCTCCTCTTAAGACAGGTCTGTGGGCCTGTTAGAATTTTCCTCGCAGGACCACTGGTATCGCAGCCGATTGGGGAGGTCGCTGTCAACGTTGAGATTACCGTGTCGAAGTAACAACGTCACTTTCTCCTCATGATGTTCACCAGGAAATCCAATAACGGCAGCAAAATTTACCGCAAGGTCCATGCCATGATATGATGCCGTGCCAGCTGTTTCGATGATTAAGCCCGGTCTTGCCCATTCTTTGCTAAAAGTCGCAAATGTGTTGAACGAGAGTATGTAGCCACGGCCATTACCAATCATTGTCTTTACAGCTTTGAGGATGTCTGGCTCTTCGTTGGGCCCATTGATACACTGCAAAGTTGGGTTTGTATCGCATTCAACTTCGAGATCTAGCCCAACCTTGCCGTATCTCGGTCTGGTGGTGCTAAGAACTTTTTGATCTCCAGAATGTACCAATCTCCCCGGATACCTCCCTCTTTCCACCGAAGATGTTCGCTGCCAATACCTTCTAGGTTTGTGAGATAAGGGGGCGCCCATCCCGGATTGAGTGTCCTCGTTGATAGCTGTCCTAGCTAGATATTCCAAAGTCTCATCAAGGTCAAAACAACTGCACTCTACTGATCCGGTCAAGGTGGAGAATGGTCCATTCAGAGATTAGAAAAGTAAACCAATCCACAGTAAAGAAGAGCACCCTCTAAAACGGCCAAGAATTCCAAAAGTCCCAGAAACTCCCATTGTCTAAAACAGAAACCCAGAACTCAACCCAGGAAGAAAGCACGTCCCACTCAAAGACAAGCAGCAAGCCTTACTGGCCCGACAATCAAGGCCCCTGCTCGTTGCCAAAAACCGGGCTACGAGAGGTGGGTGTGACCCCATCTTTTTGCCTCTCTCATCTGGGAGCATTCGATGTCCTTTAATCGCAACTAAATTTCAATCGAAATCAATCCAAAAGTCTCAGTCCCCAAAAAGCTCCAAAAAAAAACAGAATGTCCCCACGAAAGACGACGACCCAGACGGCAACGAATCCTCCTCATCCTCGATCTCCTCCTCCTCCTCTTCTTCTTCGTCTTCGATGTCTGGCGGAAGAATGCCGTCGAAAGACAAGTCAAGATCGAGGTCTGGATATATAAGTGAAGGAGAAAAGGAAGAAGAAAGAGTGGAAAGAGAGCTTCGCTTCCCGATTGCCCGAAGCCAAAATACGAGTTTAATAATTTTAATAATTTTAATAATTTTAATAATTTTAATAATTTTAATAATTTTAATAATTTTAATCATTTTAATCATTTTAATCATTTTAATCATTTTAATCATTTTAATCATTTTAATCATTTTAATAATTTTAATCATTTTAATCATTTTTGTCAGGGGTTGAACCCCATACTGCTTCGGCTACGCCTCGCTTAAGCACCAGCCTCCTTATTTTCTTTACGAGTTGCAATCTCCGATCTAAGACTTTAATCTTATGGTAATTAGCTTATGCCGAGGCTTCTA